AATGTTAAATTAATATCAATTAAATAAACTGATAAATTTTTAATCGGACAATCGGAATAAGTTTTTATACCTCCCCCCAAAGTATTGGCTTTTAGCTCGAAATTCACATTTTTTGTCCTCACTCCTTTGGTTTTCATTTTGTTTTGCAGTTTTTTTGTATGCATTTTGCATAATCGTTATAAAGCACACTTTATTAAATCTGCTATTTAAAGCAAAATCAATTCTGTTTTGTTAATGAGTCAAGTTGGTCAGTTGAACCTCATTATACCTAGTTAGTGTCACATATCCAAAGCGATCTTCAATTTATTGATCAAAATTTCAGTTGAAAAAGTTTAATGAAAATAAAATGAAATTGATTGCGAAATTGACAGAACCATATTGATTTTGAGAATGCATTAAATATTCAAGTTTCCTGTATCTTGATGAATAAGCGTAAAATGAGCGCAATAATATCATTGATTTTACGTGAACTTGACCCAGTTTAGGTTGCATCATTGTACATATTTAATAAAATTGAAAGATAATCAAGTTAATCAGTTCTAAAGCAATCAAATTTTATTCAGGTTTACGTTGTTTCTATTTGGCATCAATTACAATATATTAAACCAGAATAGTAATTGGAATTAGAAAATAGCAATTTTTTCTCTTTTTTTTCTGATTACCTATTGATTGAAATAAAGTAAGAAAAATTTTCGGCAGTTGGCCCAATCAAACAGATGAAACATAATGATACTGAACCAGAATCAACCCACATACCAAAGAGTGATAAGGTTTTGAAGCAAGTGGAATCATGAATCTGTCTAAATGGACTGGGCAAAAGGGAAAAGCCATGAGCCCAGTAAAAGACTTGTAATCAAGTAGAAATGTTTGTGCACCCAAAAAATGAATCAACAAGTTGAATGAAAACTCCTTCTCATCATCATCTTGATCATCATAACCACCACCATCATGTACCATGTATTATCATTATTATATAATAGTTATGTTACTTGGTGAGTATAAGTTGATTACAAGATAACCTAGTGAAGAGAATCATATCTTCACTCAATCAGGTTAATATTAACTGGTCACTTGAACTCCCCCTCAACTTGTAGGTTATGCTTCAAATGATATTGTTGTTTCATGATCAACTAATGAAACTAGGCAACTTCATCAACAAATAATTACTCTGACCAACAACCAGGGCAACAGACTGCCATTGATATACATTTAAATGGATAAATTGTAAAACAATTTATAATTATTTCTTCTCTCAATGTTGGTGTTAAACGTTCAAGTAAATATGGTTTTGTTGGCCTTTTTTTATTTCCATGTTAAACGCATCATCATCACATAAACAGATCGTAATAACATCATCATCATTGTAGTCATTTTACCTTTTATTTGCTCTCTGTTCACCGTACCTTCCTCCGAAATGATCAACACAACCAAACGAAACGTTTATTTGCTTGTTGATAGTAGCTTAATGGTAACCAATTATTGACTAAATTAACATTTCTTTTTTTACTCTCATTTACATTTGCATTTCAATGTTACTTGCTGTTTTGTAGACAAAAAAGTACAAAAATGATTACTTTTTTTGTAACTTGTCAAAGTTGATATCATGACAACTCCCTTTGGTCATTTGCTTGTTGATAACACATTTATTTCAATATTTATTGCATTAAATAAAACTTCAATGTCTACATTTTTGTAGAAACTGGATTCTTCATTCCAATCAAATCAGCATCATTTATGATATTACTAATATCATATTAATAACAGCAATCTCATCAATATTAGTTTCAACAGGTCTCTCTTGTAATAATTTAAATTGATGTTCAATTGAACTTGAAACTGGGTCAATAGACTTTAAACAGACAGATATTTTAAAATATTCTCGGATTACCCATGGAACGTTGAATTTTTGGATCTGCCAACTTTTTGATTAGTTTGCACTGATCAATGGATTGAAAAAAGAGCGGATAAACTTGCATTCTAAACCTAATTCTAATTCTTTCAAAGATTCACAAATTTGCAATCACAGTATAAGCTTTTTCTCGTTCTGATGTTAAATCAACTTGAAACTATTCATGCAAATTTTATCGGATGATCATGAAGCTGTTAAAATTTCCTGTGATTTCCTCATTTATTTCCATATAAATTCGAGAATAAGAAAATTGTTCCCAGGATGATTTTTTCCATGGAATCCTTTTGACTGTAAAGCTGCATTTGTTCAATTTTCTTGAGTTTTCAGAAGAACTAGATCGACTGATCAGAGCTAAATTTTCAATAAGATCCAAATGTCTATAAAAATAAAATTTACAGATTAATTTGCTTTAATCAATTTATCTGAAAATATTGAGTAAAGTCAAGTCAATCTGATGAGCTCTGGTGTAGTTTGGTCTTGAAAACAGTTGTTGTTAGTCTCTTTATTTTGATATTGTGATATTGACCTGATATTTAGACTCAAATTTTTCAGTTAAAGTTGTCCAAGTTTGGAAATACGATATTTAATTTAATTGTAATGATGATGACTATAAGTTAATCATGGTTGTTACATTGAGGATAATGATGGCGATGATGTGATCACTGGGTTGAGGGAAGCAAAAGAAACAGAAATCGCATTCTTTTGTTCACCTTATCCAGGTCAATGGTGAAGAGAAGCAGCTTGAATGCTCAAAGATATTAGATGATGAGTAACGAGAAAAAAACATGGTGACAAGTGATGACAGAGAAGAAGATGATGAACACTTTGACGAGATAAGATGAAAGCAGATTATGAAGATTATGATAAGAGGTGAGAAAAGGAAATTGGGTCTTGAGAATGTCCAAACGAAGGTCAGTTCTGATGATGATGATGGTCGCGATAAAATATTTTAAACATAACATTAATTTTTTGCTTCTCAAATTGATGTGCATATTATATTCATTATGAGCATTATAATGATAACCATTTAGCAAGCCGCGAGATTCATAATCATTTAAGGAGTGAAACATATTAAGGCCAAGTCCTAAACTATTAAACAATTAGACTGTTAATTGTGTTATCACCTTCAACTCTCATCACTGGAAAATTAACTTTAAGATAACTATTTTAATAACAATGAAGAAAAGGTAATCAAAATTGGTTCATGTTACTTGATTGGTTGAGTTACACTTTATTTGCAAATGGTAAGTGCTTCAAGATTGTTTTCAAATATTGCATTACATTTAAATTGCCTCTCAATTGTTTAATTATAACATTTCTTTGAAAGAAAACATTTCGCTTTGATTGGATCAACAACACAACTTTAAATATCGCCTTTTTTCACCTAAAATTGTTGATATTTGCTATTATCAGGGTTGTGCTTTATTTGCAAGGTCACGGACTGTTCAGGTCAATCTGTTTGTGTTTGTGCATTTCGTGGCACTTTATTATTTTATTATTTCCAAGTAAACTACAAATCTATCTGCCAAATCAGGTTACCTTGAATCGCTTTAAAGAAGAGTTAATACTTTCAATCGCTTGACCAATGAGAAGCCAAAGGTTACATGGCAAGTTCATTGAGTAACATTTTTAGACTAATTATGAGTTTGTTGTTGTACTTTTGATCAACTCTTATCAATTTTTTGTCACAAGGTGCAAGTAACTCGATGATGCATTGAATGTTTGTGCTCAAGTCAAGCTAGTTGCTTCAATGAAACGTGAATCTAACTTTGACTTAATATTCAAGTGAAATGTTTATCATCAGATCAATTCGTTATCAAAGTAAAATGGATCTTTATCAATGTCGTTGTTTTAAAACGCACAGATTTGTTGTTATCATGATAACAAGCCGTTGATGCATGTTTAGGTTGACTCAACTAAACTGGTAAATCATCAAATGGAACATTGGTTAAAATCTAAGATTTAATGACAACGGACAATTAATTTAATGAAAGTCAATCAGTAAATCTTCAACTGATTGTGTGGTGAAAATTGTCAATGAAAGTTCAATGTTCGATTTGCCCTTGATGAATCTTAATTGCATTTTCAGAGATCCGTTGGACAGAATGTAGAGAGACAAGACTGGTTTGGTACCTGAATCTTGGCTAACCAAAGTTCACTTTATACAAATTGACTAAGTGACCTTGAGGTCAGGTTGCCAATTGACCTGAGATGATATCTTCAACCTGCTGCTAAGGCTATAAAGTATTTTGATACAAATTCTTTCCAAATTTTTTGATTTTGATTCAATCTAAAAATCTTGAACGAAAAATTCTAAACTCGAATTTTTATCGAAATTTAACTTCAACCTTGGCAACAGACTTGGAATAAACTCTGAGTTTCGACTTTGAAACCAGAACTTCAATCGTGGGATTTTCAAACTTTTTTCGATCTTACAAGTGAAGATTTCCTCGAAAACCATGAATCTAATAAAAATGAAATGAAAAATTTATGCTCATTTGATTTTCGTCATTAAACTTTCAATTCTTAAAACAAAAAAAAACTTAAAATAAAGTGTTCGTTAAACATCAATTGATTAAGATTTAATGGCCATCATGAAATCACAAGCGACTGAGCAAAAGTTACAAAATGAAATAAAAGTAACGGAAAGTTGACAGAAAGCAATGAAAGCACAGAAAAGTGACATTAATGATAATTAACAATCAAATAAAAGTATCGCTATTGACTATAATTTATAAGAACTTTATATTTGACTTTTGATGGTTGTTTCATTTGTTTCATTCCAAGATTAATTGTAATGATGATTCAGTTGGTTATGAGATTTAAGTTAATCTGATGAGAAAGAAAAGTAAGAAAAGGAAAGAAGAAAAAGAAAAGAAAGAAAAATGTTCTTTTCCATCATCTGGGTTCCTCCGCCCTGAAGAAGGAGGTGATTCTCTCTTCTCTTTCTTTCCCTCTTTACCCGCTTCCTGAGCCCCTCTCATCCCTCATCTTCCTGCCCTTGCCCTTCATCTTCTCTCTCTTTCCCTTATCATCATCTTCTCCCTTGAACTTAGTGATCTGAGCAACGGAAAAGGTAACGTTTATTTTAAGTTTACCTTAAGTGTGAATTGGTTGTGAACATCATTTGTATATTGAAGCCGAAAAAGTCAACATCTTTCATGATCATCAATTCAAGGTTCAATTGAATTTGCAAATGAATAAAATGTGTTTAATTGTGCTTTAAGTCAACGCTATTCAACATCTAAATGCAATTGACGATCGTCGCTTGCAAAGTGATTAAACGAGAAAATCAAATTGATTAACTTCCATAAAAGATTCTGTGTTAACAGTGTTTACCTGTGATTATTGACCCTCATCATGTATACCAATATAAAGTGTCTACTCAATGTGATCTTAATCAATTACCTGGCCATTTGTGTGTTTGCACAAACCAACAACATTACAAAAGGTAAACTTTGATTCTTTTCCTTGAAAATTGAAGAAAAATTTTATTAAAATTGAATTCGTCAAAATGCAAGTTCTTTTTGAGAGTTACACTTGTCTGGACCTTCAATGAACTGACCTTCATCTTGTTATCAATAACAAGCTTTAACAGAAGGTAAACAACGAGATGAATGAATCTCTTGATTGGAGGTGAAAGGTGACAGGTCATTGGGAAGATGATGATGAATCAAGTTCTAAACAAGTAAATGACTCGACTCTCTTCAACTTTCTTCCGCTTTCTTAATAACCATCTACTTTCTTCATTACCTGAAGGCAATATTTTCTTTTTTACCTTTCCTCTTCTTTTCTATGCACTAACTTGGTTACCTGCTTTACCTTTACATTGATACAGATTAATGTTCAACTTGCTTTATTTGCTTGAGTTAGCCTCAAATCGCCTTAGGATTTTTCATGTAACCTTTCAGGGGTTAACTTTTGTCAACAAAAAAAGCTAATGATGAAAAGTGTAAACTCACAAGGAATTTCTTTTTACACCGGAAACTTGGTCTAAAACATGACAGTTTCCTAAGGTTTAAACTCTAGACTCTAACCTGTCAATCATGACAACTTGAACACTTGTTAATAAAATTATCTTATCAACACTTTCTCACCATTATTAAGGTTAAATCTTTGAAATCATTTTCTTTTCTTCTTTTTCTTCCTTCCTTTTCTTCGCCTTTCTAATTGGACCAGATTGTTCTGAAGGTCAATGGAGATTTGAATTAATCACTGGCCATGTATTTACTTCACCTTCTGAGACAATGACCATGGTTCCAGGAACTTTACAGTTAACCGATTGTATTGCCTACTGTAATCGAAGTGAAACTTGTAAAGCAATCAACTTCGAAACTGGACTTTGCATCATTTTAACTTCAAGTGCTCAATCTCAACCATCGGCTTTAACGACTTCACAGTTTCCTGTTTTCACTATTTATGCTCAAAAAGTTTGCATTACAGGTAAATATGATAATCTGTCTGTTGCTGGACATGCCAATGGAATGTCATCAGTTTTTTCTCCCTTTTTGTCAACATTTCTCTCAACATTTGATTCAACTTTAATTTAGATTGCGGTTTTTAAACAGTTAATTATCTTGAATTTATTGAAAAGTCAACTTGAAAATTCCATGAAAAGAGAATCAGAAAATCGGTTTATTATGAACTTGTTAATCTTAATCACCTTAAATTTGCACCTTTTCTCATCACGATATTCACATAAATATAATTATTATTATATTAGTTAGAAGCCAATCTAACCAGTTATTCAATATTAAACTTCCAATCTCATCTTCACCATCATTTTATCATCTCACATTGTGATATTAATGTTCAACCATTTCAAATTGAAAATGGTAATTCCTCAAATGTTTGTTATTTCACCTTTTTTCCCCTCAAAAATCATTAGTAAAGCTTTTGCTTTTTTTGCAAATCTTAACAAGATCAAGTTTTAAAGTTAACCAAAAAACAGCAATTTAAAGAAATGTAACATTGAATTATTTGGTTTCACTGAATTCAAATTGATGATTACAGTTTATTAAGTTGATCATTACATGTTATCATGCAAGAGTAGCATATCAATGAATAAATCAAATGAAAGTTGTCGAGCTAAACGAGTATCATAATCCTTAACTCACCATTTCAATTACCGTTACTTTCAACCCAAGAAGCTATCAATGGCCAGATAATAGCTATTTGAGTGAAACCTTTAATCTACCTTTAATCTCTACCTTTATGTAGAGATTTAACTTTAACCTTAAGATTTTAAATCTTAACCTTTGTGATAACAAATATAAAGTTGCTAATCAAATTGTTTCATTAAAACAATGAATCAAATCACAATTTTGTTAATACAATTTTGAGATAAAAATGTCTACCAGAGTCAAATGAATTTTACAAAATGTACTGATTTAATGCCGAGTCTGGTAACTTGATAAGTTGACCTTTGAGTGATCCTTAGAGCTAAGTGAATGTTGAAGCCAATTGAAAGACAGTCTATAAAGCCTATTGGATCATGTAAACAAGATGAAGATGAATATTTTCTAACAAGATTATGATGATGATGATGATAATGATTGTTATTTTAACTTCCCTGTTACCATGAAGATGGTGAAGAAAATAGTTGCACTTGTTCAGTGTAACAAGCTTTATTCGTTGATAGGTTGAGGTGACAGTAAATCATTGTGTGTGGTTTATTGTTGCCCTTTCTTGCTGTTTACTGACCACATCAATACACACAAACATAATGATGATGGTTTCTCATCTGTTGGTCAACGGGAAAAAAGCCGTTTTTCAATATTTTACCAAACATTACTTTTTCCCATCAACACAGTTTCTTTTCATTTTTCATGATATATTCTGTGAACCATCTTTTCCGTTCATTATTATTATTCAAAGCAAAAGAATATGAAATTGCGAAATTATCAATAAGAAAATTGATTTTTTTCTTCATTATTTGCGCACCTTTATTGCACTTTAAGATTTACTTCGCTAACCAAGTTAATTATCATGAATAGGTAAATTCATTGACAATGTTTCAATATTCAGTAACTTTTGCTTCCTCATTCAAATTCAATTCCGTCATTCCTCAATGTTCAGTTGAGATTTTCCAATTTTCCCTCAAAATCATCTTCTAATATCAATCTGATAATTGAAGCTCTTTCAAGGTAATTAAAACAATAACGTTTCTTTGTTGAAGATGAAAGCGATTTGAAGAGTGAAAAGGATATTTAGAACGATAAGTGAAAGAATAATGAAAAAAAGTTCTTAAGATAAGGTTCAGAGGCTGATGGTTGAGCTTTCAATTGTCATGATTAAACTCTGTTACATTAGGATAAATAATAATAATTTAATGAAGAAAAAAGTGAGTGAAAAGTTATCAGTGAAGAGAGGAAAAAAATACCGGAACCAATTTTTTGGTGAATTTTTTTATTCTTGACTGTTAACTTGATGAGAAACGAGCAGATGAAGATGAAGAGTAATTCTGGTAACAGATGATGATAATCTGTATCTTCTCTTTCACTTCGGTTCATTGACTTTCTCCCACAATTAGGAAAAGGGACAATTCCATGTGTAGCTACCTGATTATTTTATTATTATTGGTTTATCAAAATGAGAAATGTAATTCAAATAAAGCATTAATTCATTTCCATGGTGCTTCTTAATTCTCAAAGTGATCTTGATTAATGACATTTTTTTCATCAGGAAACAGGTTGCAATTGGTTTAAACAGAATCACAATAATTAACCCTTTTCTGATTCTTTTTTTTCTCAGAGTTGAAACCAGCAAATGTTCATCTTGAAATATTCACAGGCAGAGAAACAGTTGCAATGAAGAGAAATGAAGAGATCATAATTTAGTTCAGAATTTGAATCAAATTTTATTGAAACGAATCAACCTCAATAAAAAAAGTAATCGACTTTGAAATAAACGGTAAAGAGTCAAATAGCGAAACACAATTGAGAAAAAAATGAAACAGAAAAGTTCAAAGAGCAAATTCAGATGATCTCTATTATTAGTTAAGCTGATTGAACCGAAAAAAAAAGAAAAAGGTTAAACTCAGTTTCAATGGAAAATTTTGTTTACTTTTCTTTCAATTCAAATTTCTGTGACTTTTTCCAGTTAAATCATGTCGATAAATTGATTAAATAAAAGACTCAGAACTTTGGAATCATTCAGATTTTCTCGCTTTTCATTTTCTTTCTCTATTGTTAGTCATCAGTTGAAGCCTTTAAAATGAGCCAAAAACTCGACAGTTTTTATTAAGCTTCATGTTGACTCAGTGAATAGAATCAGATAATTTTCACCAGAAAAGTTTTATATTTTTCTGGTTTAATCAATTTCCAGTTACAATATGCAAAACAAGGCAAAATTTTTTCTCTCATTTCAGTCTGGATTCCTCAGAATTTGAGTCGAATCTGTTTTGCTGATTAAATAGTTATCACCCAACACAAAGTAATGGAGTGAGAAATGGGATTGTGATAGACAGAGTTATACTCATAGTTATTAGTTTGCTTGTAATTATGTAACATTTGTTTTCTTCATTCATCCATTAACCATGTACAACATGATGAACAGAAACGATTAACAATCTTGATCACGTTGCATTTAATTTACACATTCAGGATTCTAGCCGGAAAGACAATGAACAGAGTTTAATGATAACTGAAAGGAAAAGAAGAAGAAGAAGAAAAGAGAAAAAACAAAAGCTAAATTAACCTTCAAAGTGAAGATACACAAATGATAATCTGAATTTAGCCTTAAGGCTAAGCGGAGGTTGAGGGAGGTTAAGAGATGATGAAAGGTGATGATGGAAAGTTAAGAAACAGTAAAGGAGAAACTTGTTGTTGCCGTTATCATCAATCGTTAGCCACGCATAACTACGAATGCGTCTTCCTTGCTTAATTATACTTGATATGATAATAGCATAATAGCATTCTTTTGACCTTTACCTTGATATTGTTTCCAGTTATGTTACATTTCCTTGTTTCGTCTTATTAATTATCTTTATTTATTTTCCCTCTTTATGCTCATATATTTATCCATTTATCAACTTTCCGTTTTTGCGTTTCTTCCCTTTTTAGAGCCAAATTTATCTTTATGTGACCGTCCATGGCTATTTGAACGAGTTATTGGTTATGAGCTGAGAAAGTTTGAAAAGAAAAGAGTTAAAGTAGATTCCAGGGAAAAGTGCATGGCCATGTGTTTGAACGAAAACGGGTTCACTTGTCGATCTGCCAATTACGACAACAATACTGGAGAGTGTATCATGTCCGATATGGATAGACACACAATCTCATCGAATGGACCAACTGCTTCAGGTTTACCCTCATCTCATCGTTACTTTGTACCAGCATCAGTACCTGGAATAGATTATCTTGAGAATAATTGTGTTCAAGGTAAGTTTACTTGTGCAATAAAATGATTAGTTAATCTAATTAATTGATTAATCTTTAAACAGATCCAAAGAAAATGTGTGATTTCAAGGAAATTAAAGGAAAGATATTGAAAACTGTGGATCATGTTCATTTAAATGTAAAGACTGTCGATGAATGCAAAGCAAAGTGCCTTGAATCACCTTATCGATGCTTCTCCTTTGACTTGGGCGATCCTTCAAACTCCGTCTGTCGAACCAGTCATCTTGATCGATCCTCTTTGACTCACATTGAAGATCCTTATTTGAATATCCCTGGATCAATGACTTATGAATTGTCTTCCTGTTACAACAGTAAGAATCATTAATTAACCATAATTTATCGTTTATCAATTTCATTTGAAAACATATTAACATGAAAAAAACAAACTGCTCAACATAAATAGTCACACTTTTTGCTCAAACCAGTTATAATGGTTGCTCTGGTCAGATGTCCAAATATCAACTATTAATAGAAGTTGATAAAAACTCGAAATTTGATTTTTAATTTAACCTTTTCTTTGGATCATTTCAACACTCATTATTTTAATTGAATAGTGAGTATCAATCATTTTATCAATGATTATTGGGTAATAATCGTAATGAACAAAATTTTGCCTTCAATGATCATTAAAGTGACACTAAAGGTACTTTGTATTATTAGGATGAAAGTATCATTAGCAGAAGCAAACGCCTTCCATATTAATTATTATGCATATAATTAATATTAAATCAACTTAATGTTGTCTCTTGTTCTCACATTAATTAACTATTAACAAATTCGTTGTTAACCAAATCAAAATTTTCATATTTCAACTTTGATATTTCACAAAAGCTCATTATTACGTAATTGAAGATCTCTTGACCGACTTGAAATTCTGAAAACTTTGACATGGAAAACTCGACTCAGCTTTTGATGAAAAAATCATCAGTCAATTATTAATTGTAAAGTCTCGTTGGTCTTCAGGGTTGTATTTAATAAAACATTTTTACATGAATCCATATTTGTTTAGTTTCAAAACATAATCTAGAAGCTGGACATTGAAACTCGCTATTTGTTACACTTCGCGGTTTCAATGAAATTTCAATGTTCCTAATGAGCTCGAGTCAAATGATGAAACGAAATACTGGTTATTCATCTAGAGCCTGTCAGACAAGTTGAGCTGAGTCTATGTTGAGCTAAGAGAAACAACCTTTGACTCAGTTATTTAGCTTTAATCAATTTTTAGTTACAATAATAAAGCAAACTAAGTGAACGATGTTACTTTGAGTCAGTCACGCTTCAATTTGCAAGGCCTAATCAATTTACGGTGTTAATAATTCAAGATGAGCCAATGATATTCATTGTTTCTTACAAGTCGCAAAGCATGACTAAACATAGCTTTGAATAGAGGCGAATGATAAAGTAAACTTTGAAGCTCAAATAATCATCTTTAATTAAAATTGTCGCCTTCAACTCTACTAATCTTCACCTGAAAAGTGCAAAGTAACCGATCATTTGCTTGAAACGTGAATCATTCTAGTTATGAGCTGTAAATGAGGAAAAACTTGAGTTCACTTTAAAGACAAAGATTAAGCTTTATTTGAATAGTTTTTCATTATGACATCAACTGCATCATAATCATCTATGTTATCGCCCGACTGACCCTTTTTCAGCTAAAACTAGTCAGAGTAATTCCGTTGATGCACTTTAAATGATATTACGATCTTTTGCTTAAACGCTTCAATTTTGAGAATTGCAAACTCAACTGGAATGAAATCACTTTAACTGCCATTTCTGTTAACCTGAAAATTGCTTTACTGACCAATAGTAACCCAGTCAGATGAGCTGAAACAGAGGAAACAAGTTGCTATTCTTATTGAAAATCGAATAAAATGTTTATTATGAAAACAATTAATAGTTGCGATTGCATTCTAAAGCTGCAAATTGTGCTAAACCTTTAATGGCGATCGTGACTTTAATTTAAATCATTGATGTTTTGCATCAAGTGTTAACCATCAAATAAAGATAATGAAAGGAGCGCAATTAAGATGACTGTTAATCTTAATAACTTATTTAAAGGGCAAAACACAAAGACACTCAAAGAGAATGAAAATATTTTAAAAAAATGGTCAATTCGTGAGATGATTAAAGTAATTATCATATCCCTGTAAATTAGTCGTTAAAATGGTGAATTGAAAGGAAACGATTGGATGCAATGAATGAGAATCAAGCGATTGTTAGATAATCTCACTTTATTAATCACAACTTGACCATCTCTCATCACCATCAAGGAAGTGTATCTACCATTGGAAATGAAGTAACATCCATATTGATGTGAACATAATTTTTTAATACAATTTTAGGGAAAGTAATACATGATCTATGAGAAGGTTCATCAATTTATTCCGGTTTCAGTAAATGTTGTTTTTTGCTGTCTTCATCTTCATTATTAATGTTCATCTTCTTGTCTGTTTCATCATCTTCCTCATCATCATGTGTTCCCTCTCCTTGTTCACCTTCTGTTCCTGTCTTCTTCCAGAATTATCTCACCGTGACTTTAATGGACTCTCTCAAGCGTATTATATGTATAAATCTGTTTAACCAGAAAATGGTTCTAACCATCGTAACAAGCTCAGTAAACATTAACCCTTGTTTTCTGGTTTCAGACTTTCTTTCGCCAACATTCATCGAATAAACTTTCCTTCTGTAAAAAGTGTTCACATTGATATTCAATCATTAATTAACTTTCCCAATGAATCCAGAATAGTTATCAATTAATGTTTAAACATCAACTCAGATTAAACAGCGAAAATCGTAATCATTTAATCAGATTAAAGTTTCAAGAAAATAGAAATATTTTCATTTCATTTTTCCTTTCAAGTTTCAGATGAATTTTTCAACATTTCAAATCATTTGATGAGATTACTCGATGATTATTGAACAAATATTAACTTTGAACAGTTTCTGATCCAAAGTTGAACCCTTCAATGATATTAACATCAATTTGTCTTTCCTTGTCAATTTTGATTGAAGCAACATTATTAACCAACAAAAGGTTAAACGATTTTTGTCAAAGTGAAAAAAGGTAAATCTGTTGGTTGGTAAAGAAAAGATAAGAAAAATATTGGTAAATAAAGGTAAATGCTTTTTGGGTAAAGTTATTATTGGAAGAAGGTAAGTGAATGTTGAGTTAATATTTACTAGCAATTGGTTTGCCGTGATTTATGTTGTGTTGGTGTGAAAAGTTGTTCATCTCAAAATTACGGCAAAGGGTAACCAGGCCGTCTACCTTCCGGGGTGTATATGTGCACTTAGTATTTACAGTAACCTCAATTCAGTGTGTAGTGAATTGATCAGTCAATCTGAATATAAAAATATCCAAATAATAACCAGAAAAGTTGGTAACTTGCAGAGCATTTGTAATTCATTTTTCAACTCCTTTTTCAATCTACTTTTCTTTTTCATACATTTTTAGACATTCTTACCTTGATTTTGTAGCTTTTTAGACCATTTACCAGAATTGGTTTGACTTTCATTAATTGTGATTGGCAAGAAAAATGATTCATTTAAATGTTCATCTTTACATTAATCTAGATTGTAATAAGATCCCAACTCTTTTCATGCCATTTATTGATTATCAATGTTATCACTTTTCAATGGAAGCTAATCATTTGAGTTTTCAATGAGTGATGATGAACAAGAAAAGATTGCAATTATTGCTATTATTATCAGTTTTGTATCGGGTTATGAGGTTAATAGTGAATGTTGATCAATCTATTCATTAGCAAATAAAAAGGTTGGCAAGGTAAGAAAGGAAAGGAGAAAGAAAAATAAAAGTTCATTTAAAGCTGTCAGAGAATGAAAAAGATTTAATTATCTGGTTAACCAGTGAAATAATAGTTGTTATATACAAATGTATATATTTTTAGGTCAACATTGACTTGTGGCCAATAATATTAACAATAGAATCAAGTTAAATGAGCAAATACAATATTAACAATCAGTGTAAGAGTGCAAATGTTAATCACAATATGGATCTTGATTGATGATGATTATCGCGATAAGAATGGCCATGCCATTGTGGAGGTGCTTTACAAAAGGTAATAATTAGCTTTAATTTTGATTAGCTACAAATACGAGTTACAAGGAACCAGAAAAATGATTCCAGAACCTTTTTACTGACCATTTGTTCAGCCACTTAAATTCAATTGATATAAAAAATTCTTCGCCAAATTTTAATCAAAATAGGTGTTCATCAGTAATCAACAATCTTCCTCTTGTGCAACAATTAATAAGAGTTTCAATGCTTTTTATATTAACCTTCAATCTAATCTCAATTTGTTAACATTTTTTTTCTGGTTCAATATGTTGACACAGTAATAATGCAAAATGATCTGTTGGGTAATTTGAAACTTTATTAAAGCAAGATAATCAGGTGAGCCATGACTTGGATGGCCCATGAGAAACGAGGTTCATCTTGAACCATTGATTTTGCTTGAAATTTGAGTTAAACTGAGGCTGGTTTTTGATGAATGTTTACTTCACCATAAAAGGTTATTAATCAAAGTTTAAACAATAGATCATAACGTTATTATTAGCCTGTGGCACCTTGAATTGAATTATCTTGTATGGAATAATGGAATATAACTTTGGTTCTATTTTGGTATTCTTAAGAATCCAAGGTGACGATTAAGAAAGACAGATGGGTACATTTTTATGGCATCAGAGATGAGGTTGTTGGACAATCGCAGGACAAACTACAGCGGAAGCCAATATTGTTTCCTTGAATCAAGTTAGAAAGTTAGAAACGAAAATGTAAAATAATGAGTAATCAATAACCTTAGGTCATTAGGTTAAGTTGGGTTGGGTTAATCTTGAACTTGAATTATTTCCAAGCAATGGATGTTTTATGGATTGTTTTAGATACCGTAGTATTACACGCTAAAAAGTCGAAAAACTGAACTCTGGTACGCGAGAGTCGACTAGTTTTAGAGTAAAATTCATTTTTTCTTGATTTCTATTTTTAGCTCACTTTCAGCGGCGGCTTCCTAGCTGCTTAGCTGGCGACTAACTGTTAGCCGCTTGTGATGTTTGCCCAACGGCTAGACTCAAGCTAAAACAGTTAGCTCGATAGTTGACTAATTTTGATTGACTACGGTATCTAAACTGCTTACTAGTTTTAAACAAGTCGTCAAGTGGTCGTCACAAAAATAATGCAAATAATACTCTTACAGTCAGGTTAATCTTTGTTAAGCCTTGATTCAAATCTATGAGTCTGTTGAAATAATAATTAATTGAAAGGCAACTCAGTTGATTGTAATCTTTGTAGCTAATGGAAAATATGGTTCAGAATTAATCTGATCTGCAATTAGGACGAGGCTCATAATGAGTAGCCATTAAATTATCTAAATGTTCCAATTAAGGTTTATTTTGATTTGATTGTGTTTATGGTGGAAAAGACTGTGTAAAGGTGTGAAAATAGTTGGATAAGGTAAAGATGAAGAGCATGAAGCAATGAAGAAAAAAGTTGTACCATTATTCTGCTTATGGAACAAGAAGAATAAGATGATGAAGATAAGCTTAAAGATTCTTCCTGATTCTCATAAATTTCAGGTTGCCTATCGTCGGTCTGTTGAAGCTCTCATCTCAATCCAAAGTATTAAAAGAATCCAAGAAATAATCTTTCTCAATCTCTATTGAAAGAATCATCAACTTCATCTGTCATCTTCATCTTCATCTTCATCTTCATCTCATCTCTTCTAACCATAACCATTGCCATAACCTTTCCGGTTTACTTTCTCAACGTCAATTCAATATTCAATTTTCCTTGAATAATCTTGACTCTCTCTTTTGTCGTCAGATAACAATTGAAAAAATATTTATCTCAGTTTGTGAAAAATATTTACTGACCAACATCACGTTTACCAAAGTAATATTTGCCTTCATTTGTTTTCAACCATTTTTCAGGAAACATTCATCAACCATTATTATCACCTTACTTGGTGCCTTAAAATATCAGCCAACATAATTAGTTGGCGATGAGAGGCCAAATCGATGGTCGATATTGAGTCAGGGTTATATCGCCAAGTTTAATTGCCTTCTGCGAAATATTAATCATATTGAGTAACTAAAACTGTCAACTTTACAATCAATTTTAGTTGACTAAACATGAAAACCGAATGACAAAACAATCGAGATTTTAAATTGACTTCGATTAGACTGAAATCGACTTGAAACAATTTCTTTATGCAATAAATGATGAATAAAGATATTAGTTAAGCTATTGATAGACTTTGATCAAAATAACAAACACTTGGATCAATATTACTAAAAATACAGTTGTGACCGATTTAATCCTATGGATAACCTTTTAATGGTCATTAGGTTTTGCTATCAACTTTAGCAAAATACATTTACTTTTATTTCTCTTTGTTAATCACCTTAATGGACTAACCTTTTGGTGTTGAATTATTGGACACATTGAGAGTAATTAGTTTAATGATTCAGGAAAATAATTGTTTAATTTGTTAAATAGCTGCATCCGATAATTTAGAAACTCACCTTTTACTTCAACCAGGGAAGGACAAGAATTGAAAAAATGTTAAACATTGATTTTTTCATTGACTTCTCAATCGAAGCTAGAGTCAACTATTTGAGTAAAAAAACAAAACCAAATCATTTGTAAAACAATTTTCAACAATAAAAAGCAATTTAAACTCAATAAGATTGAAATGAAGAAGAAAAATCAATGTAAACATTTCTTATTTAGATACTGAAAATATTCAAATTACATGATGAATCAATTGAAATACAACTTAATGCATTGCCTTTTCTTTGTATCATTTTTTCATTTATATTTTCTATTATATTCACTCAACTCTCAACCTACGTACATCAATGGTTTAATTTAATTGACTTTAATTTACTTGTAAAAGCTTCTTTTATTTGGAAACTTTTTTTACTTCAAATGAATGTAACATTTCAATTTGAACAAAACATTTCATGTTTTTTACCTTCAAAACAAGTAACAAATCATCTTCACTAACAACCATTGAGCAAATGTTAACATAATCATCTGCATGTCCAAAGAAACTGTTAATTAATGCAGTTAAATGAACAGAAAAATCAATTGCAACAATTAAGTAAAATTAGTTGAGTGCGAAAAAAAAGAAGACATTAGATGTAATCATTTAAACCCAAGTTAACCAGGTTTATCATGATTACTTACTTGAGCAGTTAAGCAGTTGACAGTAAACCAGAGAAGCAAATAAGCATGAATTGTTGTCATGATGAACATCATGTTTCAACTGGATTTACATTGAAGGTGAAATGAAATAGATAAACGGTAAAACAAGAAGAATCAATAAGCAAATTTAAATTAACCGGATAAACAAAAGCAGCTATAATTGGCCTCTGATTAGTTGCAAGATTAAAAATCAACTTTTCCAGTTTTCACGTTGAAACGTTTTACTTTAATTGTTTCCTGGTTATTATTTTTGTCTATTAATCTTTTACCCTTTCCTAGGTTTACTAATTAACGTTGTCTAATTGTGATTATCTTTTACAGTTACAATTGTTTGCAAAGCAAAGGAAATGGTTGCTTCGGTTCAAACAAGCAAAGTGTTTAATGGCAAAATATACGCCAAATCAAAGCCAAACTCGTGCGTTTCCGACATTAAAAACAGCCTAGACTTTGAGATTATCATGCCTTACCATGACCTCATGTGTGATGTTAAACAAGAAAACTCGGGAAAGTTCAGCAATGATATAATTATTCAACATCATGACATGATTGTGACAACACTTGATAAAGGCCTTTCCGTCCATTGTAACTACGACCTTTCCAATCGATCCATTTCCAATGTTGCTTTGGATGTTGATGATGATGTGGCAACTCGTGAAGATTGGATGAACAATGTTCACTCGGCAACCGTCGCAGCACCCAATGTCACCATGAAAATAACCAATCAACAAGGATTCGAAATTGAATCGGCCAATGTTGGAGATTCTCTTTCCCTTCGATTTGAAGTATTGGAAAAGTCAAGTAAGTATTACAATTAAAATATCAATCATTAATTAGTGTGACGCTAATGGTGAAGATTACCATTGTTTCTGACATTCCTCAATCAATTTCATGGTTGTTCAAGCAAACCAATTTTATATCATCATTATCATTCTTGCCCATTTTACTTACCTTTCCTTCCTCTTCATAAAACAAGGTAAATAGCATCTTAAAATGTTAGCTACGGCCATTAACTATCAACTGTAAATAACGAAGAATAATATTAATAGAAGAGAATCAAGACTCCCTGTTGATTATTACAAGTTGAACAATTTGTTTTTTCTCTCTCATCGAAACTGGTCAAACAATTTATAGAGTAATTAATCAAATGGTGTAAATAATTAAACTAATTGCAATGAATGGGTTAACTCAGGGTTTCCAACTCTTTTTACAGTCAACCTTATAAACTGTTTAACGGAAGACAAGACAACAAACTGTCCATTCAGTGAACCTCACATTTAAATGTTAATTGCCATTGATTTTAATTGCAGCCTTTTTAATGAACTTTTTGTTTTTCGCTGACCTTTAAACAAATTTAAACATGAAACAGTGAATGGACAGTAGATAAGGCAAAATGTCAACTGACCATGCAATGAGAGAGACACTAAGATTTGACCCTTTTTCCGTTCCATCCTTCATCTCTCATCCCATTTCTCAGACAAACACAGAAACTTGATTTACGGTTAACTTTTATTTAGCAACAATTAACTTGACGAGTAAACATGATAAAATGGTCTGTTTAATAACAATCAACACAACTGTCATGATAATAATGGTAATCATGAAGGAATATTATATTTTCAGTTTTTGTTGCGTTTTTTCTTCTTTTAGAATTATGAGAAAATGAAAAATATTTATTCATGTTTTTACTGAAAGGCTTGATTTAGATCAATTTACATAACATTTAACTGTTGATTAGCTGTTTATCTTGACCATTAAATGGACAGAAAGAAAATACTTTTCTCTATTATCATGTTAATGAACGCTTGTAATCTCAATCTTTCCTTCCATCAAATAACATTTATTAAAACGCGAAAATGATATTAAGAGATTTGGCAGTTGAGAACAATGTGGAGATGAAAACGACCTTTACGTGTATGAGGTTAGGAATTAGGTAAAAATAAATGGGCTTACTTCGAATCTTGAAAATTCTGTTGAGTAGAACATGTTTCAATCGATTTTTTCTTAAGATCAGATGGAATTGCATTATTTTCTCGTTCGATTGCTTTTGACAAAGCTTTTTGTTCAACTTCATCTTGTGACTTTTGATTGCTTGATTTACATGAATTTAACTCAAAATTTACTCATCTTACCTGATTTTGGAAAATTTTTAGATTCCAGGAATTGATTTAAAATTTTTGTTTCAAGAATAATTTTTAATTTAAAAGTTAGAATTGATATTTTATTGTTGATTGAAAGTTTGCAATTAGAACAATAAATAATGTAAAAAATAAGATTTATTTTCTCAACAAATAACATTTCATTTACAATTTTGGTCGTTTATTGTTGATCAATTATTAATTGTCCATTTTTCGATTCTTTTCCAGGTCCATATGAGATTTTCGTTCGTGAACTCGTGGCGGTTGACGGTGTTGATAGTTCAGAGATATTGCTCATTGATTCATCAGGTTGTCCAACTGATGCATCCATCATGGGTCAAATGGGTCGAGTCGATGGATCAGGCCAAGTGCTATCAGCATCATTCGACGCCTTTAAATTCCCGACAAGTGATATCGTCCAGTTTAGAGCCTTGGTCACTCCATGTTTGCCCAACTGCGAACCCGTTCAATGTGAAGTCAATGGACTTGAAGGTCGCCCTGGTGATGTCCTTTCATACGGCAAAAGACGAAGACGATCCTTATCATCCTTGGCATCGCCATTAACTGAGACCAAGAACTCTGACGAGGAAGAAATGGTTGTTGTGCAAACAATCAAAATCGTTGATACATTCAACAATCAAAAAGGTGATTCCAAGAAAAGTGGATCCAAAAAGGTAATCCAAAAAGGATCAACTTCCAATCAGAATGTAAAGAACTTTAAAGATGAAAATGTAGATGAAGAAACAAATGAAGTAAACTTTGATTCAGAGAAGCGAGTTAATCGTCGAAACTTGGATTCACCTGGTTGTGCCTCATTCCTTGGCTTAATCATGGCCTGTTCATTATTCCTGATCGCTCAGTTGTTCCTGATTCTAGCTTGGTGTCTCATTTGGTGGAGAAAACAAAAGAAAGGATTTCCCTCATTTTCACCTCAACTAACACCAACAAACTCATCAACTTTACCTTATTTCAATTCTCATCATCATCACCATAACCAGCCTCATCAGGGTAAATCATCGCCAACCTCATTGAACAAATTTTTAATATCGCCCAATCGCACTGGAAGCATCGGAGGTCATTCGCTTTTATCCAATTCATCTTCGCACTCATCTTCATCTTCAGTTGCCAACAAAACGAAACAATCAAATAGATCAACATCGCAAACCCAATCCAGTTACGGAGCTCACTATTTAACTCCATTCAGTTCATATCACAGGAAATTCGCTGAACCCAGGAAAACAGCAGTTGATATGTATTCATCAATGTCACAATTATATCAATGAATTAACATTAATTAGGTAACAAATTGATCGGCTTGATTCGTCTTGTTCACCATAAACAGAGAACCAGAAAATTGAGTTAAAAGGATAAACAAAATGAGCAGATAAACACAAAGAGAAGCAACAAGATAATTGAGTTCATTTGAATCATTTCATTTCCTGTTATTTATCATTCACTTTACCCACATCATATTCACTCTCATTATCATCATCACCATCATGTCCATTGAACAATTATTTTTTCACCTGAAAATTGCATGAAGAGAAGAAAAGAAAATGGCATTTTTTTTATAAAATAAATTATCGATTATTTAAATGATTGGAAGGAAACAAACAAAAGATGAAAATGATTGCCAACAAGTGATGATAGGAATGCAATGATTACTGTCAACACCAAAGTTGAGTTGACCATTGAGAGGAACAACAATTGCTATGATCATCTTGTTGATAATCAAATTATTGTCCAGTTACAGGAGATGACCTAGTCAAGGATCCTTTTACGATGAACCCACCAAAATTACAGAATCATCAACTAAATTATTATTCGTATTGTCATTACTTTTTTTATATTCAATCGTCAATTGAATGGAAATGAAAAGCAAATTTATTTATATAAGGAAAGATTATATTCAAAGTGCAAGCTGATTGATGATAATTACAATTTGATTTAACTTCCGTTTTCGATGATTTCACATTAACTATAAAACTAGTTTCAATTGAAAGATGAACAATTTGACTTGTTTTCAATGCAATTCACGACAATCAATTTCAACTTTAACTCAAGAATAGCAAAAATCATCACTCAGTAATCATTAACAATTTACATTTTCGCTCAACTTTTCTTCTTCAATTGTGAACATTGACTTGCAATTGAAAATGGCAATTGATCAGTTATAATCTTCTAATTTATATCACTTTACTGACCAAATGCTGACCATTTTCATGTCTTAAATGTTATTCAATTATTCATCAAACATTTCTGAGTTTTCATTTCATTCCAATCTTAACTTATCAATTTAACCAGAAAACCTTTCAAACTTTCATTAAACATTGAAATGCAAACAAAAGGTTTCTTAAGAGTTAAAGTTGACAATCAAAGTTAATGTTCACAATTAAACGGTAATCAAAAGTCGACTTTTCTTCATTTATTGAACCGAACAATCAAATTGATGATTATCACGATTAGTGTCAATTGAAAATCTTATAGAATTAAATTCATCAAATTATCGCCATCAATTAAAACAATCCGATTTACCATGTTTTTTGTCCAAATCAAAATATCAAAATATTTATGTATTTATAATGCAATAGCAAAATGTAAAAACAGAGTCTCAATTAATTTTATCAAATTTAATAAAATCAAATTCAACTGAACACATGGACTTATTTCATCAATAACTCAGTTTAAAGTTAATTTCAATCAACATGTTAATTACTTCAAGAGTAAATCTAATTTACATCTTTTCATCCAATAATTGCTATCGATGAATAATGAGAAAACTTGTGAAATTGAATCTCAAAGGGAATGAAAAAGATTAACCTTTGGTCTTTCATTAAATTCAGTCAAATTTGATTCCAATAATTGGTTTTCCAATTTAATCATATTTTTAGTTTTCATATATTCTGGTATTAATGAGAGAAGAAAGATGAAATTGAAATTATCATGAAAAATGTTAAAAAGAATTTCGAATCTCATGAGACAAATATTGAAAATTGGATTCTTTTAACAAAGTATATAAAGTTATTCGACTTTTCATGTTAGTTCAGTTGTTTGATTGATTCTGTTGGAATTATCTGTTAATCAGTTTAACGTTTTCTTTCTCAGAAAATCCAATAATTTGTCAACTATGAAGTTAACATTTGTTTTCATTTTCCTGTGTTTACTGGTTAATCTGGTTTACTCTCAGGTAACATTCACTAAAGACTGGAAACCAGGCGGTAAACGAAGTAATGTTCAATGTCGACTGATTCCAGTTGCTGCGTCACTTTCAAGGGTAAGTTTCGTCTCTAATTGTACATCAAATTCATTTTTGTAAGATAATGTTTTCATATTTTTGGACTGATTCTTCTTTTGATTTCCATTGATTTTAATCTGATTAAAGGAAAGTGATCATTTTAAAGGTGGCTTAGCAAGTGTTGAGGATGATCGACGAAAGCTTGCTGATAGCGAATATATCAATAATTCTTGGTGAATTAACAGACTTTTATTTGGCAAACGGAACGACGACTGGACGGAATCTTGTTAAATGGAATCACAATTCAATGTATTTTAACTGAAAAACTGTATTAATGAAAAACAATTACAAAGCCAATAAATGAATAGCTTCTAACTAACTTCTGAAAATATTAAATTCACGTTTTTAATCAGTTCATCTCAATCAAGCTGAAACGAAGAAGAAGATTCTTTAAATATCAAATTTTCAAAGTTATGTTCTCATATTTAGCTAAAAACCTAAATGTAAGTTTAATGTTAAACTAAATGGAAAATTTTGTTCACCATAAAATATTCATTAATTTAATTCCTTTCATGTAAACTGTATTTCAATTAAAAGGAGATTGAGTTAATTAATTTCACAATGTAATTCATGATACAAAGCAGTTTAAATTATGCCTCAAAAGCCTGATTTCCTATTTGAAACAAACTTTAATTTCCTTCAGATTTCCAATCATATTTTATAATTACTCATAATAATAATAATCGGAATGGATCATGAAAAGCACTGATCAAAATTGAAAGACTTGGCAATCATAGAGTAATGAATAGAGGCGAAATGGAAACAAACGCAAGATTGATCAAGAAACTCACCTAAAAATTCGTTTTAATTGCTGGTGTTGATCTGAAGCAATTGATATGAATGCAATGATGTAAAGAGTAAAGTCGAAAATTATTGTTAACTTTGAATGGATTTACACTTTGAATGGTTGATAACGAAGTGAATAGTGAATCAAAGGAACGATGAGATTGAACTGAACAAACCAATGCGATAAGCGAATAACATTTGAGTTACTACTTCGTCCACCAGTTCGACCTTGTCTTCCAGCCAAACCCCGAGCAGCCCCAACCCCTGCCCTTCCACCTCCAGCCCGACCACCTCCAGCTCGGCCTCCAGTGCCTTTCCGTTTAGTTCGGATTAAATGGACTTCTGAAGTCGTATTGTTCAATGGTAATGATGAGCTTTCCTTTATTGTTGTTGAGATTGGCTTTGGAAATACAAATTGAGTTGAAACAACAAATAGTATCACTAGATATATGATGAGATATTTCATGATGATCGACACCAACTAAGTCTAGAAGGTTGGAATTTTCAGATAAAATTTGCTTATCATTTAGATGATTATCAATTGTCCAGAGAATCGAATTTGCTTTCGATCAAGTTAACTGAACATTTTCGTGCATTTAACTGTTAACCTTATCAAGGCACAGATCAAACAAGATGTTGATCAAAATGATTCTGTGCGATTCTCACTCCTTTTTTTACCTTCACAGATCGAGTAACCATAGTAGCATGCTGTACATTCAGGGTCATTAGTTTAACAGTTTTTGTAACATTATGAGTCCATTAAAAACCGGAGAAACATTGTGTTCATTGCAAGTATCGTAATTGACATCATCATCAATAATTATTAGAATCAACTGAATTTGTTTGAAAACCTGTTGGTTAATTGACTTTTCTCGGTTTTCATCAATATCACTCATCCGTTTGAACCATTTTTCATTAATTTTACTCTTCTTTTTGTATACATTTTCAACTTTCATAATTTTTCATTTTTTCATTTTGATAATGGGTTTAATGGGTTGAAAGGAAGAGTCAAATGATTTATTTTATTTTATGCTTCCATTTTACACTTGAAATACACATTACCATTAACTAGCATTTTATAGATGGATAATTATTATTTAATTATAAGTTGAAGCTGAAGGTCAATAAGCTAATTTATGTAGATTAAACTCAATTGAATTGTTTGTGATATTTATGTGTTAACGCTTTTACTTGGGTTGGCAATGATGAATGGTTGTCCTTATTTGATTTGTAAGCGCTTCGTTCAAATTCAGGTTGTTGACAGTCTGAGATTAAATTTAGGATTTAACGCTTCATCATTTCACAGGATTGAGCATATCGACATTCAAAATCAGTAAAGATTAAGAAAATAGTCGATACAGGAGGCAACGGGCAGCTACAATCTACGAGAAGCGAATTGAAACTGTAAGATGGACCAAGTACAATTCTAAGGTAATTTTGGATGAGTTCTATGGACTGTTCTCTTTCCTGTAGTCAAGGTGAAATTATCAATGTCCATATTTGGTTTCAAACTTTTAGGTCTTTTATTCCAGTTAAATTTTTTCCAACTTTCCAATTTTTGCTAATATCGAAGTCTTCCAATCTGAAATTTCGATTCCCGAGAATCCTTTTAGAATGGTCAGTCGATAACATGCCACATGCTTGGTTCCATATGATGCAAAAATAGGTGTACATCCTCTGCCTAAGCGTATTAGTCTATTAACGAGGTATTTCTAATCTCTAAGCATCCATCATTGGCTTGATCAACATTTTTATCCATTGGTTAAGCATATGATGTTGGAATATCCTTATTTTGATGTTCAACAGCTTCACCCATCTTTACATTTAAGCATCAAAGAGATGAAAGACAAGACTATTCACTGAGATCACAATGTACAGAGTATCACTTTAGGCAAAAATAAAATAAAAATTGAATTTTATTAAACTGCAACAAATTACAAAATTGAAACTTACAATTGTTAAAATAAAAATTGTCAACAACTATCACAATGCCATCTATATGAGGAATTGGAAAGCTTAATATTATTTCCGGATAGTAAGAGGACGGTCGCATTAAATTTGTCTCCAAATTTTTGCTTAATTTTAATTAATTAATCAGTTTTATATTCATTTTATTGTGCTAAATCTTTAATGTACTAACTCCTCTGTTAGTTCCACGTAAAATAATATGTCTACCAACTCAAATGACAACCTAGTAGTGAATCTTGCTGCCTTCAAACAATACATGATCTCCCTGCTTACACCCAAAACGAAGGAAAAGTATATTGGTGAAATTGAAAAACAATACGCTTGTGTTATCTCGTCCATCGCTGGACCTTCGCTGAATGGTGAAATCTTAACCAGATTAGAAAAGATTGAATCGAAACTTGAGTCTCAACCTGAAACCAGACAACCCATCTCGTACGCTCAAGCTGCTAGCAAACCACCTGTTCCTGAAGTAAAAACAATCCTCATCAAGCCAGCTGATCCTCAAGACAACGAGGCTATTGGTAACACCATTTCTGACAACATCAAAAAGAATCCCAATTTCAAGGTTGACTCTGTGTACTCTGGAAACAGATTTGTGAAAGTTGTATCTTCAGACCCTCAAATTATCAATAAGATATCTGAGCTCACCTTTCCTGAAGAGACTGTGATCTCGGAAGCTAAGAAGCTCCAACCTCAGATAACCTTCATCGTAAATAAAGACCAACTCGAGGACGAAGACACTTTTATTAGCAGAAATAGTCTTCCTGACAAAACCTGTGTTTTTGTTAAAACAATTGACTTCAAACTTAAAGACATTAACAAAGTAAAAGTTATCGCCAGATTATCAAAGGAAAATAGGCAACATCTACAAAGACAAAACAAGGTTTTCGTTGGTGGACAAAGCACCTTCTTTAAATCTGACATATACGTTAAACTTTGTTCCAACTGCTACAAAGCTGGCCATCTTGCCAAACATTGTAAACACCCAGTTAACGTAAATCCTCATCCTGAGAATTGTTGTATGTATTGTGAATCAGCCAAATTCACTAACACAGATCACAAGCCCAAATCCAGAAATTGTTCAACCTACCAACTTGAGCGCAAACGAATAGCCAAGATAACCGACTGGCAGGATGATGAATAATAACATCAACATCTTTAATCACAATTGTAATAAATCCACCATCATAACTGAAACAGCTCTACAACAATCTCATCGTAGCCATGTTATTACCCTCCAAGAAGTCCACAGTGGATCTCTAGCTGCCTTCTCCAAAAATTCATGGAAAATATTTACAAATGGAAGATCGGCCACCTTAGTCTCTCCAATTTTATATCCTGAATCCAGAGGAGTATCTAAAGAAAGCATTGTAACCAAAATTAAAGTAGATGGGAAAGCAATTTACATCGTCAATGTTTACATCAGTCCTAGCTATGGTATTGAAGATTACAAAGAAATTGTTAAAGAGCTTGACTCTGTGATCAATTCCATCAAATCATCTCCGATAATTATGCTTGGTGATGTAAACTCGAGTAATAAAATGTGGTCACATGGTCCCAACTACAATCATTCCAACAAAGGCGATATTATGGCTAATCTTCTTGTCAGATACAGGCTCAAATCAATCAACGAACCAGATGAAAACAATTATACTTTTATCAGTCCAAATGGCTCTCGAACCTGGATTGACCTTTACAGCACCAACTTCACTCACATATACTTAAAACCCGAAATTCAACTTAATCTGGAACACACAGACAATGATCACAGACCAGCTTACATTTCCTTTTCCATCTCTAAAAGAATCAAGACCAAGAAAACCTACACTTATCTTGACAGACGAAAGCAAATCATCAAAACAAATGAATTCCTGAAAACTCTTCCAGTAATTGAAGACTTAAATGATAAAGAAGAAGTTGAAATGTTTACATCACATATTTTCATAAACATCACTCAGATATCTCTACAATCCAAGAAGCGTGCACCTATTCGAAATGTAATCAAATCCGCTGTTGATCCATCTCTGATTAGAAGTAGCAGACTTTATACCAAATTATTAAAGAAAAACCCAAATAGTCAGACCATCAAAAACAAACTTAAAGACATCAAGAAGTTAATCAGAAAACAAACACAAGAAGCTATAAACTCTCATTTCAATCATAAAGAAACTGAACCAGCCAAACTCTGGAAAAATATCAACAGCCTCTTTAAACAATCAACCATTCCATCTGATTCCTTCCACCTTAATACACTAAAGGAGATTGAAAAATTCACACTAACATCGTTTCAGGAACTGCTTAAAATGACCTCCACTCCAGCTGAACCAACTGTCACCGACAAGGAATACACCATTAGCAAGGAGGAAATCTTGTCGATCACCAAAGGACTAAACGACTCCTCTCCTGGACCTGATCACTTGGACAAAAAGGCAACCATCGCAATAATCTCTGATAATATTGATTTCTTTCATTCTTTATATAACACACTTTTTAACAACTCCATCTTTCCCAAATGCTGGAAAATCAGTTCAGTAACTCTTATCCCAAAAGCTGATAATGTTAGGGTTAGAACCATCCAAACTACCTCTAATCTAGCTAAAATTTTAGAAACCATCATCAAAAATAGGATAATGAACTTAATGCCCACTTCATCCTTTAGACTACAACATGCTTATCTGACAAACAAAAGCATCTCATCCTGCTTGCTATCTATCTTTTCTCATCATGCATCACCTTTAGTCCTTCTTCAAACAGATGTGATAGGTGCTTTTGATCACGTATCACACTCTGCTTTTCTATCTTTTCTTGAGCAACTTAACATTAATCCAACTCTACTCTCACTAATACAACATTATTTAACTGATAGAACAGGAATAATATTTAGGGAAAATGAAATTCTGTTCAGGGAAGATGGAGATAATGAGGGTGTACCTCAGGGTTCAATCCTAGGTCCTTTCCTTTTCATTATTGCACTTGACCCAATACTCAACTCACTTCAATTCGAAACTTTCAACAACAAAATAACCTCCAGTTCATATCAATGCAAGTTTGTTGCCTATGCTGACGATATTTTCATCAGCATACTTGACAGCAGAATTGTTGCCCATCCCATCCTCCTAACCCAAATTGTCACCAAAATTATTGACAAGCTAAATATTGAACTAAACAGAATCTCACTATCTGCCTCTCTTGAAAAATCTCATCTCATGGTTACACCTGTCATGCTGTCAAAAATGGATGTTGAATCCTTACCTCTATCTGTCTCATCCAAAGCAACCTGTTTAGGTTTTCCCATTCATTATGCCCGTTCATATGACTCGTACACAGATACGAAAACCCTTCTTAACAACATAAATAACGAATCAAAACAATATATCAATAACAATCCCATTTCAAAAAGCATTCCATGTGAGACGAGGAAGATTCTTCTTTACTCTCTTGTCTACAGCAAAATCACTCCGTATTCCCCTGTCCTTCTTCCACTTTTCGTTAACAACCGCAATTTCAGAGATAATCTTATCTCTACTTTAATGAATAACTTTAATCATGCTTTTGGTATAAGAGGACAAGACAGCAGACTTTTTGCCTATGCAGCAATTGGCATCAAACCTATTTGGTGGATATGCATCAAAACTGCAGTTAAGCAGGTCCTGCTCCTCAAAGCAAATAATATCTTTACTCCTTTACATAACACGATCTATCATCAAATCAATTTGCCAGTTAGAAGTAACTCAATCTGGTGCAACTATGAAACCTTTGCCAAAGAATTTACGGATATCCAAGCCCAAGAGATATGGAAGGATAAATTAAACTCATACGAAAAAGATAAACCAAATTGTAAACTAATACTACCGAATTGGAAACTCCTTTCTTCCTTTGACAGAGTTACCCCTCATCTCAGACTCCTCATGGGAGGATATGATTTCATATTGGCCAAAACAAACTGTAAATGCGGTTATCCCAAACCGGATGTCATACATTTAATAGCTCATTGTTCATATTATGAGAATATCAGACCTGTAATTCCCGAACCCTTACAACACTTGACTCTACCTCAACTAGCCCTTACAAAACCACTCACATGCTATAAGTTACTCAAAACTATTTGCAATGATTTCGTTTTCAATGATTTTTCTACCTGTAACCATCCCATATAAACCTATATTGCTAATACTATGTACCCACCAAGCGGCGCCACCAATGCTGCTACCTCAATGAGGTTTTATTAAAATAAAGATAGTATCTTGTGATCCTGCTTCTTTTTCCCGCTTTTTTCTTTGTCCCCAAGCCACCATTACCTTTTAAAGTTTAAATCTTATCCAGTTTTGTTTCTGCCTTTTAACTCGTTAATTGTTACATTTCCAGATCAATTTTATTTGTTTTTTAATTCTCAATTGTTTTAAGATAATTGATTAAATCTTTTTTAGTTCCACCATGGCTGAGTTTTATAAAGAATACCTTGATTTTCTCGATGATGAGGTAAGTAACAGTTTTTCTTCATTGGGCTAACAGTGTTATGTCAACTTCTTTATCGGCATACTTAACTTTTTGTGTTTTTATTTTATTTCTTAATTATTTCAGAGCGACCATGGTATTTATTATCGCCTGGTTAAAGAGATGATTGCTCATAATGAAATGAGACTAATAGTCAATATCAATGACTTGAGAAAAAAGAATCCCGTTCGCGCTAAAGCATTGTTGACCTGTGCATTTGAAGAGCTACTAAGTTTTGAACGGGCTCTTCGTGATTTCACTCTAACAATCGATCAAGAATACTTGAAAAAAGTTCCTGATCTCTTCATTGGTTTGGAAGGGTCATTTGGTAACAAACATGTTACACCAAGATCTTTGACAAGCAGCTATCTTGGTCAAATTGTTTGTGTTGAAGGTATAGTGACCAAGTGCTCGCTTGTTCGACCCAAAGTCATCAAATCAGTACATTACTGCCCAGTGACAAAAAAAGTGATGGAGCGTAAATACACTGATTTAACATCATATGATGCTTTTCCTTCATCTACCGTTTATCCAACTAAAGATGAAGATGGAAATCTTCTAGAAACTGAGTTTGGGCTCTCTACTTATAAGGACCATCAAACATTTACAATTCAAGAAATGCCCGAAAAGGCTCCTGCCGGACAGCTTCCTCGTTCTGTAGATATTATAGCTGACAATGATTTGGTTGACAAATGTAAACCTGGAGACCGAGTTCAAGTTATTGGTGTTTTTCGTTGCTTACCATCTAAACAAGGAAACTATTCAAGTGGTACTTTTAGAACTGTTTTACTGGCTAATAACATTGAATTATTGTCCAAAGAAGTCGCTCCTTCTATTTCTGCTGAAGATGTACAGAAGTGTCGATCTTTTAGCCGACAGCGCAACAAGAATGTTTTCGAAGAACTGGCTAGATCATTGGCCCCGTCAATTCATGGTCATGAATATATTAAAAAAGCTCTTCTTTGTATGTTACTTGGAGGTGTTGAGAAAAATCTCCCAAATGGTACAAGGCTAAGAGGAGATATAAATATTCTTTTGGTCGGTGACCCTTCGGTGGCCAAGTCTCAGATGCTTCGATATGTTTTACATACTGCTCCAAGAGCCATTGCTACTACTGGTAGAGGATCATCCGGTGTTGGTCTTACTGCCGCAGTTACCAATGATTTTGAAACTGGTGAAAGAAGACTTGAAGCTGGTGCCATGGTTTTAGCAGATCGTGGAGTTGTTTGTATTGATGAATTCGACAAAATGTCAGACATTGATAGGACTGCAATTCATGAAGTTATGGAACAAGGTCGAGTAACTATTACCAAAGCTGGTATTCATGCTAAGCTTAACGCTCGTTGTTCAGTCCTTGCTGCAGCTAACCCTGTTTATGGAAGAGTAAGCTACTTTTCATATTTCTCTTATTACTGTATTTTATGTGGTTATAGTCACTCATTCCGTTTTGTCTTTTTTTTCTTAACAGTACGATGAATACAAAAATCCTATGGATAATATTGGTCTCCAAGATTCTCTATTATCTCGTTTCGATTTACTTTTTATTCTTCTTGATAAACACGACCGCGACCTTGATACCGCAATCGCTGATCATGTTGTTAGGATACATCGATATAGAGCTCCAAATGAAGAAGATGGTGAACGTATGTATTATTTTAATTTAAAATCAACACAAAATTTTAATCTTATTTTAATCGTTTTTTTTCTCCAGCATTGCCTATAATTTCATCTGCCGATTTCCTTTCAACCAAAAACCTCGAGACGATTGATGAGGAAGAAGGTGATACTCCCATTTATGAGAAATATGATAACTTGTTGCACGCGAACAGATCCAAATCGTAAGTAAACTTGACTTATTTCGAATCATAAGCAGATTTTAACTTTTTTTGTTATTCACAGGGAAAAAATTGTGAGTGTTCAATTCATGAAAAAATACATTCACATTGCTAAATCAATGAAACCTGTTTTGACTCAAGAAGCTTGTGAGAAAATTTCAGAAGCTTATTCCAAGCTTCGATGCTACGACCAAGAACACGCGGATTTAGCCAAAGTAAGTCGCTTAAATCACTTTTTTCAATATCTCTTATTGCAATATCTAATGATAAAATTCCATTTTTCAGACTCAACCAGTTACAGCGCGTTCATTGGAAACTCTGATCCGTCTTTCCACTGCTCATGCCAAAGCTAGATTGAGTAGGATAGTCGAAGCTCGAGATGCTGATGCTGCTATTGAATTGATTCAATTTGCCATTTTCAAGAAGGTTTATGATAAACCAAAAAAGCGAAGACGAGATGAAGAAGAAGGTGAAGAAAGTGGCGACGGAAGTGATGTTGAAGTAGACTCAGAAACAGATGAAGTTGTTCCTGTATCGGAAAGAAGCAGAGCAGCTAAAAGAAAGGAAAGATTGAGTAGTGAAGAAAAGGACGAGCCAACTCAAAGAGAGCCTAAGGTTAAAAAACCTAGATCCAAGTCCACAAAACATGAATCTCAAGAAATGGAAACAGATGACTCTTCACGAGCAGAGCCTTCAGGAGAAACATCAGGAGAAACATCGAGCGCAATGACTACGCAGATTGAGGTTGAAATTAATGAAACGAGATTGAAAAAGTTCAAAAAGATGTTGATGAACGAATTTCGTAAAAGCCATGCCCAATCATTACCTATTAGTGCCATTAAAGAAGTTTTTTGTAAAGACGGGGATGATAGCTGGTCCTCTATCGAAGTTGATGCTTGTTTAAATCGAATGCAAGATGACAACAATATAATGATTACAGAATCAGTTGTTTTCATCATTTAAACAATCATCACAGTTCTGTCAATTCAAGTTATATTTTAATCAACAGAAAATGGTTTTTGATCTGATTGAAATGTAAATTTCATCGAATGAATACTAAACAATAAATCGAAAACTTTTTTACATCACAATTTTGGATATGAAAATTTATCGAAAAATTACGCAAAATTTTCTTTTAACAAACATTAGTCTTTCAAAACTATTCTCAATTTTATGAAAAGCTCAAATTTCAGATGACAAATTATATTAAACTTTGATTTCTTTAGAATGATACATGTAATACATGCATATCATTTCAACCAATTTATCGTCAAATTGATGTTTAACTGGATTTTGACTCTGTCAGTGGAAATCCATTCGTAGAGGAATTCTTAGTTCGCTGGACAGATTCTTTTATGAATGAGTCTATATGCCTTGCACAATCGATTGGAGAGGCTAAATGAAGATAATGGTCCCCACTAACTTTAATTAATTTGAAGTAACCAGTTGATTTGTGAACATCTAGAATTGCTTGAGCCTCTGGTGTATCGAGTTTAGTTGTACCTCTGCTGCCACATAGAATGAATTTCTCGCATTTAGCGTTAGAGTAAAGTTGAACCAATGTGTTTAGATCATATTTTTGATGTACGATAGCAGTTAATCGGGGATCTCGGGTGAATATGTAACCATCGGGTGTTTCTCGAGCAGCCCTTTTTAACAAATAAGAAGCCATCTTTTTGTTCAAAGATCCATTGTAATGAGTACTGATGAGAATATCAATACAATCATCATAAGAGTAGGGTTTAGTCATTTTGGGTCGTTGTTCACTTTCAAGAAATATTTGAATTGAGTTAGCCATTTCTTGAGCAATTGACTCAGCTGGATAGGTAGCCTCTTTGAATATGTCACAGGCGATTATCCTTTCCACCTTTTCTGGATAGACGCAAGCATACATTAATGCCACATTTCCACCCATAGAATGTCCCAAAAAAGAAATCTTATCAAGGTTGAAAAAATTAACAATTCGTCTTAGATCAATTAACCAAGAAATGTTTCTATATGGAACGCCTGGTGGGTAATGAGATGATAATCCATGTCCAGGTAAATCAACAGCTATGATGTGATAATTTCCTTCAAGGCTTTCAATTAAAGGGTCAAATGTTGATGCATTGTCCATCCAACCATGTAAAGCAATTATTGTTAAATCGGCTTCTTCTTGATTACCCCAAACTTTGGCAGCTATGAAACCATAAGGAATTGGAATCCGAATTTCCTTTGATTCTTTAACCATATTCTTCTTATTGTTATGACCAAATATAAACAGTAAACTGATGAGTGTAACTATAAAAAGAACAATTGCTAGGAAAAAACAAGAATAAGAACTTTTAATAACAAATTGTTTAAGATGAAGATTAAATGATGATGTTGACGAGATGAGGAAAAATAGACGAGATAATATTTAGACTGGATAAACAACTTTTATTTTCCGGTTAATTAACCACCGTCTCTTCTAATTATACCGCCAATTTTGACAGGTTTAAAAACATTTTGAAAAAAAAGTATGATGCAACAGCCAATATTTATAATGAAGTGCTATGGAGCAGGACATTGAAAAATTTTAAGTTAATTTTTGTCGATTGTAAATAAAAATTTGACAATACAAACTGAAATATCTAAACTAATACAATAAAAAATCAATTCAAAAATACGAGTTCCATAGGCAACAAATTATTATTCATATGCATGTACAATGTATCTTGCATCTTGAATAAGTTGTATACCTGTCAGTATGCTGCCACAAACTCCGCCAAATGAATAAAAAACCACAAAAATGAGGAATGACTTGATACCGGTAATGACAATTTGAATAAATGAAGCTAGCTAACAGATATACATGTTTTTTTTGCGGCAAAAATGGAAAATTAATAATTAATAAACCGTATCTGTTGCATTTATCCATAAAAAATTGAGAACAAATCTATTATAAAAATTACTTTTTAAATTGCAGTAACAGGGTTGAAAATACAGTTATGATTATTTAGAGAACCATTTGGGCATCTAAAGTAGTTTCCATCCATTGAGGAGATGATTGACTTATTTTTTCGATTAGGTTGTTAACTTGGAAACATATATCTTGAATTTGTTCATCAAAGGTAGGCAAAATATCTCTCGTTTCAAAGTGAACAATAGAAGCGATTTGATCAATTGAACCAGCCATTCTTCCTTCAGTAATCATTTGCGATGCGATTCTCTCAGCTTTTCGAGGATCGATTTCTAAAATGGCTCCTAACTCCACGAATTTAATATTATTGTAAAGTTTAGAAGCAGATAGCAAATTGTGTTCAACAATAGCTCGATCCAATATGGAAGAACCATCAGCAGTTTTGGCCCTCTGATGCGCGGCAAGTAATTCGGAGATTTCATCCATTTCTGACCTTTTGATTATCCTATCAAGATACATTTTCTCTAAAATGTTGAAGCAAGGTAGCTGTTGACACCTTTCATCTTTGAATAGATTAGCCAACATTCGAGACCTTTGCTGACCTGATTATGAAAAAAATATTGAAAATAAATAAAAAATCTTCATCTAGAAACCTTTAAATTGAGGCTTACCGGCAGAGGCTAAAACAGTACAAATCATAGCTTTTTTCAAGCTTTCAATTCTTTCATTTTCGTCAACAATTGTTTTATAGCTGAGTTCATTATATCTCTGAGCAGCTTCTATAAATTTTCTACGATAATCAAGAACGCGAGCATAACAGACTTTGTAATGTACTTGCAATTGTTCATTTTGTGTTGAAGCTTGGAGCATGGACGCACGGTTTATGAAAGCTTCAGCTTGAACAGGATCTTCATCTTCTAAGTACAGTCGAGCAATTTTCAGATACGTTTCTAATTTATAATCAGCTGTATAGTGTTTTTGGCCAGTTTCTAATGGGATTCCAACCTGAAAATCAAAATTTGGTAAAGAAATGATAAGAAAATGTCTGTGAGATTCTTAAAAATTATAACTTACCAAGACATTAGCGGCCTCTTTCCATTGTTCCTCTTTCTCATAAATACCTGCTAAATGTTGACGAATTGCGGCGACTTGTTCCTCAAATGATATAACACGAGGTTGAACTTTGTCCAATATGAAATGAGCAATGGACTTGGTAACATCATTTTGAAATTTTGTCAACATAGCGGCAATGTCAATCAACAATTGTCTGGATATAACCAAACTAACTGATTCATTTATAATACTTTTGACGAAAAGCTTAACTCCTTCGATCAATTCATTGATATTTTGATTTGCAACAATAGCATCTAAAATAACACGATACTTGTCAGTCTGATCCTTTGGTGATCCACCGGTTGCTGCAACTTGAGCAAGAGCAGCACTTAACTCTTCCTGTTAAAAGAGATAGATAAAGTATTAGCGCATTTTGATCTTAAAATATAAATTGGCTTACCATTTGAAATCAGAATGATCTAATAGTCACAAGGAATCAAGCAACCCAAGTTTTCCTACAATTGGATAAATCAAGCAAAATTTACTGTAAAATCCCAAACAGAGTAAAATGATACTTACTCCACCTAGCGGTTACTATGAACATTGAAAGCGGTAATTCGAATGCTCTTATGGGGCCAAAATTAAATTTCAATGTCGTAACTCAGAAGCTGACAAAACATCTTCTGAAAGTGAAAAATCTCCATTGAAAGAAAGTATGGTTTTGGTTATATTCCAGGTCTATTTATGCTTAAATTTAATGTGTTTGTCCATCAACAGAATAGAGTGTGACATGAGGCTAGAAAGTCTTGGAGATTCTCTTCCATCTGTGAATTTCCTCCGAGTCGGGTTTTTTTCTTGGACTTTTAAAAATTTTTGTACCTGATGATGTCCAACAAAATCTATTATCCAGCCAACTTTCAATTTTGTCGACAGAGAGCAGCAAGAAGCTATCCATACTTATTTAGATTATCCGTTTTATTTGTGAGGCAATTACAACGGCTATAATACTGGATAAACAAGATAATGTATGTTAGGGTCAATCGATAGTGTAATCTCTAGAAATTCAGTAAAATTGAATTATCATTAAGGGATAGGGATGCTTAATTCATACATGTCAGGGATTTGTTTTATTTTGCCAGTTGGTCGTTTTCATAAACAAAGGAATCAAATGAATCTGATGGCCTTATTACAGATCTCAAGTTGTAGAACGTTACCGTTCTTGAGATCTTTTGTGACTAAATGCACCAATTTGAAACATTAATGGAAGTTGGTTGTTACTAAAAAGACACAATAAACACAATTGTCACATTTATACACAAATGGGAAAAAACGGGTAAAATCAATTTCTTTCAAATTAAAACTCTGTTGGTCTGTAGAGAATGCCAGTTTGTCAATATTGCTCTTGATTTTGGCCTTTTGGTTTAAAAACTTTGAACATAAATATTTCGAGAATCGTACCACATACAATCATCATTCTTTAACCAAACATGTGATTTCATCATGGGCTATAATGTATTGAAATATCAAAACATTAAAGATTCTTCAAATAAAGTTATAGCATTTTATTGCTTATGTAGTCAAATTTGAGACTTGCTTTATAAAGCTGAACACAAATCTTAGGCGCTAGAAGCATTTTGCTTATTTGATGAATTAACTCAGATTTCATTCAGTATTTAGCCATATAATCTTATAGTCCATAATGAAATCTAATGTTTATTGTGAGAATGATGATTTTAGATGATTCCAGTCCCGAAATATCGAGGCTCAAAGTTTTGTGAAAAACGAACAAAATCAAGAGAACTGTTAATAAATTGAAAAAAATGTTTGATCCATGATGTGAGCCAACAATTTTTATGGTCACATAATGAGTTTTAGCTTGCTAACTCTTACGGGCACAGATTAAGGCCGGTTTAACTGATAATCGAACTGATCTGTTTTACAGAAAACAGAAAATGTTATTCCTCAAAATAAGTAAATTTTATGGTTGGCCATTGAAATTTACATCAGGAAAATAAAGTTTCATGGAAAAATCTGCTCTCATAGCTGAACAAAAGACGTTCGAAGTTTCAACTTTGACCTCAATTTTCTAGAAAACTATTGATCAGGTGAATTATTTAAAAGCACCAATGGATGTAGTTTTTATGTCACAATAAACCCATAAAGTCTTAACTCTCAACTCGCATGTTCGGGCCTTTGGCAGCAATCTTTTCAATTCATTTTCAGGTTTAACCAGAAAATTGTTTTATTTACCAAGAAATGTGTTGAGATGAGTTTTGTTTGTTGAATAAGTTGTTCCTCACACATTTAAAACCCAAATATTATGAACCAAATGCGCTAATTGAAAGTTAATAAATTGCATTGAATAATTGATCAACAAAGAGTTAATTTGGTAAAAGAATTATAATTGCAGGTTCCACTATTCTCGAAATATTGAGCCATAAAGTTTTAGTGCCAATAGGCAAAATCAAGAGAACTGTTGCTAAATTGATGCAAGTATCCGATCCACGATGTGAACCAACAATTTCTATGGACAAAGAATAAGTCTTAGCTCTTTAACTCTTACGGTCACAGAAATCGACCGGTTTAACTGAAAATCGTATTAATCTGTTTTGCAGAAAACAGGAAATTTTTATTTCTCCAAATAAATTATTTTCTGGTTGATCAACAAACGTTACATCAGTACTATGAGTTTCATGACAAAATCTGCTTCCATAATTGCCCAAAAGGGAATCGAAGTTCCAAATTCGGACCTGATTTGTTCCAAAACTGTCGATCGGAGAAATCTTAAAATCGCACAAACGAACTGAGTTTTTATTTCTCTACAGACCAACAGAGTCTTAATTTGAAAGAAATTGATTTTACCCGTTTTTTCCCATTTGTGTATAAATGTGACAATTGTGTTTATTGTGTCTTTTTAGTAACAACCAACTTCCATTAATGTTTCAAATTGGCTCAGTTGCTACTGGCGCAGTTTGGTCAGAACTTAAAAGTTGATCAATCGTCAACTAATATCAGCCGAGTTCTTATAAAAAAGTATATGTTAAATAAGCTTCATCTGAAATCCTTTAACATCCATTGAAAATTCCTATTTGTCTAATCATTTAGAAGCTAGTCACTAGTTTGGGCCAAAAAAGCAACGCCAGGTGATAGGACAAGTCTTGTCTTTGACTAATCAAGCCTTTACTTTAAAAAAATCATGTTCCATCAATCTGAAATGACTGTATCAACACATTTCCAGTTCCTCGTCGAAATCGAAGTCACATGTTAATTTACATTTTGTTTAATAATCAAGTTGATCAATGATCGATTGTCTGGACACATCGAGGTGACGAAAACACTCGAAGCACTAATCATCAATTTCAACATCACTCATAATCTCAGTTTATAATCATTTCTTATTGAATTCAAAGAATATATTATTCATGTTTCAGAGTTTTATCTTACCTTTAAAATCATAAATCAAGAAATTTTCTCTTTTTTCCGGTTGATTTTTTGGACACTTGTAAACAGTTTTAATTTATTTATTTACATATCAATTCAAGCAAAATCTAATTAACACGATTAGCTGATTGAACCGTAAAAATTACTAAATAAATTCGTAGTAAACAAATATAAAATTATATAATAACTTGACCAATTTCAATAAACTTTAACCATTAAAATAATACAACCAAAGACACCAAAAGCTACTTTGCGCTAATTGCTATTATTATTTAATTCATGCCAATGTAAGATTAAGAAGATGCTAAACTTTAGTCAAATTACAGAGCAATTAAAATACTGACTCTCATAATTTTTGAAACAGCAACAAACCAGTCAAAATACATGTAATTATACATGAACATGTAACTTGATTGAACGATCAAGGTTATTTTGAGCAACGAACTTTGCAACGAAAAAATTCTCCAAATGTTAAGCTCAAGTAAAAGTTATCAATACTTCAAGCAATCTATTTTATGTTGAATTCAATTTTTATAGTTATGAGCCATTAATGTACATTAATTACGAAAATTACAAGCCCTTGTAATATTTATATTGATTGGTGATTGAGTTGAATGTTTTGTGCACAATTTAATGTTCTGAAGACTTTTCATTTGTTTCATTTCATTCGTCAGACAATCAACTGGAAACGAATAGAATATGATAACAGAATTGTTTGTTTCTTCAGGATAATTTTATTCAATTTTTATTGTCAATATTCATATTTATTGCTGTTTTGTCCAGCGATTCTTGTCATCGCATCTTTAAATGAAGTTTAATCAGATTGAACACTTTGAACAAAATATTAGGAAAACCCTGAATGAACAGACAAAAGAGTTGAAACTAGCACGTGCAAGTGATTCCAAGTTTCTACATTTAATTAATAGTTACTGGAAACATTAATGTAGTTTCAACTGAATTAATTGCAGTTTAGATAAATAGACTTTAGTCTTTAAATGAATGACACTTTGATCTTTCTCGTTTGAGTTTGAGATAAAAATTAAAGATGAATTACTTTCAGTACAAGGTTGATGATGAAAAATGAAATGAATTAAATTAGCTGGGCTTAAATGGTCAAACAGATGAACTTGTCTTGTCTATTAACCTGTGGAGTTAAGTTGAGTGGAAGAAACCTGGATAAGATGTTAGTAAATGAAATGCTGAGAGCAACTGTTGAAACATTTAGACTGGTTTCAACTGAATTCAGCCTTTCTTTTGTCATTTCAATTTGACAAGGTCATAACAATATAAGTTGAATATTGATTACTGATTGGATGATTGATAGTTTAACCAGAACTTCAAGTCAATTTGTATTACTGTTTCAAAACACAAGTCAGTTAATAAAAGTTTATAAAAATAAAATTTCAAGCTTTTAATGTGATAGAATGAAAAAATAAAGTAAAATCTTGAAAAACGATCAAATAGATCGGTTGCTTTGATTAACATACTGAGCAATAACACTTGATGCCTTGAGGCAATAACTTGCCAGGGCAACAAATGAAAGTGAAAGTGAGGATAAAAAATAATAATGAAATCAGGTCTTGTGTACATAGAAGGACCACTTTTTGGTGATAATAATTGGTTAAACTTGAAGATCAACTCAATCATCTGATTAAACTAGATTAATACAATGAGAGAGGTTGAAGTAAGACAATTATGGTTAATATCTTTGATCGGGTGTGGTTGCATCCATTGATGTTGTGATCAGGATGATGTTCAGGTTGATGATGCTTTACCTTCAATGATGCTCAGTACTTTCCTCTCGCCATCATTTTGATGGACTGAATAAGGAGAGAGAGAGAGAGAACAGAAGATCCTGAGGCGATTTTCCCACGGCTTGATGAAAAATGGGGCCTTCTGATCATCATTATCATCTTCTTACATAAACTTAAGATCAAATTCTAGGCACGAAAATTAAGGATTACATTCCTAGTTATTCCTCTCTTTGCTCTCGGATAATTTTTGAAACTTGAATATCCAGTAAACAGTAAGAAAGAAGGAAGGAAATATTCACTGAAAGGATCAGACGTGGTTCACCCAGGTATACACATGATTCCTCTGTGTGTTTTTTGTTGGGTGGAGATAAAATGATGAGAGAAAGAGAGAGAATGAAGAAGAAGGTCGAGGTGGAATGAAAACATCTTCAATTGTCACTGGACTTTATCTTCATTTCTCCCTTTTTCTCTCCCTTCTCCTCTGCCACTCTTAGCCCTCAACCTACCTCTCTAAGCCTCACTCTCTCTGGGTCAGAATTATATAAAAGAGTCAACTCGATCATATTCAAATCATCTTCAGCTCAATCGTCCAACGATCACAGTTAATTTCAAAACTCAACTTTCTCTTGCTTCAACGCTCAACCCAACTCAAACCCTCAAACTCAAAATGATGGTAAGTTTTATCATTGATATTATTTCATTAAACTGATTCCTTGTTTACCAACAACTAATCTGAATTTTGTTTTCCCTTTAGTCAAAAGTTGTTATCCTCTTCGCCCTCTTCGCCTGTGCTTTAGCCGGTGCCGTCTACAGCCCAGCTTACGCTACCTACAGCCCATACGCCAGCTACGCTTACACTCCAAGCTACACTCCAGCCTACACCGCTTCCTACAACCCAGGTTACTACGGCAGCTACTACGGATCCTATGCTCCAGCCTGGAACTACGGATCTTACTATGGAACTCCAGCTTATGGTTATGGCTCCGGCTATGGATATGCTTACTCTCCATACACTTCTTACTCAACCATCCTTAAGAAGTAAACTGTCCAACTGTTTCCTCAACCGGCCTCAATCAATGGGATTTTCATGTTAATCCTTGCGATTTCCCTTCTGATCGATCTCTTCTTTTGTTCCAACTTATAAACTCACTACATTCGCCACGCACAAAACGGTTTGTTCATTTTTCTCGTCAGACAGTTTAGTTTTCTTTACACACAAAACAAATCACTTGTTAGTTCAAAACGAAAACAAAAACAAAACAAAAATGTTGACATTATTTGGCAGAACTATTTTTATTCTTCGTCTCGAAAACAACATCTTCGAATTGTAATGTCGTTCTAACAGTTTGATCATTCACAATAAAAAATTGTTCACAAAAACAAAAAAAAAGTTTCCTTTAATTTTGTTCTCAATCGCTCAACCAATTCAAATAACATCGATATTATTATTAAAAATGGTTTCATCAGCAACTATAAAGTAAATCTTAAAAAATCAAATTCGGAATGATTTATTAAAAGATGGTGAAACGATTAAAAATCCGTGAAAAATTGAAGCTGTCATAGTGATTGAAAGAGACGAATTCATGATTCTACTGTTGGAACTTTTAACAGATGGAAGGTGTCAATTCATTGTTTTTAACAATTTAATTAACTAACATAAACGAGTAATTCAACGTTTCAATTTCAGCAGTCATATAATCCTTTTTCACTTCAATCATCATTAATCTAACTTTTAATGACAACTTTAGTCAAAACCTGTTAACGCTTGTTTATATTTTATGCTTGGTTGCCTCTCAATATTAAGTAAATAAGGTAATTAACAAGTAATTTTTTGCTTGCAAATCAAACACGAAGTGACAGAAAATTAGTAAATCATCTTCGATGCTTTAGATATTTTGCCATGAAATATCAATTTGATTTTAAGGTTGATAATTAACTGAAAAGTGAAAGTTAGCCTTTTTTCAGTCATATGATGAAAAAACAAAAAAACCGATGTGATGAAAAAATGCCAAATAAAGAGATCTGAACAAGTTTATTGAAAAAGCTGGATTTATTAAACTCTGATCAAAATTTCAAGTATAAAACAAAGATCTGAATGATCGAAAGATCCCAGTTAAACATCTCGATTGTAAATCATGTCATACGTAATAATACATTAAAACATCGTGTACGTTAACATGTACGTTAAAACATCACAATGGTAACGTAAATCTCTTAGCCTTTTCTCAGCCGGTCACACCTACAGGTTACCCCTTTTAAAAAATTTTAGTCAAGGATAACGATTTATCAATTATTTCTTAATAATTATGACTGGGAAAACACTAATTGTATTTTTTGTTGTTTTTTCGCATTCTCTTTACTCTAGCTTTAGCTTCAGCTTTACATAGCCTACAGCCAGATTTGCCATGGATTGAAATCGAGATGAAAAAACTGCATTATTCTAGAAAATCCTCTGACGCAATGGATGTAAGCTTCATCACGATGTGTAAGTAATTATCATTAAGAAATTCACTTCTTTGATGTTCGTGGCCTCTGTCTGTGAGTGCATTGAACGATTTGGACTGGACACCAAGTAGATTATCAACTTGAGTTGGTCACCATTGGACTAGCTTTGATTGAACGAGCGTAACTCTGAAAGAGATAAAAATTAAAGAAATACATTAAAAACCATAAAACAACTTGTATCAATCATAAACTAGAATTGAATGGATTAACTTTTTTCATCGCTCTACCAAAGTTATACTATAAAGTGGTTGAACTATGTTCAAACTTATTAAACCTGGTTATTAGCTTAAATAACAGGTAAAGATATTTACTTTCCTCTGATGATAGATGAATAAATCTTATCTAAAAAAATATAATTAATATCCATGACATAAAATGAAATTTTTCCACATAAAAACAGGAAATAAACTGGTTTTACCAAAAAAACCAATCAATCGTCATTTAATTAGTGAGATTAAGTTTTAGTCTCATTACTGCCTAGTAATGTGGAGTAAGTCAGATTCAAATAAAACTACGATAAGAGCAAAGAGTAAACAAGAGAAAACAAGAAATAGCAAAATTGGGATCGTTTTTTATTGAAGCCATGGCTTATAAATGCCCACTACAGAGGACATCTGCAGTATGTCTTCGGAGATACATTCTCCTACGACATTCTAGGTACTAGGACCTAGATAGGGAAGCACACCGAACGCAGAAAGAGGGATAGATAGAGACTTGAACCTGAGTCGTATGGGTGAAAGTCGGACACCACCTCTCGATCGGTGTTTGTTTTGTGGAGAATTAGGTGGGACTATCGAAAGATTGACGCTCTAATTGGTACCTGAGCACCTTTGGGTAGATATGAACCGTGATCTACAATGTATTAAAATTTTGATTTTTTTGTTAAGAGATGACTCTAAAAGATCAGTGGTGCTACCTTATTGTCCACAATTTAATTAAAATCTCTGATTCTCAAGTTAAAATTGCTTTGACGTATCTTATACTTAAATCTTTGGAGAAAGGAATTGAATTCAGTTATTGAACTAATGATCTACAAGAAGCTCATAACGTAGCCTCTGAACGAGAAAGAAAACTTTGCTTTAGTAAAACTGTAACTTACCACAATTATGGGTTTACCGTCGATTAAATAGCCATTTGTTTCTTGAAGGGCCGAATTTGCTGCATCTTCATTTGGTAAACTAATAAAAGCTTGATTCCGAAACCGGCCTGTTTTGAATACTTGAACATGAAACCTGGTGAATTTAAAATATATCGATATATTATTATAGACCAATATTTTTTTTCTTAGTTCTTACATATTTTTTTCAGATTCGTCTTCTAAATTGATATAACGTCCATAGACACGCTTAAGATCGTGATCTGTTACTCTTTTTCCTAGATTCTTCAAATATAATCTACAACTAGGAGGACCTGGTGCATAGTCTTTATAAGCTGGAACATTGACAAGCTCTTCTGGAGGAAGACGGTTTTGTTTTATCTCATCAGTTGTTGCAAGATCATTGATCCAATCATCTGATTCCTCGTCATTCTCCATATCATTCTGATTACATTTTGAAGAAATCTGACCAAAACCAGAAGACAATTCACTGGTTTCTTCAACTTTTTGAGAAGGCAATAATTCTGAATTAATATTTATTTTTATGGAAATCGGCATCAATTGGTTATGTTCAAATATATTTTCATCTCCTTCGTTATGCGTTGAGCTTGGTTTAAATTCCTGATCCGTTGGTTGTTTTTTCTTCACTTCTCCCAGAATTCCTGTTTTCAACTTTTTAACTCGCCGTTTAAAACTTTTCCCGGACCAATCTGTATTAGCCACATAATTTTCAGATTCAATTTCACTTTCATCTGAGCTAATAGGTTTGACAACCATTTCTTCGAGGTTGTCTTGGAATTGAGAGGGAATTTCATCAAATGGAGGCATCAAATTCATTTTGTTCATTAAATGTAACACTTGGTAGTAAAATTTTGGATGATGAAGACAAGCTCTTGCGATATTACATACAGTTGTTCTATTTGCAGGCGGGTATTTGTACTTAATTTGATGTTTTTTTGGCGCTATCATGTTGATGCTATTACTTTCTCGTTGTTTAATTTGATGTTTTCAGTTACCTAAGATGAAGCACTATTTCTATGAATTACTTTTTGGAATTCACTCCTCTTGCGTCAATCCTTCTTGAATTATTTATTAATCTCAGAGAGCGTGCCAAGAATATAGGCATTCGTGAAGTTCAAATCTGTTAACAACAAAAATAAAGAATTAAAAACAGATCTTGGACGTCTGGAATAAATCTGAGCGCGATATGTTAAATAAGATTGCAGTGGTAGCAATTGCAGACAACTAATTCCCTTACCTAATTTCAGTTTCACACTAAAAAGATCAAAAATCAAGCCAATAATGGAAACATCGAAAAGTTCAAATATTAATCGTTCAACAAATGATATAAAATAATCTAAAAACAATTTATAATTAATTTTATTCCAGTGGTAAGCAATCACGAATTTTTTGTACAATATTCAATTGCAATTTGAAAACCAATTTTTCAGGTTTTCGTACCAAAATATCCGATAAGATTCTAAGTCTTGGATATGTAGTAGATTTTTATTTGCATTAAGAGTATGGCGCGTCATTTCAATTTGTTTAAACTCTAATTGATTGAATGATTGAATACTGAAGAAAATCTGAGCTCATTCATTTAATAATGAATATTCTTCTAACGCATTATAAGACTTGTGTTTGAGTAACCAGATTATGATTATTTGCTTGATATGACTATACGAACCATGTTAAAAGAAGAGGCTGATAACCTTCTGAAAACTCGTGACGCGAAAAAAATAGTGTCCAAGAAATGTGAATACGAGATCTTGATGACTTCATAGAAGAGCTAACTAATGTTGAAAAAGGACACACTTCTGAAAACTCGTGAAGTTGGAAAATCAAGCTCATTTTATTGTAGAAAAGAATTCAAGCCAGATTAAAATGATAGGAGTTAAGAGGAAGAGACAGAGTTTCCAAAAGGAGAAGATATAAGATATAAAGTGATATAAATTCTTTGTATGGGTAAAAAAGAGAATTAATTTAATCATCTAAGAATGTTATTTGACCAGGTCCACCTTTCTTTTTCCAACGGCGGTATCTTTTAGCTACCCCACTTTCCGCTAATTTGGCTCGCATTTCATCGTCCTTTTCCTGCTTCCATGTTTTAAATTTATCTTTGTCCCACAGCTCTAATTCAAGATACTCTAGTTTTTCATCAGCATCGAGAGCATCATATTGACTTTTAGATAAACTCATATTTTTTCTAATTAAATATTCGAACTCTTCATCGCCGTATTCTTCTTTACAAATGCTAAATTTATAGATCCATCGAATCTGGAAGTAAATCCAATTGAATATGGTGATTGGAAGAAGAAACAATTGGATCCAAAGAACATCAGTAATTTTAGGTTTAGCGTAGGCTCCTTTAATGTCCATTTTTTCTTCGATAATTTTTCTCAAAACCCTCTCCTCTTCTTGTCTTATCTCATCTTTGCTTTTGAATCTATTCTTCTTTCTATTAGCTGCTGAATGGTCCAGCAAACCTTCATCTTTTGCTATCTCGGTGGCTTTGATTCTGCAAAAGAAAAAAAAATGAGAAAAAACATTTAAAAAAAGGAATCTTTCAGTTGGAACTTCAGAAATCAAATGGAGTAGAAAAAGTATATCAAGTATCAAATGTAGACTAATAGGGAAAGAGAAGATGGAAAATTCTCACAATAAGATATAAAAAACACGGCTCTTGATAGGAAGTGCAGATTACTGAAACAAAATGGAACAGTATGTTTATTGGCAGGTAATGGAATAATATTGTTGATTCAACAATGTCTTACCTGTATTTAGGAATAGTTAAAAAATAGTCGATAGCTTCATTATATTTGGAAAGACAAGCCCAGTACTGTATACCAGAGATTACAGTGATGGTAATAACGATAACGATCCTAACATCGACTTTCGGTGCATATCGACGCCGATAGTAATGATAATAATGTCTGTACACTTCATCTGGATTGTCCAGCATATAATTGTAATCCTTTCTCTGTTCATCATCTCGTAAAATTTCATATGCGGCGGCTAGTTTAGTGAATTTCTCACTAGCCTCAGCTTTGGCTTCAGCAGTCTTATGAACATCAGGATGGTGTTTCCTCGCTAATTTACGATAAGCTTTTGTAATTTCTTCTTTGGTTGACTCTCGAGTAACATTTAAAACTATGGAAGAAAAGGAAAAGTTAAGTGAAATTAGTTAAAAATTATGACTTTTCAGTTAAATAGAGCAATAATAAAGATACAAGATGATAAAGGTGAGATATGACTTACCATCATAACAGTTGTCAACACCACAGTAGATGCCTTCAAAAAACCCATAAGCAAAGCCTAAATTAAATATCACTAATACTAAAGTCACTTTGATATCCATGTGAATGGTCTGGTGAGGATGGTGATGAAGAAATAACGCCGATGATCACCATCAACTGACAGCTGGTAGCATTAAAAGGTAAATGTGAAAGTTTAGTGTTGGTGAATAACTGAAGACTAATGTAAAGCAATGATTGGTGTTATTTGATTCCGGATTTTTTACCCACCAAAACAGTTTATTCTAAAAAGTTGTTAGCTTACTTTGACTGCTTCAGTTTTTAGACAAATTTTTCTTTTAAACGGAAATCACTGATATCAAAATTTGCGTTACAACAACGTCTACAAAACACATAAACAAGGCTGACAAGTAATGTGGACGATGCAGTTCAAAGTCTCGATCCAGTTGTGAGTCGAAGAGTAATTAAGATGATTCAGTTGAGTGATCAACAGGATGTAACAACTTAAGGACAATGTAAAAAGGAAAGGATTAAAATTAATCTGACTCAGATAATCGTACAATAAAAATATATTCAATAAATAAAAACAAGTAAACAAAAAGACTGTAGCTGTAAAAGCTATTGGTTACACAAATAACAGGTCAAGACTGATAATGATAATTCATTACAAATGGTAAATCAAGTAGCACTGAGATGGGCACGTTGACAATTTATCATTTTATAATTAATAAAAATCTACAATGGAAATAAAGATATAAAATATGCACACAATACAGAGGATGATTGCTAAAGAAGAAGATACAGATGATGCTGTTGAAAGAGTGATGTCACATCACTGATGTGGCAACATAAGGCCTTCAACCTGAAGTGCATTCTGGTTTATTTTTGGGTTAAATACTGGTTCAGTTTTAAATCTTGAAAAGCTATTGAACTTGAATGAGTATTTAATGGGTGAATAAATACTTAAAAAGTTACAGAAGATCTTAAAGGTATGAAGCAAAGTTATTTAATGTATTTTATTATATTTTATTATAAAGATAGTCGTCATGTTGATCATGTCAGGGAGCTAATACTTACCAAATTAACCGTGTTAATTAAAAAGAGAAACAAAGGAGGTGTCTAGGTCAAGACACATCAACGTAAACATCAGCTTTGGGTGTTCATAAATTGTAAATGTAATCAATCTGATAAGTTTTTCACTACTGTTTTAAAAATCGGTATCGTTGAAAATATTTTGCAATGGGTCAAGTTTAAAGCTCAAGAACAACTCAACAAGCAAGGAGTCAAATCGAAGCATAGTAGAGTTCACGTCCCTAAATTAGAAGATGCTAATCTTGCTGGAGAAGCTCGATCAATTGACTGCAGTAGCAGCAGATTAATATTTAGATATCTATTTAGCAAATTGATATATCGGAACTTTAATTACAACTTGAGTCACTAAAATGAAAAAAGAAAATTGTTTTGAAAAGAAAAAATCACTTATTTAATAAGCATTTAATTAGTCACTTAAAACATGACAGCAAATCATCTATAGTTACATATTGTTTTCTAAAAAATAACAATCCTATGAAACTACTAATTTTTCGATTGAGGTCCTGCTTTATAAACATATTCGAGTGCAGAAGAGACAAGTCTCAAATCCTTTTCGATACTTTTTGCCCAATTTTCGACATCACCAAGTTCCTTTGAATAAAAAATAGCAGATGTTTGATTAGATATTTTCGGTCGAATTTACTTTTACAAAAATTTTGGATAAAAAATAATGGCATAAAGAAAAGTTACCTTAACAGATTTGTTCAAATTTTGCATCAGTGAAAGCCATTGATTGACTTGTTTCGAAAACTGCATAACATTTACGTGAAGCTGTTTTGTTTCAGCATCCAATTTCCGTTGGTTAAGATAAGCTTGAGCAACACTGAAATACAAACAGAGAAATAGAGTAAATAAATGTAATAGTTCATTCCTGTTCCTACCTTTCGTTTAGATTATCCACTAAATGATGAGTTAATTCATTAACAGTTTCGGAGGCCACAAGTTTTTTCTTTTCTATCTCTTCTTTTCTTTCTTGTTGCTTGATTTGATGTTCTTTTAGCATCGAAGATAACATATTTATAGTTATTATTTTTAGGGCTACTGATTAGAAATTTACTCCTTAGGTCTCAATCCTTCTTTAATGATTTTTTAACGTCAGGGATTTGATCTTCCCGAAGCGTACCAGGAATATAGGTATTTGTGAAGTCTAAATCTGATAGCAACAAATAAAAAGAATCTCGAACAGATTCGTAGACTTCTGGGATAAATCTGAGCACGATATTAGGTATGTTAAACAAGCTTGAAACTATGGCGACAGTTACGATAAACAGATAACTCTTTTCCGGGCTGAATACTGTACTGCTATAGGGAGTTATTGATTTCAGGTGGCTGAATTTGTAAGGTCTCCAAAAGAAATTGGTTCTTGTAGTTTGAATACACCTAGAGGAATACAGATGTGAGGAGGATGAACTTAGGATCTCTCGATGTCGAACAATATTTCCCAAACTGAATCTTGAAATAGATGATGATAATCGCATGAACGCTAGAGCTGACATTCCATTAAACTGAAAAAAATATAAAGTACACTGCTTAACAAAATAGATAATATTTAAGTGTAATTAGAAATACAAATAATGTCTATTTAATAAAAACAAATCAGATTTTGAACAGCTGATTAATTACCGATATATCGATGAATATTACTTGAAAATTTGATAAACGATTGAATTCATAGATGGCAGTTGAATCGAGTTTGTTATCAACCAATGAAAACTTTGAAAATAAACGTTATTCGATTCGAATTCAAGTTGATCAACAGTCAAAATAATAGTTTCATTCTTTATTCCCGTTAACTATCATCTAGTTCTTTTCATGTAATTCCGTATCTTTTAATAGTTTTTATCAGTTTTATTTCATTTCAAAGTTCATAATTCGACATGGAACCTGATTCACCCGTGCTAGCTTCGGGGGATAGACCTCCACTTAGTTCAAAACCTACAGGTACAAATAAAAGACTAAGTGTTGAGCGGATTTACCAGAAAAAATCACAATTAGAACATATCCTTCTCCGCCCCGATACATATATTGGCTCTGTAGAACCTGTTACTCAACAAATGTGGGTTTATGACGAGGAAAAAAGTGAAATACTATCTAAAGACATAACTTATGTCCCTGGGCTCTATAAAATTTTTGACGAAATACTGGTCAATGCGGCCGATAATAAACAGCGGGATAAATCAATGAACTTAATCAAAATTGATATTGTTCCTGAAGACAATATGATAAGAATTTGGAACAATGGAGCAGGTATACCGGTTGTGTATCACAAGGCGGAAAATATGTACGTTCCGTCCCTGATTTTCGGTCACCTTTTAACTTCATCAAATTTCAATGATGATGAAAAAAAAGTTACAGGAGGTCGTAATGGTTATGGAGCAAAGTTATGTAATGTATTTTCCAAAAAGTTCATCGTAAAAACATCCTCTAAAGCCTATGACAGCTCTTTTGAACAAACATGGACTGATAACATGTCCAAAGCACAAGAAGCTAAAATTGGAAAAGCGGCTAAGTCTGACTTTACATCTGTAACTTTCTACCCTGATCTATCAAAATTTAAAATGCAGTCGTTGGATCCGGATATTGTGGCACTTTTCAAACGTCGTGCATTTGATATTGCTGGCTCTACCAAAGGGGTAAAAGTAGTTCTTAATGGCGAAGAACTACCAATCAAGAACTTCAAAGATTATGTTAATCAATATCTTAAGGGTAAAGTTGATGATCAAGGTGGACCTCTTCAATGTGCGTATGAAGATGTAAGCGATAGATGGCAAATTGCTGTGGCATCCAGTGATAAAGGATTCCAACAAGTTAGCTTTGTGAATAGTATTGCAACTACTAAAGGTGGTCGTCATGTGGAACATGTCAGCGATCTGATACTTACCAAATTGACCGAGGTAATCAAAAAGAAAAACAAAGGAGGCGTCCAGGTCAAGCCACATCAGCTGAAACATCAACTTTGGGTGTTCATAAATTGTTTAATTGAAAATCCGACTTTTGACTCCCAAACTAAAGAAAACATGACATTACAGGCTAAAAATTTTGGATCTAAGTGTAACCCATCTGATAAGTTTTTCACTACTGTTTTAAAAATCGGTATCGTTGAAAATATTTTGCAATGGGTCAAGTTTAAAGCTCAAGAACAGCTCAACAAGCAAGGAGTCAAATCGAAGCATAGTAGAGTTCACGTTCCTAAATTGGAAGATGCTAATCTTGCTGGAGGAGCTCGATCAATTGATTGCACACTGATTTTGACAGAAGGAGACTCTGCCAAATCATTAGTTGTAGCCGGTCTTGGTGTCATCGGAAGAGATAAATATGGTGTATTTCCGTTGCGGGGTAAACTGTTAAACGTGAGAGAAGCCGCTGTCCCACAAATTATGAAGAATGAAGAAATCCAGAATTTAATCAAAATCGTTGGATTAGATTATCGTAAGAAATATGAGCGAGAAGAAGATCTGAAATCTCTTCGATATGGAAAAATTATGATTATGACCGATCAAGATCATGATGGTTCCCACATTAAAGGTCTTCTCATCAATTTCATTCATCATAATTGGCCGAATCTTCTGAAGCTTCCTTTCTTAGAAGAATTCATTACTCCAATCTGTAAAGCCACCAAAGGAAACAAAGTCATCTCATTTTATTCTTTACCAGAATTTGAAGAATGGAAAGCTGAAACTCCTGATCATAAAAATTGGAAGATAAAATACTACAAAGGTTTGGGTACAAGTACCTCTAACGAAGCAAAAGAGTACTTTACAGATCTTGCACGTCACAGGATTCGATTCAAGTATGGAGGTCCTGAAGATGATCAGTCTGTCATTCTTGCGTTTAGTAAGAAAATGGTCGATCAAAGAAAAGAATGGTTGACTAGAGCCATGGAAGAAAGAAAACAAAGACGTGAAGATGGATTAGGAGAAATTTATTTATACCAAAAAGACACAAAAGTCGTTTCATACAAAGATTTTGTCAACAAAGAATTAGTTCTTTTCAGTAATCTTGATAACGAACGATCGATTCCATCAGTAATGGATGGATTCAAACCTGGCCAAAGAAAGGTTTTGTTTACATGTTTCAAACGAAATTTGAAGAATGAAACTAAAGTAGCTCAGTTAGCTGGTACCGTTGGCTCCGAATCAGCATACCATCACGGTGAAGTGTCTTTGATGTCTACAATTGTCAGTTTGGCTCAAGATTTTGTTGGCAGCAACAACATAAATCTATTGCTTCCACTTGGTCAATTCGGGACTAGATTGCAGGGTGGTAAAGATGCCGCCAGTGCTCGTTATATTTTCACCAAATTGAGTCCACTTGCTAGAAAAATATTTTCCAAGTTAGATGAACCTTTACTCCATTATCTATACGATGATAATCAACGAGTTGAACCAGAATATTATGTCCCTATACTCCCAATGGTGTTGGTAAATGGAGCTGACGGAATTGGAACCGGATGGAGCACTAAGATTCCCAATTATAATCCAAGAGATGTTGTTGCAAACTTGAAGAGATTGATTAATGGAGAAGAAGTTGTTCCGATGAAACCCTGGTTCAAAGGATTCCGAGGTTTGATTGAGAAAATCGACGCTCAACGTTATATCAGTTTTGGTGAAGTCGCTATTCTTGATGATGACAGGATTGAAATTACTGAGCTACCAATTCGAGTCTGGGTTCAGGCTTATAAAGAAAATGTTCTCGACCCATTCCTTCATGGTAATGACAAGCAGCCAGTTTTTATTAGCGATTACAAAGAATATCACACAGATACTACTGTTCGCTTCGTTGTTTCCATACCAACTGACAATCTTCGAAAAGCAGAGCAACAAGGTATTCACAAATGTTTTAAACTCCAAACAACATTTACCACTACTTCAATGGTTTTGTTTGATCATAATGGTTGTATTAAAAGGTATGAAACTCCTGAAGAAATTCTGTTGGAGTTCTACGATATACGTCGTGCGTTTTACAAAAAGAGAAAAGAGTATCTTGAAGGAATGCTTGATGCAGAAGCTTCGAAGTTGGAAAATCAAGCTCGTTTCATTGTAGAAAAGAATTCAGGTCAGATTAAAATGGAAGGTGTTGGAGTTAAAGCCATGATCGAGACATTGATTAAAAAGGGTTATGCTTCAGATCCTGTGAAAGCCTGGCAAAAGAAGAACCAGTTCGATTCTCCAGAACAGCCCGTAGATGAAGATAACGAAAATCCAGCCGAATCTAGTCAACAAGAGGACAATCTTACCGGCCCAGATTATGATTACTTGCTTGATATGGCTATGCGATCTATGTTGAAAGAAAAAGCTGATAACCTTCTGAAAACTCGTGATGCGAAAAAAGCAGAACTTGCTGAACTGAAAAAAACTAGTGCCGAAGAAATGTGGCTACGAGATCTTGATGACTTCATAGAAGAACTGACTAATGTTGAAAAAGAACAAGCTGAGGCAGCTGCTAAGGCTATCAAACCAAAAGGTGGAGATGGAGGAAAGATTCGAGGCAAAAGCACTAAAAAGTCCGATGCTGATACTAAACCCTCTGAACTCGCTAGACGGATTAAACCTGAAATTGATGTTGCTTTATATGCTAAACAAGCAGCAAGCAATGAAAACAAAAAACGAGGCAAAAAGTCTTCTAAAGATATTGAAATTGATCTTGATGCAACTGAGATTCTCGAAGAAAGTCCAGTGCTTAGTGACATCGATGAAAATGAGGATAGCCCTCCTGCCTCCAAACCAGAAAGTAAAAAAGTTCTTAAATCCAAATCTGTTACAACCAAAGTGAAAGAACTCGAAGATGATGAAGATGAAGACGAAGATGATTTGCCATTAGCTGCTAGGTTAGAAAGTAAAAAGATGAAGAAAGCAAAAACCAGCGTCACCAAAGAAACCGTAAATATCGAGAATGATGATGATGATGATGTACAGCCACCGCAAAGACGGGAAAACACAAAGATCGGTAAAGCAAAAGCTACAACATCAAAAACAAAGGAAACTAAGACTACTAAGGTCCCAGCCGCTAAAAGTAAAGCAAAAACAACCGCAACAAAAGAAACAGCTCAAAAATCTAAAGCAAAGAAAAGGAAATCTTGGGAATCTGATGAATCTATTTCTGAAGAAGAAGATATAACGTTAAGTTCTGACTCGAGCTTCAATGTCCAAACAAGTTCCAGTGCTCCAGTAGAATCTAAATCAAAAAGGCCTCGTGCAAGAGTCCAATATAGAATTGAAAGTGATGAAAGTAATGATTCATTATTAGACAATCTATAAATTCCATTAAGCGCTCGGATAAATCTTTGGAAGGGTCAATTTTATGGTTTTTCCATTTTTATGTCACTCTATCTTTATTCATAAAATTGATCGATAAAGATTTTTTCGAGGGGATCATGCGTTCATTCATCTTCCCTTCATCATTTCACATTAACCATTATTTTATTGTAATTTCAAATCTTTTAATTCTGCAATTTAATTGTTTTTAATAATGAAAAAACCACAAAATCAATAGATCATCAATGATTAATCATTTTGCCATCTGTAAATAAACATAGTTAACCATTCCCTATTGTTCATTTGAAAAATAAATCTGTGTTTTCAGTTATAAGGATTTGTTATTACTGTCTTCCTTCATTATCAAATGGACAAACAATTGAATTGTTTTCTCGGGCTGAAGGAATGATCAACTGTTTAATAGGAACCCTGATGTATCTTTCATTCATCAATGGTAAAATCCCATTAAAAATATTTGTAGACTTATAAATTGAAGATTTTAATTGCCATCTTTTTCCTTCTGATAGGAGCCTGGTGCCTTGAAAGCTCCATGGTAATTGCCACAAATCGTCCAACCATGGTGAATCTTTCATGTTACTCGTGTTCATCTCTTGAAGATCCTTACTGTCTAAATGTAACCAATGCAACACAAGATTATCTTTCAAAGGAATGTAGATCCAAAGAGAAAATGTGCTCTGTAACCCGAATTGAATACGAAAACTCCGATCATACTGGAACTGTTTTCTGGGCTTTAGAACGGAAATGTTCATCATCGTGTATTCAAGGATGCATAATATTAGGTAATGTAAACATTATATACAAGTGATCTTCGATTTAAATCCGTGTTCTGATTCTAAAACATTCAACTGTGTTGTGTCTCTTTTCAGGTGAAAGAACCAGACTACACTATTGCAGTTCATGCTGTTCAGATGATCTTTGTAATACCAATTCAATGAGCATCGATTTGAAGATGAACAATTTATTAATTGTAACAGCAATCATGGTCCATGCAATTTTTGAATTGTCTCTCAATTTATTCAAATCACTTGCTTAATTTGTACAAAAAAATTTCGCTGTTCAACATTCCTTCTACATCTTAAAAGTAATTAAAGAAAACTAGATTTATTTAAAATCTTCATCTTCTATTCGGAATGATCATGATATTATGATTCTAATTATTTACATGATGGTTGGACATTCAAGTCAGTAACTTCAAATTTCAACTCATCTATCCATGTGTCGAGTAAATAAGAGAAACCATCAGCTGTGACTCAATGTGGATCACACTGGCAACCAAAGAGCTATACTCTTTGCTGGCACACAAAAAAAGTAATGAAAAAAGTGATAAAAAAAGTAAAATTTATTTAATTAAAATTATCTTGAAATTAGATCAATTAGACTGAGCGATCCAAGCTGGTCCTTTTTTGACATCATCTAGCTGAATATTTGTTAAGTTTCTGTTCATCAGATCATTGCCAACCTCAATCATGTCATTTGTCTCATATTGACAGCTTGGATATTTTTCAGTACATTTAGCTACATTTGGTTCAGTCAGATGTGTTTGGAAAGCTGTGCGATATTGGGCAGCAGCTCCAGTATTTGATTCGATTTCACTGCAATAAAAGATGAGAAAATAATTGTGTTTTTTATATTGTCTAGACAAGTTAAAATGGAAGGAAAGTGTTAAATTGATCAACTTACGTGAAGAAACTGGAAATCTGTTCACCGAAATTACCAAAAGCAGTTCGATTATAACCAATTTGGCAAATCAGTCTCATTAAACAGTTATTTTCATCATTATTCTTGATGAAATCAAAATAAACATTCAAGATTTCCTCTGGCGATTCACTTAAAAGATAAGACAAAGTAAAATTTTAATACACAAAAATGGCAGCAACTCTTGATTTATCTACCTTAACGATAACTTACCTTTCATCGTCTTCTGATTGAGTGGTTGGTGGTTTCATTTGAGGAAACTGTGGCTGTGGTTGAGGCTGTTGTGGTTTGAACTGGTTATTTGGTGGTCTAACAGCTCCTTGAACAGTCTGTGGCTTCACTCTTGCGACTTGTTGTGGTGGTGGTTGAAGAATGGGTCTTGATTGTCGAACCACTGGAGCCGTGGGAATGGAAACAGCAGCAACTGCCAAGCCAATTGTGATTGCGAGCAAACAAATTGAAAAATTATAGTTGGACATGATTGTCGTTTAAATTGTGTTTTCTGGTGGATACAAAAAGAGATGAACACTGGAAATGGAAAGCAATCCAAATGAACAGATAATTTCGCCAAACTCACTAGAGCTTGAGGCTTTGAAGGCAGCCAAACACTTGAAATATATTGGACTTTTAGAGGAAATAAAAAAATTTGTTGTCTGAGACAAAACAAAAGGCAAATTTTAAACCAACTCGGAAGAAGGTTAAAGATCAACTAAAGCCTTGATCAGGACTGGTGATGGATTAAAAGGAATCGGTTTCATCGTTATCATGCCAATCGTTATAATAATATCTCCTCCTCTTGAGCAATTTCATTTTTAGAGTAAACAAACTTTAGAAATGCTGAATTATAAGTTGACCGGGAAGAAGATTAATGATATTGGTTATGGTTCCACCCTCTCATTTAGGCACTTACGAACTTTTCAATCAACGCTTTTAAATTATACATTCATCATGTAGCTGAATTACTCTCACTCTAACTCTTTTATCGTATCTTCACACTTACTTGTGATCAACTTCATAATTTATTAAGAGCAAAACTCGGTTACCATTTATCCAGTTTGACATGGTTATTTCGATAGCCATTTGAAATCATTTGGTTTTGTGTGTAATATTAGCTAAAGTTATCATCATTAATGTATATTCATCGATTCAGCAAGAAACATTTAAGCTTAAATAAGCAGAAAAAAGAAGAAAATATTTCGCTTTATTTAATGTGATTCTCGCCTTGCGGATGAATGAATGAAATGCATTAAAAATGGGTAGGATGTACAAGACCAGGTAAAATCACTTTCTCTTTTTCATCTTTTCTCATCATCTTTTATTCTCGTTCTTTCTCTAATCAATCTTCTTTCCTGGTATCATCTTCATCATTTATCCAGTTTATATTGACCTCATTTCCTTGATCGACTTAAATGACCACACCAAATAACCTAAAATCAAAAAGCAAAACCAAATTAAAGAGAAACTTCTATTGTTATCAACACTTTTGACAAACGACAGACTCACATCATTAAGAAGCCATCAGGATATATTTGAACAAGTTTATTTTAATCGAAATTCTAATGATCATTTTCAATCAGAATCAGAATCTCAAATCTCAAGACAAATTCATCGAATCAAATGAAATCTCGTAATAATCTTTCCACTTTCATCATGTTTTTCAACTTGTTAGTACAACTGACTACCAGTTAACTTATTAAAAACCTAAATTATCGTTACTTTTACTTGTATTAAGTTAATAAGTTTTGTCATTTCTGAAGTTAAAACTTCGGAAATTTCATCATTAATTGTGAATTTTTTCTTTTAAAGATGAGACTGTATTAAATTTCAATTCTAATTATCGTTATTCATTCGTTGATAAGATTAAACGATCCAATAATCAAAATTTCAGTGGTTTCTCAAATTGACGCCAATAGACTTGTTTTATTCCAATATAAATGAGCTTGGAAGTTCATTTAAAAATTATCAACTTTCCATTGATGGTTCATGATTTGCAATGAACAATGAAACTCATTCTATTAATAAATTAAGGAAAAAATAATTGGCTAATTGTATCTCAATCCAAAATAACGATGAATTTAAAATGCAATTACTATTTGTACAATGTTATTAACATTTACAATTTTCAGTCTTCAATGAAATAAGATTGTCAATCACTGAATGTTAATTTTTCACGTTCCTATCAGTTCTTTATCAATCTTTCCGCAAAACTCTATTTTAAAGGTTGTACATAAAGTTAACTAAAGTATCAGTTATTCAAGCTTTTGAATTACTGTGTTCAGATCGATAATCAACTGTGCAATTAGTCGAAAGAACTTCATTGTTGTTCTTTTTCGGACTGATCTCTTCATCAACAAGTAATGCTATACGAGTGTAAACAGACCCATTTGATTCAATTTTTGCAAGCGTCTGCTGATCGAAGACTGATTGCAAATTAGATGAAAAAACAATTGATCTAAACATTTCATTCTGAACCTGTTCTGAATCGGAATGATTTTTTGACGATATTAACCTTAGCTTCGTTTTTGATTGCAACTGTCAAATGAAAACCAAAACAATTTTTATTCCTGAAAATGGACAGATAAAAAGTTCTATCATATACAAGAGTTTCATAAATTGTATTAATATTTATGAACCTTTAGTATTGAGTTACTTTCAACTTTTAAAGTGTATTAAAGTTTAACTTACAACCATTAATAGTGAATTAAGTTCTTATATTTATGATAAAACTCAATTAAAATAAATTGATTTAACGATCGATTGAGCTATTAACTTTTATTATCATTACTTGATTACAAATGAATAGTAGTTTAATAGCATTCCAATTAACATTTAGATTAGATCCACTAGAAATTATTATGAACACAAAATCTCAAGAAATTGAATTTCAACTAAGTGCTGACTATTTTTAGACCCTGTAGTCACATCATGTCCATCATTTAATTGCTAAATTTCTTTAAAACCTTTATGATTCTCTAATTTTGACGCAATTAAACAGTGATTCAACTGCTTTTATTATGTTTGAGTTTAACTGTTTGCGAAATGTGTGTTGATGGTGGTGCCATCTTTGATACTAATTGAAAATCTAACCGCAATGTAATAGATGGCATTGCTTGTATCAACTGGATGAAAGTGCTTTTTTAATTTTAATTATTTCCATCACATCTATTGCTTATTTACATTTCTCTTAAGAATACTTTTATCATTAGCTAGTTTACTGTCATATTCATCATGGATAACTTGCCTGTGAAAAGGTATCAAATCAACCAATTAATCATGGACTACCTAGTGGCTCAAGGATTCAAAGAGGCTGCTGAAAAATTTAAACAAGAAGCTGGTTTGAATATGCAGCGATCAAAATCATCTGAAACTGATCCTGATACAGCTGAATTCAATGCTTTACTGGAACAAAGGATACAAATTAGAGAAGCCATCGAAGAGGGTAAAATAAAATATGCTCTGTGTCTAATCAATCAATATTATCCCGAGTTAATCGACCAAAATAGAGGTCTTTATTTTAAGCTACAGGTAATGTAGATTTCTTTGTTTTCTTCAACTGCCCTCTGCCTTCCCTAATTGATGAATAATTTTGAAAATCATACGTTCAACAAATTGATATAATAGGTACACTTAATACAAGATGGTACCTCTTATCTTGTCACCAACTGTCATCTATTGACCATCTGAAGATACATGTATTCATGTTTATCTTCGCAGGGAGATATCGACTGTTGACTGTCTTGAAATCAATTCCTATCTTCTATTTTAAGTGTTCATTTCAAGCCATGATGATTTTTTTAATATTAATCTATTTCCTTTCTTACTTTTACAGCAACAACAATTAATCGAACTAATCAGAGAGCAAAAGACTGAAGAAGCCTTATCATTTGCACAAGAACAGTTGAATGTTGACTCAGAATATCTCGAACTTCCTGAACTAGAAAGAACACTAGCCTTGCTGGCTTTTGACAAGCCAATGAATTCGCCATACGCTGATCTATTACAATTAGAGCACCGACAGCAACTTGCTCTAGAAGTTAATGGAATTATCCTTCAAGAACAATCTGGATCTGCTGATGTTCAACAGCCTAAGATTATCACGCTGCTTAAACTCCTGCATTGGACTCAAAATGAGTTGGAAAGAAAGAAATGTAAATTCCCTAAAATGGTCGATTTATCAACTGCAGAAGTTATTGGAGAAATTTAAAATGAAATGTACATTGAATATTAGTTCGTCATCTTAACTTATGGCTTATCTCTTATAGCACAATAAGTATCGATTATCATTAATCACTACATAACTTTGTTAATACAAATCAATATTGCGTTTCTTTTTGCTCAATTTTACTACCTGTTTAAATCAAACATAGGACAATTTACATGGTGTTTGAAAGTTGTGTAATCAAAGAAAATAAGGAATCGATAAAATCTCAGTTGTCAAACACAATCAGTGACAAAACGTTTTGCATACCCAGAATTATTTCTAATAACTTCTACTCTTTCTGTAAATAACATCAAATCCATACTTAAATTTCACGCTTATAGTTCATTGTTTCCAATCGCTCTAGAACTTTTTAAATTTGATTAATAAAGGATAGAGGTTAAGATTTTCACCAACTTAAACTTGAAAAAATAAAACGTGGTTATTAACGATAGTTATTCAATTTAATGGTGATCTGGATATTTTTCGGAATGTCAACCGTCAATCATAAAGATAATTCATGTAGGTTTAAGAATTTTCGATATTTTTGAATCTCTACAGCTCTTGTGCGATGAATAATTCCACTGTCTTCTGTTCAGGCTAATTTCAGCTGCATTTATTTTCAGATTACAACAATAGTTGAAAGAGCAAAAACAAAATATAGAGAGAAATCGAAGAAAAATTATTGATCATTTCAAGAGTTCATGCAAAATATTTGCACTGGATCTGCACTACTATGGCTGAGTAGCTCTATGCCACACTAGGCTTGACTAGCTTTAAAATACATTTGGTTCAAAAAGTAAGCTAAAATAAAATTTAAATTATAAACATAAAACTGGTACTTTTCTAGCACTGACAAGTGAGGCATCGATATTTCAAAATTGATTGAATAAAAGTTAACCAGAAAAACAAAGAGATGAGGTAACCTCAAAAATACAGAGAAGTGTTTACATGGATAAATATAAATTACATTATGTAATTGTAGATTTGAATTAGCCTAAGCAAGAGGTGTGCAATCTGATTATTGTAATCTGATGCATTATCTGATCCAAAAATTCCAACATGAAACTAGCTCATATTTCAATTAATCATTGATAGGATTATTATATTTATTACGATTTTATTTATGACAATAAATAGCTTTAAAATCCAGATTAGTCTAGAGTTTTTGTCTTTGGTAAATTGGTGAATTTTGTTCAGTATTTACTTAAGTTACAAGATTTTTTGTGAGATTTTGTATTGATCTTCTGTACAGTAAATAATTTTGTTTTGATTGGTCATGAACAATTTGTATTCAGTTTGTCAATAATAAAGATTGCACTAACACTAAACAGGGTTTACTGAATAGCCCGATTCAGAGTTAATGGCTGTATCTTACTTTTTTTCGTTTATACTTGTAGAAATACGCAAAAGTATTAAATCGATTTGGTTTGGTCTCAAAAGTAAGTTCAATAGTTTAGATGTGAATGATAGTCCAGAATCCAGAATCCACGAGGATCATGATATGTTTGTTTCGTCAGAAATCTATTTTTCAATCACCATAGCGAGTAACATTTAAATTTAACTTAAGATCAGAGATTAAAAGGACGAGATCTATGATCAGCAAACATATATAATTAGTTAACCTCAAGAAAATTTTAAAGGCTGGGCTTGATAGCGTAAAGAATGATAACTCCAGGTTGATATCAATTTTAAATTATCACTTTTGTTTCAATATTTTCTTTGAAATTGGCTTCTTGATTGGTAATCCGAATTTGATATAAGCATCTTTTTCAACCTCTACCAAGTCTCCTGAATTTTGCCATGGCTTCCATATATAATGAAACGTAATAATCCATACGAGAGCTAAACCTTGATAGATACAATATAAAGATCATCAGTATAATCACTCTTTAAATTAACAGATGAGTTGAATTAACGTCGTGAAAAATATTGTGTTACCACTGAATGCAAATGGGAATAGAGTCGTTTGCTGGATTTGAATTGTCTTGTAAACAAAAGATTCGACAGTAAACAGGCTAACATATGCAAGAATAGCACATATCACTAATCGCGTGACACTGCAAGGAAATTTGAAGGAAGCGAATCAACAAATTGTCAAATCCAATAGATGGGTAGATGGTAGACTTACGGATAAACATAGAGATAGATTGACGATTGAATGAGAATGATGGCATTGATAATGGAATAAATACCAAATAGGTGATCAAACGTAATATCTGCGAACAAATTAAACAAAGAATGAGAAATGTACAATTTATCAAGTAAAAGAGCTGATATTTACCATTTTTATAAGTCGTGGAGGTAAAAATTTTGGTTCTGAGAAAATCACGATCCGTAAAGCAGCGAAATGCAGTTCCCACATGCATGAAGGATAAAAAAGCTAACCAACCTCGAGTTGTATAATCTGTCCAATGAGCCATAACTGGAATGTAAACTTAATGATTGAAAATCTTTTAAAGTGATAAAATTAAAATAAACATTGAGAAAAATACAAACACTAAGATTTAAACATTTAACATCCTATTTTTAAACCAAAACAAGATTTTACTTTCAAGCTTCATTGTGAATCTGACATAATTCGGGTTGGTATAGTAATTTATAAAGAAAACATTCAAGTAAATCAGGCTGTGATGATCAAGAAAATGAAATTTTTATTGGTAATATTACAGAGTACGAGTGCAAACTTGTTACAGATTAGCCTGACTTATAATCAGGTCGGAAATGTTCAGTCATAGAGCAATTCCTTCTGGTGTTTGACAAGAAAGGACACTCATAGCAGCATAAGCCACCGCTTCATGTTAACAAGACTTGAACCTGGGACCTCTGGGTACAGAACCAGAAATCTTATCCATGTTGTATGGACACAGGGAGGAGCGTTAATTTAACACACAGTTTGATCCAATCACAAAAAGACGCTCATGTGTTTACAATGTTATTTCGCGAATTTAAATTCATTAAGCGCTAACTATGATATTTCTACAGTAATCCCTCTCAAAATGCGACTCTTACGTCTAATTGTCTATTTTCAAGGCAAATTGTTTAGGCACTATTTAGTTCGCTTTCCCCATGTTTTTTCATAATTTCATGAATTCCTTAGTAATCATGTTTTGTATAACAAAAATTGTTATGGATTAGGCTAAACTTGATATTTACGCTGTCGAGGTTTTGTTACCTTTGTTTCCTTCCATCAAACTCCAATACATGTCCTTCATTATAATTTTATGCCTTTGATTAATTTGTTAGATGCCCACATGGTTCTCTAAATAATCATATCTGTATTTTTAACCCTGTTGTTGCAATTTAAAGCGTAATTTTAAAATAGATATGTTGTTGAAATGTTTTTAGGATAAATGTTAAACTTAAGATTTATATATATATTATTTATAAAGTATACATAGTTCAGATTCTTTTTTTGAGACAAATGGGCCCAAAATTTGAATATATTTCAGATTTTGGTGGGCCATTAAAAACTACCGCCTTTTCTTGCGAAAACAATCAAAAAATGCCCTTTTCCAGGTTATTTTCTAAATATTGGTTACATCTATGTATATATATACACATTAAAAAAGAGAACAAAACAATAAGGAATTATCATCCACTGAGCAGAGGTTGTTGATCACAGTCAAGCTGAGAAGATTGTGATGGTATATTATTTAACTCTATTGTTACAGTCGATGATGTTGAACAATTATGATGGTATGATTGATGAATAGAATCATTTGAATCATCACTTCCCACTGGTCCAATTTCTGTTGATTGGCTAGACCCGTCTTCATCTTCATTTTTACTAGAACGTTCATTGCTACAACTAATATCACCATTTTGAGACTGTTGATTATTTTGTGTGAGTAAAGGATGATTGGAGGATGTTGTACAGTTTGGTTCTTCAATATCAGATACAGCATTACTTTGAGTTGCTGATAGAGTCGATGAAGTTGTTGCTTCATTCATTGTTGGTCTAATATTGATTGAGCCCGTTGTGGGTATCGAAAGTATGTTCATAGTTGCTGGTATGTTTGAGCAAATGCTTGGTCGTTGAAAAACACCAGTATTATAAATACCATCAGATTCTGTGAGTGATTGTTGTGATGGTGGTGGACTAGGCGGACGCCTTCGACCTCTAGGTCTTAATCTTCTAGGTCGTCGACGAGATGAAGAAGATGAACATCCAGCTCCATATTCATCAATACCAGAAACCGCTGAAGCATAGCTTGGAGGAGGCTCTCGATAAAAATATTCAGAGTCTGGACTGAAAAGAGGCGATGTTGAATGACTATTACTACGAGCGAATGGAAAGTACCTTTGGTAAATATGTGATGAAGAGTAAAGATTATTAGTTGCGGAACCGCAATAAGAATCGTCTTGAGCTTGACGTTGCTGTTCAATTTGACGCAAAGCAATCAATTTACATGTACAACTTATAGCAATAACAAGTAAAAGTCCGCAGATAAGAGATCCCATAAGAGCAGCTGTGATAACACTATTTTTTAGACAATTTATTTCATCTGATGAATCTCCACAATCGTTACTTCGATCACAGGTTAAAATAGCTTGGATACAGTTACCATTTGTACAAAGAAAGTTGCCCTGTTCAGGACGGCACTGTTCAGTGGTACAATTTATTTCATCAGATCCATCGTCACAATCAAGAGATGTGTCACATACTTGAATTGAATGGATACATTGTCCATTAGCACAAAGAAATGCTCCGTGATCATGTCGGCAAAGTTCTTTCGTACAGTTTCTTTCATCAGACCCATCAGAACAATCAGCAATACCATTGCAACGCTCATCACGGAAGAAACATTTAGCATTGTTGGCACATAAAATTTTCTTAGCACAACGATGTTTTTCACAACCCATTTCATCAAAAGCATTGGGACAATCGAAAACACCATCGCACCTTTGAGTAAAAGGGTTGAAGCATTTTTTTAAGTCGTCGAACCCACATGAAATTTCATCAGGTCCACAAAGTCCACAGTTAAGTTCATCTTTAAAATCAACACAATCCCAATTACCATTACAACGAGCTCGTTCCGAGTAACAGATTAAACCAGCAGAGCAAACAAACATCCCATGTGGACATTTATCACAGCTTCGTTCATCTGTACCATTAGCACAGTTCCAATTACCATCACAACGGTCTTTGGGGAAAGAGTAACAAGAAAAGGTGTGAGAATCTTCATTTAAACATTGAGCTTCATTTGATTCCCGACAAACATGATCACAATTGGCTTCATCTGAGTTATCGCCACATTCATCTCTTCTATTGCACATCCAAGATTTATCTATACATTTTCCATTCGAACATCTTGATTCTGATTCTAGAACACATGGTTTTCCAATCCATGTTTTACTGTAAGTCGCATGGAAACCGCGACCTCCCGTTCTATTGGCATAAATACCATTAAACAATATTTTTATGCTTTCTCCTTCACTTATGTATGTTTGAAAAATGTCTCTATTATCTTCACTACGGCCACAAAATCTTCTCTCTGGAATGGTTTTATTGTCGATAGATTGTATGATCACGGCACTATCTTGACAGCAAGTTTTACCGACTATAGAGTTGCCCAGAGAAGGATTACATGAATTAACGATTTCAGGAATATCCAAGTCGTCAAAACTATAATAGAAAGAAAAATCGAAATGTAAGTATTTTTATGAAGAGAAATAGTCGGCATGAATTTTTGATTCTACTCGATGACCAAACCATAGTTAAAGTAAATCGATTCAATCGATATTTATGAAAAAATGAATAAAGGTTTAGAGTTCATCTTTCATATAGCCAAAGTAGTTCACAAAAAAGGGGTAGAGTATTCATGCAGACTCTCAACTTATTGATCAATATAAATCTGATGAATATTTGTTACCTTAAAGTGATTATTTCATGAGGTTTTGCTGTAAGAGTCCATGAACAGAAGGTTTCATTGGTGTATGAATAAGGGTAGCCTGGATTGAAAATTGATCCTCGACCTCCTAAAAGCTCAATGTTGTCACAGCTAAGATTTTGAACAAAATAGTGACTTCCATGCAAAGTCAAAGTTTTACTAGATTCAAGCGGATATCTCAAAAGGTTTCGATGAGTATGGTTAGCATGGAATGAAGCTATCAGGTTAGAGCCATTTGATGATGATTGCTTTGGTCTAGTGAATGTAGAGAATAACGCTGATGATTCAGGTGATGTTACTATAGATGGTTTGCCATGGGAAGTAATAGGTTTATCTCTTTGGATTAAAAATGAACCAGAAGGAAAGGTTGTCAAAAGATGAGATGATTCATGTTGATTGTGACTGGATGTAGCTGAATGGGTTGCTTGGACGATTCCAGAAGTCAAAATAACCCATGACCAGATAGATACTAGAGGTTAAAAATGAGACCAACACATAAATTAGTTATCAAGAAAAACAAACACTCTCGATATTTAATCATAGAACTTATTCAAATAAAGTCAGAATTTACTAATACTTACAAGTAATTGTCATGTTTCAAAGAAAGGCAGGAATCAGAATAAACACTCAGCTTGTGTTAAGCTGAAAGTAAAATTTTTAGGCCTTAGCGTTCAACAGGAGATAGGAGGTTGAGATTCGTTTTGTTTTCCTCCAAGCTATGATCCTACCCTTTTATCATCATCAATAGCACCGTAGCATAGTACATATGTGATTAACCTGTGGATAGGAAGCAAGCTATTTTTAGAAACTAAAATAATTATGATTATAAGACAATGATTAACCAAGAAGGTGGTGGCAATCAAAACAGAAAGAAACAAAAATGAAGTAATTACCAATCCAGTAAAGAAAAACAAGGTCACCGTATACGGTACATATATGGATGTATTCATTAGAGAAAAATCACTGAAAAACAATATTCTTTGTATGATCCTTTTTTACCAAATATCATAGCCATTTACAATATAGATAAAATAAAACAATATAAACAAATAGTTAACAAGTATAAATAATAAAGGTTTAGATATGAAATTGAGTAATTTTCAACAGATTTGGAAGTAACATGAAGCACTATATGTATCACTCAAAGTGAACAGTCGAGACACAAAGTAAGAGAGTGAAAGAGCAGATACAAGTAGAAAAAAAACAAGAAGGGAAACAAAATATTGAGTTAAAATGTAATGATATATTTTGCTTGGAACTTTATTCAATTATTATAAGTTGAACTGTCGATTATTTTGTCATAATCTTGGAAATAGAAATGTCTTTGAACATTTTTATTTCTTCTGTTCATAAAAAGTGATTTTGAAGCATGAAAATGAACTCCCTTCAAATCAAATTAGTTTAATGGCGACCATCGTTGCTTAAAATGGTTGAAAAGATCAATCCTTGATGAAGTATTTTCGAGAAAATTTCCTGGGAAATTGGGATGTAAAACATTCCAAAAGACGATGAAAATCACGTTGTAAAGGAAACCAAGTTTTATTTCAGTCAATAAATGATCACGATTATCTACTCTAGGGTCAATTTTGTGAGGCTCTGCCGAAGACATCCATTCAGTTAAGTAGGAATCAGTGAAGGAATCAAATAAAGAGTCAGAAATGAAAACTAAATCTTTTGACTCTTCATTTAGGCAAAGTTCAGTGAAAAATTTACCCAAATCAATTCCTCGAAAATTGTTTTGACTATTTTCAACGTCAATTATCATGACATCAAGTGGCCTGTTTGATGAACTGCTTTTCGTGATCAAAAAATTTGTATAGTTAAGATCCATGTGAGTGAAAACAATTTTGTTGTGAATTTGGGTCATCTTTTGAATTAAGAATGAATCTGGACCACTTTCGAGGAAACTTTTGATTTTGTTCAATAGCAATACGGAAGATTCTGGCAGTTTTGAAAAACATGTTTCATCTAAATTTTCCATCATCTGGATAGCTTTACCAGATAAATCACGATAGATTGCAAAGAGATCGTATGTTCGTTCACATTTAAAGGGCAAAGAATGATATTGAGCAATTCTAATGCTAATTAGTTTAAACAGCTCATTTTGAGTTAATTGGTTTGGAGGTAGAACATTTGATTCTATGAACTCATCGATGCGACCACCAGGAAAAGAGGCTAGAACCGAAGGTGCCATTCCTCGCGAAGAAAGAGTTTCTAAGATTGCGATTTCTTCTTCATCTGTGACGCATTTGTATCTGTTGCCTTCACCGGTTAATTCACTTCCATAGAAGCGAACAATTACTTTTGAATATCTATCATCACAAGACTCTGAACAACTATTGGAAAGACAATCAGAATCATCGTCACTTGATGTTGTTGAAGAGGGTAATGAGGTTGGTAACACTGTTGACCTACTTAACAATGAAGATGAATATGTTGGACGAGTACAAACAAATAAGCGATTTGATCGACCTGTTGTTATTGGATGAACAACAATTTCGTCTTCACAAAGATTACTCCAAGGTTCAGGTAGAAGAGAACAGCAATAAAATTTAGCTTTGGAAATGAGTGATTCCATATTAGCTGGAAATTCAGAAATATGAACAACTAATAATTCACAGAGAAAAAAAGTATAATGAAATAGTTGATTAAAAGTAAAAGTCGTACAAAAATAGACAAGAAACAGTATAAATTAAGAGCAATAGTTAAGATCACTGATGATGACCCAATTTGATTGCGAAATAATATTGTATAAAATGAACTTCTAATCAATTTAATCAAACAATTTGAACCAAAACTGCAAAATTCAAGCAATATGCGTCGACTGAAAGCAAGATAAATGAACTCGCATCAACTGCTTTTGAAACAATTTAAAATTTTAATATAATCTCACCAAAAACAAGTTGAAAATTTCGCTTCCAAGTCTTGCCATAAACTACACACTAGATGGCGCATCAAAACAGCCAGAATAAACAAAATAATCAATTTTTAAATACAAATTGTGAGTTGATAAATTGATTAAGGGATAAAAGTAAACAAAAATAAAAGTGTTAAAAACCTCTTAAAAAACAATTGAAGTACTTTTGACCGTTTATTTGTGCAAACAATGCCAAAAAACTAATCTAAACTTACAAACCGTAAATCCCTAGTAGAATGTGTAAACATAGTATAAACAATCTATAGCATCCATCTAATGGTGTCCCGTGTCGGCGGGACATATACTAAAATTGGAACGATACAGAGAAGATTAGCATGGCCCCTGCGCAAGGATGACACGCAAAATCGTGAAGCGTTCCACATTTTTTTTATGAATCGAGTTTTGAGCGAAAATTCGCAGGTTGAGTTTGATCTTATAATGTTAAAGTTGGGAAAGGAAAGATTACTTGGTTTTTTGTCCCTTCCTTGTTTCTCATAGTAACAAGTTATTAACCCAAACAAACAAAAATCCCAATTTTCAATTATTGGTGCATTCGAGGCTGTATTTTATGTCGAGTGATTGCTTTTATTGATATCAAGATTTAATTTATCTAATTTATCATGAGTCGTTTTCGTAATCAGTAAGTTCACTAATTTGACTTGACAAATTCAAGAACATAGTCCTAATCACTTGATCTTAATTTAATGTTTTTTTTATTGTCCAACTCGTGATAAATAGAGAATCCATGATGGAACGTATCACTAACCTGGAGACTCATTTGAGAGAGATTTGCTACAATTTGGCTTCTTACAGTCGTAAAATTGCCAAAACCCGTGATGAAGGCGATTTACTAGCCAGTAGCATTACCAAATTTGCTGAAGAGGAAAATGTCAATTCAAGTTTGAGATATGCATTGACACATTTTGCTGATTGCTTCAGTGCTATTCAAGATCAACGAAATACTGAGGTTAGTGAACTTCCAACTCAACTTCACGATTAATTGTTTTTTTTCCTTTAAGGTTTTTCAATTAGAAGGAAGAATCATTCAAGAAATGAGTGTCTATGGCGAACTTTGCAAAAAAGCGAAGGTAAAATATTATATGCAATATCAATGAACACGAATCTTTAGGCTTTCAATAATAATCAGAGATTATTAGCACTAGAATCCAATTTGTTTCATTCATTCTGACATTTTTATTTCTGGAATGTTTTCCTTCAATTTCAGGAGGAAACTCGTAAAGGTCTACTTGCGAAGACCAAAGCAGGAGACATTGCTCGAAGTAGCAGCATCAATGAAATTCATAATGCAGTCAAAATGTATGAATTTCAAATTGACAGATTCGAGCAGAGAAAATTATCTGACCTCAAAGTAAGATTTAAATTGCAAATTGACTTGTATTAGTCACTAAGATGAATAATATGCTTTAATTAATTTACTTAGAAATACTTCAAGGAATTGATTCAAATCGAGATGTACTTTCATGCCAAAAGCGTTGAAATTTTAACGAAAGCGTACAAAGAAATGGTTGATGTGGACGAAAAATCAGACCTTAATTCATTTAGAAACTACTTTGGAATTAAACGAACACAATCACCAATCAAGGATAATCGCTTAAGAGGAACAAAGATAGGATCTAGTAAAATGGCAACTTCTTTAAGAAGATTCAGCTCATCACCCGAAGTGTCATCGGAAAAAACGCAAACTTCCAATGTTAAATCTAAAAGCGACTCATCGGAAAGTGAAGATGAGGATGAAATTACTGCAGAAGATTATCAAAATGAAGTTTCAATAAAAAAATAAGCCATTTGATTAAAACTTCTGATGGAATTAAGTCTTATATCAAAATTGTCGAGAATATTTTATAGATCTTGAATAAAATTTTAGATGATAAACTTTGCCACCATTTATTGATTTCTTTTTCAGCGTTTTCACCAGTGACAATGCAGAGACTCTGCAAGAGAAAATGATAAATGACAGTTAGATCAATCATAGACGTGCGCCAATTACTTTATTTTGAGCATGAAAAATAAGTGGGTAAATAAGACTATGTTACAAAATTTACTAACAATGCCATTAGCTTAAATTCCTTTGTTAGTTATCTCATTAATACAAATCCAGTCTCCAGTAAAAGTTTCCTTCCAGAGAGTTACTTTATTATCTCCTCCAGATACTGCTAAAATATTTCCTGCGATCGACCACGAGACGTGCCAAACAACATCTTCGAAAAGATCAATTGTTTTAACAGGTTTCCAAGTATTTGATTGGCTATCATGTTTCCAAATTATTACTCTTCTATCCTGGCCACAGCTAGCTATGTAACTTTTTCCAATCGACGGGGCCCAAGCAACATCTCGAACCCAGTCTATGTGTCCTTCTAGTTTGTTTTCTTCCTCCCATTCATCTTTTTCATCAATATACTTCCAAATTTTGATCAATTTATCACAACTTCCTGTAACGAACCGCTTGACCATTTGGGTTTTGCCTGAGCTAGAATCGTTTGAAAATAATGACATTCCTGGTATTAAAGATGGACACCAACTGACGGCATTAACTCCCATCTCATGAGCATTAGGAATTTTCCTAGCTGACCAAGAATTATCACCTCCTAGAAAAATTCAAATACACCGGTTAAACATTTCTTCTCAAACTGATAAATAGAACATGATTGAATCTGACGATTGAAGCCATACCTGAATTGAAAATTAGACTAACGGCACCATCAGAAGACGCAGCAGCTAACATTAGTCCATATTCTTTAGGTGCCCATTGTACTGAGTTCACACTTGACTCATGACCACTATATTCATAAACTTTCTCATATTTATTTGGTGAGGTTTCCTTCCAGATTAAGACTTTACGATCATATGAGCAAGATGCTAGAATACTACCGAATGCTGGATGAGCCCAAGATAACTGCCAGACTGGACCTTCATGACCTCGCAGCACAGATATCAGGTTTTGATTATTAGCCTCAATTGAGAAGAGTTTGATAGTCCGATCAGATGAACATGTAGCAAGCTTTGTTCCATAGAAGTCAACAACAGCATCGTGTATCATATCATCATGACCAGTAGCAATTTCTTCACCTATAGTAACCATTATAAGTAGTATTTATAACTAATGATCTTGATAAACACCGAAAAGAAATCACAAAACAAAACAACGTTGACAATTTAACCAAATTTTGTTACCAATTATCATCTGTCTCTAAAAGGACAATTGTGATTGGTTGAATAAGAGCTAAGATTGAGAGCGCCAAATATGAAAATTTTAATTTTCTCAATTGTCTATTTTGTTTTGATTAATTTTCTTGACGATTGTGAGGATTATCTGTTTATACCAATCATCTATTTCATGAGTCGATAAATTCTGTAATTTATAATTTTAACATCTATTTAAGAGCTTAGAATTTACAATAGGTGTTTAGCAATCCAAATATATGAATTACATCGGACTATATTGTCTTGATCAAATATTCATTTCCTTCTTTATTAAATTAAAATTAATTATCCAATTTTTAAAATTTTGGATAAAAACTTAATAAAAATTTTACGAATTAAAGTCTAAGAAAATAAGATGTTATCTTCAATCGTGATTATTTACTTACCTGTTGTTCTCTGATAGGGTGGGTCCAGGTAAGTCGTTAGTTTCACCTGACCATTAACTTGTAGTAACAACAAACAAAAAGACAACAGCAAATGTTTTCATCTTATATTTAAATTTTTGTGATTAGTGCCTCATTTTTAATAATTAATTATAATTAATTGAAATGGTATAATTGCCTTAAAAATTATGTACCAATCAATAGCTCTGTTTTTGTTTTATACCTTGGGTAAGCCTGATTTATATTTTTTATAGTTAACCAACTTTTAGGTTATCTCACTTGTGATAACTCGGTATCCAAGGCTTCAAATTTAATTGTTGTTATCTATTTATTATATTCGATTCGCTAATTATATTTATTTATTTTACAGTAATCTTTCAAGTTTCCAATGGACAATATGGTTATTATGGATCAGAGAGACATACCTGCACTATACCATCACAACTACAAGGAGAGTGGTATTCACGTGAAAAAGGCTCGGATGTCATTACAAAAATTACTGAAAATGAAATCATAAAGGTATTTGGTTTATTTCTCGGTCGATTGTTTGACCTGCAGTCACTAAACTATTGACTTTATTAGTTTTTTCAAGATCTATTCTCAACCAGAAATCGGAAGAAAGATTTGACAGCTTATTTGCTTTTCAATGAAATGCAGGAGCAAATCATCAAACTAACGTTTTGAATTTAGTCATGAATAAATATTGATTGATCTCTTTATTTTTTATCTACAGGACTCAAAATCTGTTTCCACTGCGTACCAAACTTACTGTGTCAGTATGGTTCAAAATGGCAATGATAATTACACTTTCCATTTGCGCGCTACGAAATCGTAAGCATTTAATAATATATTAATATCATAAGTTTCCAAATACAGACAATGACGCAGTGTTGATTGGTTGTTTTTGTGATCAATTTACAATGGTTGATGTTCACGGACGACTCAAGTTTAGCTTCCGATTTGGCAACTCTTGTGCTTAAACTAATAATGGTGTAGTTTGCCAAATGAATAGTTCAATCATCAGTCATTATTACATTATATCATTTTGTTCCTTCGATGTCATAAAAACCTTCAATTTATTGCTATTTTTGATTCTTTTCAGTCAATGTCATTTTTGTCTTCGAATTCTTTTAAGAACGCTTAATGTTTTGGAAAAAATAGAAGGTAAATTTGAATAATATAACAAATATTTTTTGCGATTAGATTTTAATACATATTCTATCCAATATTAGGAGGCTGTATCAATGATGTTAGTGGAAACAAACTAAGTCTCGAAAATGTTTGCTCCGCCACAAGTTTTGACTCTGAACTCATCACACTTTTCTGTAAGTTTACTCCAATCGGTTCGAATTTCCTGATTCTCATTTTATTTTTTATTTTTTAAGCTACAAGTCCTCAGGGAAAAAATTGTAAATCAAGCTTGGAAGGTGTTTGGCAGTTCGGTTACCGATTATCTCATCTAGCAGCTGGTGAATGTTTCAATGCTGAATCACAGATTAAAGCTTGTCAGAAACCTGGAAATCAATTTTCCATTGTAAACCAACAATTCACAATGATTTATAAGTCATGTGAAGAAAATGACCTTAAAGAAATTCAGTACAAATGTCTTGGTGATTGGTATGTAGGAAAAAATCATTATTTTGCAGTTCTTAACTCACGAGAATCTCGACGTTCTGAGGCTTATCGTTGTTTCGTAAGTTCATATTGGTTTTTCGGCAATTAAAGAGTTCATTTCTTTTTGCAAATATGAGTAAATGAAAAAATAAATAACAATAATTTAACTTTTTCATTTCTTTAGTTAAATAATCGAGATGATACCAATCACATTGCTGTTTCAACTACGGCTGAATGTAACGTCCTGAGGACACCTCAACAAGGACCAGAGAGGCTAACCCTACATCCGGTTAAAGCAGAAACTGTTGTCCCTTCTTGCCAGCTTCCAGACGGAATGAGAGGAGAGTGGATTAACACAGCCAATCTTGATGCTCTTGTTAAGATCAATTCAACCCATATGGAGGAGCGCTGGAGACCAGATACTGGTACAGAAAAGGAAGAGATTTATGTTTGTCATCAGAAGAAAGGTTCACGATACGTAATGGCTCGTTTAGGTATCAATGGATGTCAAAAAGATTTCGTTTGTTTTGACTTTGCCACTCCTCAATCCAATGTCATCCGGTATCGAAAAGGCCAAGCCATGAGCTCAGATCAATTCGGAACGATTTGTGCCTGGACTAACTTTGATGACGATGAAGAATGGAAATACGATATTCTTCTAGCAGCCAAACCAGTTGCCATTAAATGTCCAGTGGCAGGTAAATTCCGTTTCACACAAAAAGGTGAGATTCCTTTCACAACCAGAATCCGTGGTGGAGTGACCCAAAGTCCAAGAAGTACTATTATATGTAAAGAAAAGATATCTGATCTTTCTGTTTGCGATACTGATCAGAAAATAATGGAAATTGATGCAGAATATTGTATCAGTGTTGATCATCGAGGAACAGCAGTTGACTATCAAAGTGATCCTGATCATAGAATGAAATGCATTGGATTTTGGAAGGAAGATCTGAAATCATATTTAATTACTTATGATGAAATGGATGCTTACAGCAGATATAGATGCTGGGTTTATCAAAGAAGTGACCTTAATCGTGTCTTGATGTCTATGTCAGTTGGAGCTTTTTGTCATAGTAAACAACGAGTTGCCTCATGGAATTCATCAGAAGGTGCTCAAGTATCACTTGATATGATTGAATATGAGCGTGAACGTAAGTTTATTTATCATATCAATTATTTTTTATTGATGGTGAAATATTCTAGCATAATTTTTTTCTAATCATGGTGGAATAAAGGAATAAATTTCCTCAACTCTCATAATGCTTCATTATGTGTATTTATATATTTTTGCATGACACTCAAGTTTATCAAATAATCTAATGAACTTATTATTTTTCCTTTCCGTTTTCAGATGATGAATGTCCTATGTACTTCAATGATGGATCAAACCCTTATTCAACGGAAAAAGACAGTGCCATTATTTTATATGGTCGCACGAGTAAAGCCACAGTTTTTATGCCAATATCAATATTTATCACCATTTTGCCATTACTTCGAATTACTATTTTTTCTTAATTATTTAAGAAATAGTAATTCTCATCAAAGATCATCGAGTTGAATAAGAAAGATGAAAACTCGGATCAAATTTTGGATCAATTTTGCATAATATGTATCATTAACTCTCTCTTGATTCTTTTGCCCGGTTACTACTACTTTTTAACTAAATAACGGCTCTATTCTTAATTTAAATGTGACCCTTTTTTATATTGCCAAAAATATTTCCCTTCTTTTGTCAATTTCTGTTCTTTAATGTATCTTGTTTCACCATTTGACTTTTGTAATGATAATATTGCTGGTACATGTAAATTTAGGTAGGACCACCACAGACAGCCTAAAAGGCAAAGAGAATGAAAAAGAGTTGATAAATCTTGAAAAATGAACTCCATGGAGATGTCGATTAATAAAGATTATTATCAATGTTAACACAGGAAGACCTGATTCTAGGTCATAACCTTTATGTTTTATGTATAGTAGATTATAAAGCAACTGAAGCATTAAGGTTAGAGCAAATAAGCAGAATGTTTCAATTTTTTTTCTTCTCGTTTTAACTGTTATTGCAATAGTGTGGCTCTAACTTGCCTATGGTTAAATGAAGATAGATGTTAGTAATTATAGCGTCTTGCAAAGTACACTTCGCACACTTAAATGCGCCTCTGAAGGAAAAACAAAAACAAGGTCTAGGAATTGGTAAAGTCATTGACCTTTGACCTCAAGGCCAACATGAATCAATGGCATAAGAGAGTTAAATTTCCGTTTTCCTTTCAATTTACTTTCAGGGTTGATAATTTCTTACTCTTCTTTACTTATTCCAATAATGCAATGTTTATTTGAAACTAGGTTACCAAAAATTACCTCACCCGTTGGGTGTCTTTTAACCTTGAGTTAAATGACCTCTTCATCTCTTATTTTATTTCTCTTTCTATTTTCCTTTCTTCCCTTCTTCCTCTCTCGTTGAGTCTATGAGGCTCACTTGGAAATGAGGTCAACATTCATGTGCTTTATTCAATTCTATTCCTGACTCTCGTAACTATCATGGTTTCTCTGGTTTTCAGCACAACAAATGCCATTCAACTTTTCATCATCAATATAAATGGTGAACAAGACAATAACCTTGTCACAATCAACTTTCTTACTAATATATCCAGGTAATATTGGATAATGTTGATCCATTCACAATTAATGCGACTGATCGAAGGGTGAAAGAGGAAGACGAAAGAGGAAGACGAGAGAAGCATATGAAAGAGTGAATTGTTAATGTATCAAATATATTGAATGTTTGTTTCGATCATCACTTTTGTAGAAAGGTTAGGAAAGAGGAAAAAACATAAACAAGAATAGGAAGAGAGACTGAAGATGAGGAGGGTTGGGAGGTGAAGAGGGAGGAAGAAGTAGTTATGAAGGTCTTTAAAAAAATTGCAACAAAAAATAACAAAGAGACCGATCCTGTTCCCATGAAAATTTGAAAACGTGTTTTTCTAGTTTTTTATGCCTCTTTCTTTTCTTGCATTTAGTTGCTTCAAGATCTTTCATCGTCATCTTCATCATCTCCATCTTCTGCTTCTTCTTCTTCTTCTTTATCTTCCCCACCTCCTCCTTATCCGTCTCTTTCTTCTTCTCCTTCGTCATTTTCGTATTCGTCCTCTTCTCTTCCTGGTTATGTCAATCCTTTTTCATCTTCAGTTTTGTTTGTTTGTGTTTTTGATAAATTTTTTCCTGTGAAAATAAAATGCACAAAATATGATGATATCTCGGTGATTTTGTTAATGGTTGATGGGCTTAGGTTAAGTCCAGTGAAGCGGTCAAAATGAAGGTTGGGAGAGGAGGAGAAGGAGAAGGGCAAGTTGAGAGAAGAAGAAAAGAAGAATAAAGGTGAAAGACGAAAGATGAAAAAGAATCCAAATGACCTCTCAACTTATCTTTTTTATTTTCTTTATTTTCTTTTCTCTCTCTCTCAAGGTAGAGGTCACGCGGTTGAAAAGGTATGAGGATGAAGATGCCAGGATGGGAGGAGGAGAGGGAGGAAAAGCTAGAGGAAAGGTCAATATGTGATATTGAAGTGAGGGCGGACAAGAAGAGCCAAGGCCACATTAAACACTTATTTGACTTTAAAGTTGTTTTTGTTGTTGTTGTTGTCCTCCTGCTTTTTTGTCAAAATTGGAAAGCAAAGGTAAAAGGAGCTCAATAATGGCTAATAAACACAATGGTCATGCCAATCATAATCATAATCACAATGAGGATACAAACAGCAAACAAACATATAAATCTGACCATTAATCTACTCACACTCCTTTAGACCCTTTAAAATCTAATCTAATCAAATGATCAACTAATTAACCTTTTCCAAGATTTACAAGTTTAACGTTAATTTGTCTCATTTTGGTCAACAATTGAATCTAAAATTTGGTGGAAACCTTTGAAAAAATGAAATGAAATGTTAAAAATATCAACAATAATTGTATAAATTATGAGTGAAAACAGGAGCAACAATGAAAAAAGATGATTGAAAGGAACGTAAACTCAGCACGAGTCAAAGGTTTTTATATTAACCAACATTTTGCTTTCATTCATTTCATTCATCCAGATAACAGTAAATACACGTTCAGGTTATTGACCTCATACTCATCATCATCGCCATCATCATCATCATCATCATTTGTTCTGGGTGGGAAAAGAGGAAGACAACTTTTCATGAACCATTGAAATGTTTACAGACAAAGTCGATTGTAACGAACGAAAAGTAACCAAAAAAGAGTTGGACCTGATCCTTTGCTTTGTTTCCCTTTCAACTTCAGATTGAAATTAAAATTAACCACCAACATGATCATCATGAACAGTAACAACAACAACAAGAACAAGTCAATGAACTATCACTGAAAGTAAAATATATTAATAAACAAATAAACAAAATGGGCTAAAGCAGTTGACTGTTATATAACCTGTTATAGCAATTAATCATTTCTCATTGGGTTACTAAGGGAAATGATAGACAAATTGTGACAATTGTTTCATTAATAATCACGATTATTTATTATTCAATTATTATTAACTCAGTTGTTTACTCTATTTTTTGGTTATTAATTTTCATTTGATTGTCTACTTTGTTGATCCCTGAAAACAAACTGATTGTAGGTGATGTTAGGAAAGGCTCAGTTGATGACAATTCAGTGGGTGTTTCAATCGTTGTTACAATTATTTTATAATGAGAATCACAATGAAAAAGTAAAAATAGATTTGATCATTTTAAAGTAAAGAGTTGCTTTGATTTTCATTAATTTACAATCAAATGGTTGCCCTTTGTTTAATGCTAATTAAATGCTAACCAAAAATGGACATTTTGTTCAGTGAAAACGGCTCAACATGATAACCAAGCCCATGACCCAATGCTTATTATTTATTGATGTTAACCCTGTTAATGGCCACAATCAAACAATAGTAACCCAATTCATCCCTTTTCATCATCAGTTGTTAGTTTGATTGAAGAAAAGGTAAAATAATCTTTTCACATTCGTTGATACTAAAGGACCAGTTGAGGCCATCAACTTTAATCACTCGTTTACAACAATTTATAAATAACGAATCTCACGCGTCAGTTAATCATTTTATTTCGTTTTCAATTTCCTTTTATAATCATGATTATAATAATGATCATTTATGATTTTTTTAGACCATTCACTTCATAACCAAACAGTTTGTTTCAAAATTATCAAAGTTAATGACCTTTTCTTGAGCCAATATTTCAAATGGTTAGACATGTGATTAACCATAAACCTTGTAAATGTAATCAAATCCTCTTAATCGCTGTTGGTCAATCATTCAGATTACTTGACAAGTTGCTTTAAATGTTTACTATTTAGATGAACAATTATTCAATGAAACTAATTGTGATTTAATTTCCGCATCTTAAGATGTTCATAATGCACATGAAAATTGAATTGGATTAAGTATTTCAAGTTTCGCCTTCCTTGTTATCAATTTATAATTAAAATGAAGTTACTGGGATTTTCACAATTGCTTTGCATTTCTCAAGTTATCCTTTGTTTCCATTTGTAACCGGAATAACAATATCATGATTCTGTTGGTGATAAAACTTCCTGTCTGCTGGTTCATGTTTGTCATTCAATTAAACATGAAAATATTATGAAAAGTTTGGTCAATTGTTTACCTTTCAGTTTCATTATGATATTAAAGGTGGAAATTAATTGATCCGATAATTGAGTTTATAAAAGGTATTAAAAGGTTTGAATGATATTTTTAAAAGTTGAAAGTTTCCATTGAAAGGTCACTCGATATCAGTTGTTGGCATCCATTCAATTGAATTCAATTTAATCATCGTTTCTCTATTAATGCCTGATCATTGGAATAAAATATAAATAAGTTGTTTGATTGCTTTATCATAATCATTATAAATATAACAATATAATGATGAATAAATGAATTTCGGAAATGACCTCAAAAAATAGAGCAACCTTCATGATGATGATGATGATGATGAGGGAGGAAAGATGAGAAATGTTTATAAAGTAAAGGAAGAAAGTGAAACAAGAAGATAATGATGATAATCGGTCAATGAACTTTCCTTGATTGTTGTTAATATAATGCTAAAAGTAAACTAAATGCAAGTGAAGACAAAAATGTATTATAATTACAACAAAAAGTGAAACTCGAAATATTCGTACTTTTACCTGATAATCAGCTGATAATAGATCATTTAGTTTATTATTTTTTTGTGAAATAACTTTTTTTAGCGACAATTGAATTGATACAAATGATGAAAAGAAAAAACGAAAGTAAAAGTCAGTGTTCGTTGGTGTGAATCGTGAAATAACACGCTACGAACCCCTTTTGTTGATGTTGACTGGGAAAAGCGATGAAAGTAAAAAGAAGAAAAAGTAGACAAAAAACGAAAGAGAAAAGGGAAAATGATGATAAAAAGGATGAAAAACGAGACGAAAGTTCGTTGACTTTTTCATCTATTTCTATCTTCGTTTACTTTTATCGAACTTGAGATGAAAGAAAAAGATGATGATCAACATTTTTTGGCGATGAAGATTCTTGAAGCCCATCATCTTGAAGCTCATTGACTGACGAACTGATGATAAATCCAAGAATATGTTAGGTTAACAAAGAACAAGAAAATGGCTTCTCAAGATATTTTTATTGTAAAAGATTCCATGAAAATGTTACTTTTTAAGAAAATTTTGAAAAAATGTATTTCTTTTGGAAATTAGTTGAAAATTATTCATTCGCTTCACAGATTAACATCCGAATCTATCAAATAATTCATCGATTCTGTTTAGCACAAGATTTGCTTGAAACAGCCATTTGGTTTCGAATAAAAATGAACATTTTCGGGTTTTAATGATAATTAATGGCAAACAAAATTGAATGTAATTTAAGCATTAAAGTTAAATGAAACTCTTTTCGTCGTCACTCAATTTTCATGATTGTAAAGTCAATGAACTCTTGTTATCATCATTATAATCATTTTGATTCATTCGCTCATTTGAGGTTCTATTTTAACCCGATTCCGGTGAACAACTGTTAACCAAGTTAAGGTCGGAATAGTTGACTGAATTTCCGAATAACCTGTTCTGGATGTTGAACCAGAATTGAAAGACTAAAGATAAATGAGGAAAGAGGTTACCTGAAGATGAAGATGAAAATGAAAAGTGCGATAAAATGTGAAAGTAAAAAAGGGTGAAATTGAGTTACAATCAATTGTCTGCTTTTCACACTTTAATTAAATTGATTTACCATCACTTTGATTGAGAATAGTTAATGACTCGAATGTGATCAACTCATTTCCAAGTCGATCAGTTATTAATGGCAATTAAATGATCAACTATTTGCAATTGTTAACCAATCAGTTATTTATTTAAATTTTTTGTTCGCTTCCATTGATTCAGTTAATTGTAATTATGCTGAAATTCATTTGATTAACCTTGAACTTGAGATGAACTTTCAAGCTTATCTGTTGAACCAATTGGATCATTTTTGATTGTATTAATCTTTTAATTTGATGGAATGATGATTGAGCAAACACTTTAATTGTAATTTAAGATTAACAATAAGTAAATATTTAAACATTTTTCACTGTTTTTTGTGTATATTTAGATTGAACTTTGATTCTGTTGATAATGATGATGGTCAATGGAATGATCAATTGATGATGAATTGATTCTAAAAATAACAATACATTTTAATGGCCACAATCAACTTACACCTTAAACTGTAATCAATATTAAACATTTGGACAACTAAATATGACTTTGTTTGAATTAAATGTTGACCCAATTCAAGACTAACTATCAAACCTGAATCTTCATCTTTCAACTCAAACTGATCGCTCAATTTCAAGGCAAAACTGTTAACCTAATGAGTTTCACGAAATGATGAAAGAATCCAAATTTTTGCTCATTTCTTTCATGATACATTGAAATTAATAGCGATTAAACTGATGAATGACAGTAGGAGTTATTGTATTAACTTTAATCGCAATATCCACAGTTGATCATAATTTCCTAATTTGATCAAATAATAACCTTAAAACTATTGTAATCAGGTGCAACTAGATTCATATAAATTACTGTTTCAATTATCATCTTCTTGTCCTTTCTAACAATCAACAGTTGCATTTGGAATCACAATTAAACCTACACAATTAATAATACAATTCGTAACCATATTAAGAGAGAAATGATAACTCAATTAAACAGTTTGAATGTTACCCAGAGTCTTAAAGATAACATTAATGTTTATACACTTGAAGATTGTAATTAATCTACATTTTATCCTTGTAATGATCATAATTAATAGACTAAACTGTTGTTGTCATGATAATCATGTTTATTATTGGGGCAACAACAAGAATAATATCAATAAAGTTAATCAATATTTAAATAGCAAAAGAGGACAATGAACCTTAATCCAGCACCAAAAAGTGAAACAATGCTTTATATTTAGAAATGTATTTGCTCTGTGCTTTTGTTGCTGTTAAACTTGAGCAAACTAAATGTCTACCAATAGTTAATGTTAATCATTCAATTGATTATTTTGGACTTGAGAGACTTCAATTTACCCTTTGCTAACCTGTCAATATCAATCAATTCAAGTAAATAATTAGCCTTTCAATTCAATTCCGATTAATAAGCTAATAACTTGCCAACAATCAAGAAGCTCTCGTCGCTCAAGAAGATTTGTTTAAAAATTAAAATCAGGATATTTTAGTGGATAATAAAAGGACAATCAAGGGATAAACCGTCGAATGAACAGGAATTTTAATTTCTTCAATTTTGTGTATAGTTTATGTCATTTCGTATGATTTTAACTTTGAATGCGTTTTTGGGTTGACAAATAGCAGCCACTTGTTCATGTAAATGATTGAATCTCAAGTCCATGAAAATTGTTCGAGATCTTCTCTTATAAATACTTAAAGGTGTAAATGAATGTCTTATGTAAATGGATCGATTCGTTCAATAAATAAGTGATTCAATAGCGATTCAAGTATTGAACAAAACAACAACATTGATGAGGAAAAGGCTGTAAATTTTTCCTGAATTTTCTTTATTTTCTAGAATAGTGTAGTTAATAATAGAATTTCTGGCATAATTTCATCATGGAGCAGACTCTGAATATCAACTGGAATATCATCGAACAAAATGTAAACAGAAACTCGATCTACGAAATTATATGGAGATGGACTATTCTTAGTGTTTCTTTTCTCATCATTTTAAAGCTAAAGTTGTTATTGATTATGGCAGAACATAACAGAACCCAAATGCAAATGAAATGATTTATAATGAAATGACTGAATGTGACTTTGCGAGTTGATCGTTAATGCTATTGACTTTCGATTTCAATTGAAGATGATGTGAGAAACAGCAAATGATTTATTTTAGTGCTTGAAAAAGGATAAAATGAAGCATGAAATGAACGAGTTGCTTTAAAACAAACCTTCAGGCAATTGAACCCAGAAAAAGAAAGGTTTTCATTTAAGATTACAGTTGCTTTGATCTGAGTTAACAATCAACATAATGATGGTAATCATTGAACTGACAAATGGTTAAACAATTTATGAGATTGAAAGTGATAATTGTACCTTTTTTGATTACCTTCAAGTAAATGGTAACCAGAAGATGAAAACAGTGCGAACGTGAAAAAAGCACAAACAAACTGTTTATTTTTGTGCAATCAACTAATTGCGGAAATTTAGCTTGATTATCATTACTACACTTTACCCATCACTTTCACTTGGGTTATCAACCCAACTAGCGTTTCATTCAAGGTTTTTTTCATTTCTTAATAAACTAACAAGGTCAATTGTTGTAACTTCATTTCATCTATTATTGATTGTAACTAAAAATGCTCATTTCATTTGACCAACATTCCTAACAAAGTTCACCTTTTTGGGTTACACTAGTTTCACTCATAACTTAATGTTTATAAGGGCCCTCTACTGTACTACCAATGGCGTAATTAAGCATCTTACGTATAGTAGATGGCGTTTATCAAAAATTAATTTATACGTGAAACTAGTCTAGATTGATCTTTGCATGTAAATTGACGTGAATTTGGCTGAATCCTGGAGATAATTGGTAATAATGATTATAATGATGACCAATGTTACCAATTATAACTTTTTTAGTTAGTCTACTAAATGTTAATTTTAAATACGTTTACGAAGGTCAATTTGAACACTGCATTATTTTACTCTCAACATCAAACGTAACCAAAAACCTTGCCATTTTGTGTTTGATGCTTATTGACACATTGACTAAATAGCTTATTTAGCTTGTAACAATTGATAAAATTAGTCAAATTAATCATGGTATCATGGTAAATGTCATCTTCACCAAGAAAACTGCAGGACTATCATGTTTAACCTTGTCTACACAAGTTTTACCACAAAAAAAATGAAAAGATTTGTGCAGATAATTCACACATTTCATAAACATGTTTAGATTCAATTCTTTGATTTGGCTACTGAACAATTTAATATTGATTATGGTTTTGTTAAGTCAAAGTTTATGGACACAATAATTAATGATCTTATTGTTAAGAGCAGCAATGGTTAACAAAGTAATTAATTTCACTCTGATTGAGTTACCTATTGAAACTTAAAAACAAATAATAAGTGGCAAGGTGCAATAATGAAACTAAATTGAAAGGGAATAATTTTGCTAAAATGTCAACAATTATTGTTAACGTCATATTTAACATTGTACATAATAAGTATTAATAAGTGTCAGAGGCAACAGATTGAGATAATTAATGGTCCTTTACGACGTCGATCTCAATCTCGATCTCAAATCTATGAGTATATAAAGGATCCTCTTAACCCTACTAGAACCATATCATTCATTGTGATCTAATAGAGTAATAGAGTGAACAATTGAATTATAAAAAGTTATTAGTTATTCGTCAATTAATTCACCAATTTAGAAACTTTGTTAAAGCTAGTTAATTTAGCTACAATGAATACCTTTGTTTTAACCGTTTTCCTCCTAGCTACTGTTGGTACCCTTAATGGTTACACAATTCCCGGTCTCGGACAATCATCTTACTCAACTGGATCCTCTGTTAATGGCGTTAAAAGTCAATCTTTGACTAAATACGAATCAAGTTCTTCCTCAACTGGACCCAATGGTGTTCTAATCAAGACCTCTGAAAGTCGAACTTCAGTCAATGGTGGAGCTCCTTTAGTCAGCATTAGTCGAGCCACATCAGCTGATTCGTCAAACGCTGGTTTACTCGATGTGTCTGTCCTTTCCAACGGACAATCTGGCTCTTCCTCCCAATCATCACAATCTTCTTCTATCCAGGGTTCATCAGCAACCCCAGTCTCTTCAGCAACTATCACCGTTGCTCCTATCGCTACAAGCCCTATAACTGTTGGAGGCTCAACCACCTCTGGTTCATCCCAATCTCAAACCGCAACCTCATCAAACTCTGGCTCCTCTGCTTCCACTGGTTCCTCAACTGTTTCTGGTAACAGTAACAATGATGATGACGATGACGATGATGACTTCTCAGTTGGATCTTTTGCTCCACGAAGACCACACCGACATGCTCCTTGCGATGCACTCGCTTCCCTTACTGGCTGTAGTGACAAGGTTGTTGTCGTTGTTCTTGGTGGTAATGGACCTGAAAGTCGATGGGGACGAATTGCTCGAGGCTCATTCAGACGATCACGATTTGATAATGATGAAGAAGATGACGAAGATAATGAAAGACGATACCGATTTGGTCGAAGAGGCTTACGACGAAGCAGCTTTGACTCACGATCATCCAACTCAGACTCTTCAGCTACTCGATCTTCATCTTCATCAGAGAACTCAAACAACTCTGTAGACAACCGACGATCATCCTTTGACCGAAGCGAATTCCTTGCCCGAAATGAAGCTTTCAGACGATACCAAGCTGCTCGAGCTGCTCGACGATCATCAAGCGAATCTTCACAATCTTCTTCTAACTCATCCAACAACCGATCAGAAAATAATCGACGAGTAACCCGAAGCCACAGTTCAAATGAAGATGTCTCATCTAACGAGTCAAAAAACCGACGATCAAGCAACTACGAAAATGAAATCAATGAAATCAACCGAATTAACCGAATTAATCGAATTAACCGAATCAACAATATTAACTCAGTTAATGTTCAAAATGATGTTCGATCAGTAGACAACAAATCTGTTGACAACCGATCATCAAACACAAAGAGCTCAACCAATGTATCAAACAGTAACAAAGTTTCGGACGTTCGATCATCAGTAAACAATCAAGCTTCCTCAACAAATGTTTCCAACACCAACAAATCATGCAATAAGGCATCATCTAACGTTTCACAGAACTCAAACGTTAAGTCATCAGTCGATAAACAATCTTCAAACAATGTTGTCCGATCTTCTGATACCCGAAGCTCAGTTAAGAACCAAGCTTCATCAGTCAATGTTGCCAATAGTAACAATGTTAACCGATCAAGCAATGTCCAAAGCTCAGTCAATAAGCAAGCTTCTTCATCAAACGTTGCAAACTCAAACAACGTTAACCGATCAAGTTCAGTTCAAAACTCAGTAAATAACAAAGCATCAACCAATAACCAATCCTACTCCAATAATGTTTCAAAGGTCTCAGATGTCCGAAGCTCAGTTAATAACAAGGCCAGTTCATCAAACATTGCTAACTCCAGCAATGTTAACCGATCAAGCAATGTCCAAAGCTCAGTCAACAACTCAGCTGCTTCAAACAAGGTTTTAAAATCTTCTGATGTAAAATCATCAACTAACAACCAAGCTTCATCTTCAAATGTTGCCAACAGTAGCAATGTTAGCCGGTCAAGCAACGTTCAAAACTCAGTTAATAACTCAGTCAATTCCAACAAGGTTGTAAAATCTTCTGATGTAAAATCATCAACTAACAACCAAGCTTACTCATCCAATGTTGCCGACTCAAAAAACGTTAACCGATCAAGCAATGTTCAAAATTCAGTAAATAACCAAGCATACTCCAACAAAGTTTCAAAGGTCTCTGATGCCCGAAGCTCAGTTAACAACCAAGCTTCATCATCAAATGTTGCCAACAGCAACAATGTTAACCGATCAAGCAATGTCCAGAGCTCAGTAAATAAGCAAGCTTCTTCATCAAACGTTGCAAACTCAAACAACGTTAACCGATCAAGCAATGTTCAAAGCTCAGTGAATAACCAAGCATACTCCAACAATGTAGCCAGATTATCAAATATCCGATCATCCGTCGATAACCAAGCCTTATTATCAAATGTTGCTAACACTCTCAAAGCCATCCGATCAAACAATGTCTTGAACTCAGTCAACAACCAAGCTTCATCAGTCAATGTTGCCAACAGTAACATCCGATCAAGCGCAGTAAACAACAAAGCCTCAACCGCCTCAACTAATAACCAAGCTTACTCCAATAATGTTTCAAAGGTTTCAGATGTCCGAAGCTCAGTTAACAACCAAGCTTCATCATCAAACGTTGCTAATTCCAGCAATGTTAACCGATCAAGCAATATCCAAAGCTCAGTCAATAAGCAAGCTTCTTCATCAAACGTTGCAAACTCAAGCAATGTTAACCGATCAAGCAATGTTCAAAACTCAGTAAATAACCAAGCATACTCCAACAACGTAGCTAGATTAAGCGATGTCCGAAATTCTATCAACAATCAAGCTTTCTCAAACAAAGTTTCAAAGGTCTCAGATGTTCGCTCATCAGTTGACAACCAAGCCTTATTATCAAATGTTGCTAACACTCTCAAAGCCATCCGATCAAACAATGTCTTGAACTCAGTCAACAACCAAGCTTCATCAGTCAATGTTGCCAACAGTAACATCCGATCAAGCGCAGTAAACAACAAAGCCTCAACCGCCTCAACTAATAACCAAGCTTACTCCAACAACGTTTCAAAGGTTTCAGATGTCCGAAGCTCGGTTAATAACCAAGCTTCATCTTCAAATGTTGCCAACAGTAGCAATGTTAGCCGATCAAGCAACGTTCAAAACTCAGTTAACAACTCAGTCAATTCCAACAAGGTTGTAAAATCTTCTGATGTAAAATCATCAACTAACAACCAAGCTTACTCAAACAATGTTTCAAAGTTATCAGATACTCGATCATCAGTTAACAACCGAGCTTCATCAGTCAATGTTGCAAACACCAGCAATATCAACCGAGCTAGCTCAGTCAATAACCAAGCCTATTCTAACAACGTAGCCAGATTATCAAATGTTGCTAACACTCTTAAAGCCATTCGATCAAGCAATGTCTTGAATTCAGTCAACAACCAAGCTTCTTCAGTCAATGTTGCTAATAGTGACAGCCGATCAAGCTCAGTAAACAACAAAGCCACCTCAACCAATAATCAAGCTTACTCCAATAATAACTCAAAGGTCTCCGATGTCCGAAGCTCAGTTAACAACCAAGCTTCATCATCAAATGTTGCCAACAGCAACAATGTTAACCGATCAAGCAATGTCCAGAGCTCAGTTAATAAGCAAGCTTCTTCATCAAACGTTGCTAACTCAAACAACGTTAGCCGATCAAGCAATGTTCAAAACTCAGTTAACAACTCAGTCAATTCCAACAAGTTTGTCAAATCTTCTGATGTAAAATCTTCAGTTAATAACCAAGTTTACTCAAACAATGTTTCAAAGGTATCAGATGCCCGATCATTAGTTAATAACCAAGCCTTCTCCTCAAACGTTGCAAACTCAAACAACGTTGTAAAATCTTCAGTCAACAACCAAGCTTCATCAGTCAATGTTGCTAACACCAGCAATATCAACCGAGCTAGCTCAGTCAATAACCAAGCTTACTCCAACAATGTTTCAAAGGTTTCCGATGTCCGAAGCTCAGTTAACAACCAAGCTTCATCATCAAATGTTGCCAACAGTAACAATGTTAACCGATCAAGCTTTGTCCAAAATTCAGCCAATAACCAAGCCTTTTCTAACAAAGTAGCCAGATCTGCAGACTTCCGATCATCAGTAGATAACCAATCTTTCAACAAAAATGTTGTTAACTCAAACAGCATTAGCCAATCTAATAGCAATATCCAAAACTCTGTAAATAATGAATTTAGCTCAAACAAATTCGCCCGTTCACTCAGTGACATCAGAAACTCAGAATCATATCTTAACAGTCATTCCTCTGACATCCGAAACTCAGTTAACAACTTAGCCTCAAGCAAATTTGTCAGTCAAGTTGCCAACAGTAACATTGCCAACTCAGTTAACAAGGCTTTCTCATCAAGCGATGTACGAAACTCCTTGAACGCTGTTAACAATCAATTCAGTTCAAACAGCCTTAATCAATTCTCAGACATCCGAAACAATCACGCTGCAAGCAGTTACCAAAATTCACTAAACAAACAATCTAGCTTCGATGCTTCAAACTCAGCCTCAGGTCTCGTCAAGACTGTCACTGGTTCATCAGGTAACAGTGGACTAGTTGGCAATGTACTCAATACTGCCACTGGTCTTCTCGGTGGATCAGGATCATCCTCATCTTCCTACAGTTCATCATCTAACTCAGGAAAAGGATTAGTTGGTAATGTACTCAGTACTGCCACTGGTCTTCTTGGTGGATCAGGATCAGGATCAGGATCAGGCTCATCTTCCTACAGTTCATCATCCAACTCAGGCAATGGATTAGTCGGTAATGTACTCAGTACCGCTACCGGTCTTCTCGGAGGTGGATCAGGATCAGGAGCATCTTCCTCATCTTACGGTTCATCATCTAACTCAGGAAAAGGATTAGTCGGTAATGTTCTCGGTGCTGCCACTGGTATTCTCGGTGGATCAGGATCAGGATCATCCTCATCTTCCTACAGTTCATCATCTAAATCAGGCAATGGATTAGTTGGTAGTGTTCTCGGTACCGCTACTGGTCTTCTTGGTGGCTCAGGATCAGGATCAGGAGCATCGTCCTACAGTTCATCATCTGGTTCAGGCAATGGATTAGTCGGCAATGTTCTCGGTACCGCCACTGGTCTCATCGGAGGTGGATCAGGATCAAGATCATCATCTTCATCATACAGTTCATCATCTAGCTCAGGCAATGGTTTAGTTGGTAATGTTCTCGGTGGTATTCTCGGTGGATCAGGATCAGGATCAGGCTCATCATCTTACAGTTCATCATCTGGTTCAGGTAATGGATTAGTTGGTAATGTTCTCGGCACCGCTACCGGTCTTCTTGGAGGTGGATCAGGATCAGGAGCATCTTCCTCATCTTACAGTTCATCATCTAACTCAGGGAAAGGATTAGTTGGTAATGTCTTAGGTACTGCTACCGGTCTTCTCGGAGGTGGATCAGGATCATCATCATCTAACGGTGGACTTCTTGGTATCCTTGGTTAAATAATTTAAATTAAATATGCATGTCTATACAAATTTATTAATAAACTTTAACCAATAATGTTAAAAATTTGCCTTCATTCATTTCTAAGTATCTTTAATATTAATTTAGTTCAATTGTAAGGAAAAATATTTATGTAAAATCTTGAACAATAGGGAAAAACATGGTAAGTATAACTGGAAGCTAATAATTGCACGTGACTATGACACCGCACTGAAATGAAGTTCAGTGATGATAAAAGTTTCTTATGCATCAACAAAAGAAACTGAGATGAAAAAGAAAAAGAAAATCTAAATCAAAAATCGCCATTCAAACATAATCAATAAGAGTCTAGAATTGTAAACGAAAAAAGAAACATAAAATAACAGTAAATATTGTGATTCCCTTTAGGCCTCGATAAAAGTTATAAATATTTTAAACATTTCGTGAGTTGACTGACACATCAACAGAGCCTTAATGATGATTATAATGATGATAATGATGATGATGAACAACAAGTCATGCGCTTGAAAACTTTCTCTTTTCTGAAATAATGTTCCCATGCATTTGAGCCATTGAAAGACCAGTTTTACAACATTTTAAGGCCTACAACTTGTTCAGTTTCTCCTTCAGTGGGTCTTCATGACGGGCTTAACATTGGCCTTAGATCTGGTTTCGGGACTGGGTAGATGAGTGAGAGAGTCGGGTGGGGTTCAGGTTGAGTAACCTGAAAGTGAAATAAAAAAGGACTTGAATACAGAACTAAGGTCACATTCTAATGCCTTATCAACCCAGTTCTCTGATAACCTACAAAACAGATCAACAACAATTAACAGTAAAAATGGTAAAAATAATATTATTACAATTCATTCATATTTATCTTCTTTTTTTGGTCATTTCTGTCAAAGTGACCTTTTTTCGTTCCATTCTTTAATTGATGAAACATTATAATTTTCTAATTCTGATTGATTGACAGTTGTCCAAGTGTCATCATTTTAATTATAATAATAATGATCATATAGTTGACCAAATTTAACAGCAATTTACTGTGATTGTTGACAGTTAATGGTGAGCCAAAACACGACTGCAGCAACTGATAAACAAGTCAATGTGTTTACAGAGATTGACAATTGATTGAATCACAATTGATTTTGGCGACAACTATGAACATCCGATATTATTGAACATCAAATACAGAATGATAATCATGCACCTTTATCCAATAAGCCAATACCCTAGCCTTACCATTGAATAACAATAAATCCCCTTTTGCAAAGTAAAAGGTAAATCATGTAACTTTTACATTATTTTTGTCCTCCTTTTATTTCCTTTTTCAAACAGTCAATTGTAGGCCTGCAAACTGTTTGAGGTCAGTTATTCATTGACGGACGGAAGAAATGGCCTAATTCTCTACCTTTTTTGCCTTTTTCTTCTCACTTCGATAATCAGATCGCACCTTTAGTTCAAGTTCCTCTTCTTCTCTAATGTTATATAATACACAATCGACTGTACCTAATCCAACTGCAGACCCTTGTTATATATGATGCTTCTTTCACCATAATTTTTCTTCTTTTTTTGCTCTGGTTGAAATAAGATGAGAGAGAAGAGGATGGATCCATGTATCTAGGTCAACCAAGGCTGAAAAAGATGTTGAAGTGAAGATGCAAGATGCAGAAGATGAAGAAGAAGAAGAAGAAGGAAAAAAAGAAGAAATAATTGAAAGAAAAAAGGCAAAAGCAAAATAATAATGATGATAAAATAGTGAGAGAGTTACACCGGTTTTCATCTTTTCTCATTCATCTAGGTAAACCTTTCCTTTGCAATCAACAACAACATTGCATCTAACCTTACCCTTCCTGTGGTTACTCAATGTTTCAGCAAAAGAAGAGAAAAAAAGAGGAAAATTTAACCCAAAGAAAAGTAAAAAAAGGTTTGGTTTGGCTCATTCTGATTAATCAATGGTGATCTTGATCCAATTTGAGACTCTTTATTTGAATGAAAAACATCTTTGACTCTTGTCAATTATTAAATAACAACAACTGCACTCTACTTTAATAATCCATTCAATAAGCTACTCTTATATTGATAAACCTGAATTTAGTCCATTTTCATCACCTTTTCTTTGCATCAGGAAAAATGATTTAAACCCAAACCTTCCTCTTGATATAAAAATTGACCTCAAAACTGTTGGTATATTTGCAACTGTCTATTAACAATATCAGCAAATAATAAACTGTTATGTGTTTATATTGGTCTTTCAAATTATTGTTCATGTCGAGCCTTTTTTTCATTGCAGTTAACGAACTTTATCTGTATCAGGCCAAGGTTATCTATTGAATAAAATAGAGACTAACATTTATCAGGTTGCAAGAGATTAGTATGATGATGAGAATGATGATGATGATGACGATGACGATGATGATGGAGATGAGGCTGATGGTGAATGACGTTTTCAGCCATCTTTTCATTCTGTTTGCATCATTGATAAAATGTTCAATGTGAAATGATGAATGCATAAAATCAAGTGAGATCAACCTTCATCTTAATTATATACGTATTTTTCATCATTCAACTCTAACAGTTGAACCAACAGAATGAACTGAAAGTTAATGTTGATAATTATTAAGACCAGATTGATGATGAGCTTTGAAAACTCCTCCTAAAAAGGATGAAGGAAGAGAAACATTGATTTGATAAAAATAATACAAACTAATTGAAGAGGTTATTTGCTCTTCCTTTTAAAGGAAAATTCCTTCATCATCATCATCATCATAATTTTCATCGTCATCATTTCATCTTTTATTTTATCGCCTTTCTTCTCAAGGACGTTTTAACAGTTAATTTCTCGATTTATATAAATACGTTTATTAATGAAACGGTGAAAGCAGATAATGATTATGAGCAGTTGAGTCTGAGAATCGCAATAACTTTGAAAGGAAGTGCAGTTTGACTTTTTTAAGGTAAAATTAAGATTGTTGTTATAATAAACTTTGATTGTTACAATGAAATGGAATAGAAAAGAAAAGAACATTTTCCCAATGATTTAGCATTCCAATTCCAGGAATTGACTTTGCTTATATTGACCATGCTTCTAACAATGATAATAATAATCATTTGGTGTCCAGTTTTTGTGTGTATTAATGTCCCTAAGTAAGTTAAGTGAATTGTGCTAATGTATATCAACGAACTGTGCTAAGAAAAAAAGGTGAATTATTGTGGGAAAACTGATATTATGCTATGAAATTGGCAACGAGGAGAAGAAGAAGAAGAAGAAGAAGAAGAAAGAGAAGAAGAGAAAAGAAAGAGATGATAAACTGTGGCCTACTTTCTAGAGTGTTACATAGAGGAAGAAGATAGAAGATGATAGAGGAGCGAAAGAAAGAGAAGGAAAGAAAGAGGAAAAGACATGTGCCGATAAACTGAATGAGAATGGAATCAATGGAAATGAATATAATGATGAACATTTTCTGTACCTTTCACCTTCACTAAATGTCAATGTTAACATTAATTGTTTATCACCCTTAATTTACTATAACTTGATTTATCTACAAAATTTATTGGAATTGTGTTTATTTATTTATCAATATTAATCACATTTTCACCAATAATTGGGTTACTTTCAGGCTATTTCAACAATAAGGTTCACCATTTACATTACACCATTGATTGGTGAATATAAATGAATCGAGGAATGGTTAATGGCAATGACATTTTAAATATAAAAAAGGATTCTTCTCATGATAAACATGGTTAATGACTGATTATATTTCAGTATAAACAATTAACAACTCATGATTACATATTTAATTGTTAGGAAAGAGAGAGAGAGAAGTGAAAGTTTGTTTGGTGACATTCACTGAATTGAGACTCAAATGAAAGGTTGGAATGGGAAACAAGGCTAAGATTAGATTCATGATTATCTGATTGACTAATTGAGGGAAAGATGATGATGATGATGAGCAAGGTTTTTCTTGTTGTTGGGAGGTTCAATTATAAAGTGAGATTAAAAGGCAAAAGATAAAATTAATAATGTTACTCATGATAAAATGAAAGACTTTTCAATCTCTCTTTAAAGGACATTGAACTGAGCGACTGAAAAGGATTGTAGTCAGATAAGATATTTAGGTCCAAGTCCGAAAGCAAGTTTTCAAAGTGAACACACTTTTCACTCACTCACTCACTTTACTTTCTATTGAATTTCCAAAAATATCATTTCTACCGGGTTTTCCCTTCAACCCTACATCATGATGAAGATGAAGATTAGGATGATCAGCATGAAACTGTGGTGTTGGTGGTTGCTCTTTTTATTTATAACTCACCACCAAAAAACACTTCAAGGTTGAATTGTGTTCAACAAAACCCAAAGTTTAAACCATTTTCTTTGCTTGTTACAATGCAAAAAGGATTTATTATTAATAAAAATATTATCGTTATTGTTATGATTAATGAGTTATTTAAAGTTAATTTTGACAAACAAAACTTTCATGTTAACTTGTATTGAAATCGCAACAAATACGGATAAAGCCTTTCAACATTTTAATTCAAATTATTTTAATTGTTTTTATACTGAAACATTGAATAATTGGACAATTTATCAATGTTCAATACTAATTTTGCCAGCAAGCGTTGGGAGCAATTGATTTGATAACATCCTTGTAGTAAAGGGTTCGAGTGTAAAGACCTGCGGTATCCTCATCTTGTCCACATTCAGTCCATGAACCTGAAACAACTCCCATGAGATAGTATCGTCCATTGCCTCCACGGTGCATGAGGGGTCCACCTGAATCACCTGAACAAGCATCACCCTTGGTCTTCTTGTTGATGGCACACATGTGAGTGTCGACAACACCGTCAATCTTGACTCGGTTTCTCATTGACGAGGGGATTCCATTTTGTTTCATCAAAAAGTCTTTCTTCACTTCATTGCATTCATTCTCTAAAAAAGAAGAGTAGAGTAAATAAATTGATTGACGGAATACGTTATTATTCAATTTACTTACTGCTTAAGAAATCGACTTCGACTTCCAAAAGATCATCACTGGAACTAGCATCGGCTGCAGTGGTTCCCCAACCAGATACTGTAAGCTTAGATAAACCACTTTCAACGTTTGGTAAACAAACTGGTGCGATTGTTTGGCTGTATTTGACTGGTGAGGAAAGGGTCAAAATAGCGAAATCATGGGCGAGGTTGCTTCTTTCGTATTGAGAGTCAACCCAAACTTTTGAAACTGAATGAGGCTTGGATCGATCACTGAAAGCCTTGACACGTCCAAGGAAGACATCAATGTTTTCTGGTCTGAAAACTTGATTATTTTCATCGACAACACAATGAGCAGCAGTAGCAACATGAGTTTCATCAATCAATGAACCTCCGCATTGACCAAAGGAGCGAGAGTTTCGGCTAGAGAAGCTCCTGAAATATTGAATAACAAACTATTGAGAAAGGTTGAACTTGCCATCAGTTAGTCATTACTTACCTAATATGAGCTAACCAAGGATACTTATTGGCTCGGACCTTTGAACCTTTGTAGATTCGGCCGGAGGAACCTTCCAAACCACATTCTGTACAGAAAATGAATAATTTTGGGTGAATACAAAAATGTGAATATTAATGAAAATTTACTGAAACACTTACCACATGCAAGAGTTACATTGATTGCGGCAACGAGCAAAAGAGCGGTCAACATAAAGAATCTCATTTTCAATGAGTTTATTCAAAAGTAATATATTAAATGTTTGATATAATCTGATCAGATCCATTATATCGCCTTTTATATTGAAATAAATTCAAGATGCAAATGATTGGTTTGACAGTTTCTTTGGTTTCTTTTGTTTTCACTTATTAATAATTATGTTTGATGATCAACTCTGTCAATAATTAAGCGGAATTGACAATGAAACTTCAACTCAATTTCCAGTTCTATCAGCTCTCTACGAGGGCAATTTCACCAGAAAGTCGAGAAAAACAATAATCACATATTTAACGTCATTGAATTGAACAGTTTTTGTGACAAGAAAAAAATAAAAAAGCAATGAATTGGATAATTTATTATATCATGATAAAATTAAGATGAAATTATTCCAATCCCAGCTGAATCTTACTGAAATGACTAGTTAATTGTGAAAGACGTCCATTAATTGAAGCCTTGGATTGTCTTGTAAAATATTAAACTGTGATAATTGTTAACCAATCTGACATTTAATCAACAAGTTAACATTTAATTGTTTTCCAATTGATGAATCAGGTGATTAGCATAATCTCACCTTGCATTAAACTTGAATGATTCTCAAGATGAGACTCGACATGAATGGCGATATGATCAGATAGAAATGGGTTAGATTAACGAGATTTTTTCCATTCTTTTCCTGGTATCTTGTTTACTCACAATGCAAGACTAAATCAAAGTGGAAGTTGATTGAGACAATTTTTGATTCTTCTGGTTGGCAAATGAATAAAATTATGTTGATTGTTGATTGTCATTTAATCGAGTTGGAGTGAGAATTGATGAGCAAAGTATTTGAATTGAGTTAAAAATGTAACGAATTGACCTTCAATTGACCTGGTAAATTGTTTTTATTCAGTTAATCATGATGATGATGATGATGAAAATGAAACATTATGCCAAAGAAATAGTTTAACAAGATGATAAAGATTTGAAAGTGTGTCACTAGCGAGCGATAACCTCCAATGGGATAAATGATGATAAAAGAGGCAATTATGATTACTATTTACAGAAATACAACAATTAAGTCTATCTAGGTTAATACCAAAGGAAAACAAAGGGTTGAAAGATGGTCATGAGCATCAAGGTAACTTCATGTTCAGTCTGATAAATCAATAATTAAATTGCAAATTCATTCTTAAAAATGGTGAAGATGAGTTTGTTTACCCAATTATGACCCAATAAGGTGACATAAGTCAAAATTAACATTGGCTTTTTTGTGGTTCATCATCAGTCAGATGATGGTGATGATCATGATGATTGGATGGAAAGAGCAAAGCACCTTGATGATCCGATGAATAGACTAAAGATAGACAAGTGCATTGCTATTTAATTGCAGTTGTGACCTCATGATAAGAGAGTGAGTTAAAGAGATTCTGATCAACAGGAAGAAATGATGAGAAGAGCGAGTCAAAAAATACTTGCCAATCGATATTTTTTATCATTCTTGTTCATTGAAAACTCTTCTTCAACTGAACTTTCACTCTAAACTCTCTTTCGCTCTCGGAAAGATTCAATACAAAAATAACAATTTAATGAAGGAAAGAGAAAAAGAAAGAGAAAGAAAAACCAGGTCAAAGCAAAACTCCGAGTTCATTGGCCGCAGTCATGTTTATGTAGGTTATGAAAGAGCAGAAAATTTCTCTTCTTCTCTTTCCACTTTGTAAAAGGGGTGGCAAATGGAGAGAGAAAAGAAAGGGAAAAAGAAGGAGAAAAAGAAAGAGATGCGCGTCAAGAGCAAGAGATGTAAATTAACCTTTCCCCCCTCTTTTCGTTCAAATAAAAACCTCCTTTAGTAAGAAGAGAAAGAGAGGTCATTGACTTGACTTTCTTCCATTAAACTGATGAGAGAGCTCTTTCTCTGTATATTTTTCGAAGAAAGAGAGAGAGAAGGAGAGAATGATAGAAAGGAAGATAGAAAGAGAGAGAGAAAGAGAGAGAGAAAGAGAGAGAGAAAGAGAAAGAGAGAGAGTGAAGCATGTGAATGAACCCTCACTTACAGTTCGTTTTTGCCTTTCTTACAGTTCGTCATCATCACCACCATCAACAACAACATCAAAATCAAGAAGAAGAGTATTAGGAAAACGCCAATAAACAACATTGAATACTTTCTCTTCATTTTTCCCTCTCTTTTTGTCCAATCGTTCAACATGTCTGATGGTTAATCTTGAAGTGTTCAGTTACTAAATGAATTTTAAAAAGTCCAAGTGCGTGTTTTTGGTTCAAAGAGATCAATCAACATGGAATATATGAAACCAAATGGAATATATTACATCATGTGTTTGGAATATTGTTTGTTAACTTAATCATCTTAATCTACTTTACACACTCTTGCCGTCTTGCTCATCTGTGAATTATTATTTGTTTTTTTGCCGTTCAACTCTAACTTTTGCCTTGTCTACCAGCTTTTGCTGGTTTAACCAAATATTATCACTTATACATAATAATTTTACAAATTATTAAATTTATAAATTTATATTTGCTAGTTTATGCCTAAATGATGAGTCTGTTTCAAGATTTAAAATTGAAAAGGCGCAAGACATCAGTCCAATGTGTCGCCTCTTCGGTAACTTCATCTTTCGTCGGTTCAACTGGACATGGATTGCTCCAAGCTTCCGGAATTATTCCAGTCTCTCTCGGAGCTGTAGTTGGATCGACGACTTCTTCTTCCCTATCGGCTCGTCGGTCCAATTCATCATCTTCATCAACATCATCCACCTCCTCATCAACCAATTCATCGCCCTTTGATTTGGACCTTGAGGGATGCCTTGACCTTACCACTAAACCAAAGGCCACTTCAGGCTCTTCGGTGAAAAAATCTCACCTCAGCTGTGGCTTACCTCCAACACCCCTCATCATGGGTGATTTACCAGGCCAAGGATCTGGAAAAACTATGTTATGTAAGTAAACTTTGATCAACCTCGATCTGTGCCTATTTAAGGTTGAAATTTATTGACCTTGTTCTTTGTTGATTTTGATGAGCTTCATTATTACTCAGCTTTCATTTCATGTTGCAACCTTAATAGAGTTAATTGACCTTTATCTTTAGCGTTGGTGTTGACCTTGCTCGACTTTTACTTACTCCATTTGTGTGATTAGTAAAAAAGGGTTTAACTTTTGCTTCCTTTTTCAGGGACCATAATGAACAAAGGATCACCACCTTCAAGCACCGGTATGACCAGTTCATCTTCACCGCCTTCATCTTCACCTCCTTCCATCACTTCATCACCCCCTTCATCCCAAATATCTTCATCATCTCCAACTTCATGTGAACCCAATGGCTCTGGTGAAGGATCCATAGTAAATGGTTCATCCAACGGTTCTTCTCGCGATCATCATAGTCTTCATCATCACTCGTCTATTAATAGCTATGGATCTTTAGTTCCTTACAATTTTTCTGCTAATAATGACACCAATGGATCTGATGTTGGTTCAAATGGAAGGGAAAACGGTAATGTTCGTGGAGATCGATCCAACAATAATACTTGTAATGGTAGCACCAATGGTAATTGCACATCCAATGGAAACCACTCAACCAATGATCATCTTCACCGAATCAATCATCCACATTTTCTTGTTCATCCATCTTCCTCGTCACCTTCACATCACCATTCACTCTCCTCTTTGGCCACTTCCCTCGCCAATTCGCCCTCTTCAACCGGACATTTACTGGGTCATCTTCCCAGTTCATCTTTACCTCTAGCCTTACCCTCATCATCCTCTTCATCCACCTCATCGCCACCCTCATCCGGTTTACTGTGCACATCAAATTCAGTAGCAGCAGCCGCTGCCGCTGCGGCTGCCATGGGTAACCTCATCTCATCCACTCCAACTTCATCGTCATCATCTGACATGAAATGCATGATTTGTGATGACAAAGCAACTGGACTTCACTACGGCATAATTACATGCGAAGGTTGTAAAGGTTTCTTCAAACGAACAGTACAAAATAAACGAGTTTATGTTTGCGTTGCTGAGGGTCAATGTGCTATTACTAAACAACAGCGTAATCGGTGTCAATACTGTAGATTTCAAAAGTGCCTACGACAAGGAATGGTGTTAGCGGCTGTTCGTGAAGACCGAATGCCCGGTGGACGAAATTCTGGAGCTGTTTATAATTTATATAAAGTGAAATATAAAAAGCATAAGAAACAAGCCAATGGTTCAGGGCCCAACGGAAATAGTTCATCTGTTTCATCAATGAATACCAATGGTAATTCCAATGGTAATGCATCAATGGTTAATGGTACCATTAACGGGAAAACCTCGACATCGCCTTCTTCCTCTTCTTCTTCATCTCCCTCTTCACTTTCCAATGGACTTTCAACTCACAATGGCAATGGAAGTTTATCCATTGCATTGGGTCAAACAAGTCTCAATAGCACCAATGGTACCAATGGAAGAGGTTCAGGTCCAGGAAATGATTCAGGATCCAATTCAATGTTCATTTCCAGTCTTGGTTCAACAGCAAATTCAACTGGTAGCCATGGATGTCCACCGAGTCCATTAAATAGTCCATCCTCTAACATGAATATACTCAAGTCAGCATTAACATCGCCTTATCCGATCAACAACCACCATCTTCACCATCATCATCTAGTTATCAATAATAACAACACCAATCATCATCTTAACCATCATCTCAATGGAGGTAACAATAGCAGTAATAATAATTCGAGTAACCCTAATAGTCATGGAATGTCCAATGGAAATAGTAACCACAGTTTATTTGATGGGTCAACTAATCATACCACCAACAACAGCCTAAGTCATAATAACAACAATAATAATAATTACGACCTCGTCCTCGTTGATTGTAATTCATCTCGAAGTAAAAATTCATTCGAGATGAGGGATCATCACCTTTTGTCTTCAGTTCGTAAAGAATTGTCTAGCAAAGAAATTCATGAAATTATATTGGAATTGATTCAAGTTGATGACTTTAATGAAGTCATGGAGGATGTTAACTTTGTTAACCATGAATTGGATGATGAAGAAGAAATGAAGATTAAAAATGAAGAAGAAGATGAAGGTGTTGAAGAAGACGAAGAATTGGATGATCGAGAAGAGAATCGAAGTAAAGTGAAAAAACTGATTATGACGATTGGTTCTCGAACTATCGATGGTAAAAATAAACAAGAGCTTACACTTAACGATAAATTGTGTTCCATTGGCGATTCCATTGTCTATAAACTAGTCCAATGGACAAAGAAATTACCTTTTTATGATTCACTGCCTGTCCAAAGTCATACAATGGTTAGTTCATTTTTCATTTCATTGTTTCAATTTCATCTTTCATAACAAACCTTTATTTACTCAGACTAGTTACCGATCATTTACCTTTCAGTATTATCTAGAAACTCGAAGATGAGTCTTTATGTTGATTTTTCATCCATTTTGAGGTTAAATTTATAAATATTCCTAGTTTTCAGTGCTAATTGAGCTAATCAGATCCAATTTCAACCTTCAACTGCAAAATCAATAGAAATGAATGAAATTACCTTTCCATGGCATAATAAAAACAATGACTGATAAGTAAAGCAAATAAAATAATTTATAATATTCAGTGAAATAGCGAAGAAAAGGAACTAAAATAAGGAAAGAAAATTTGCAGTCAGAGACTGAACTTTTTTCAAGACCTCTGCAATGAATTATCATGAATCGAGTTCAATCTACTCTGAGACTAATGATAATTTTGCTCTTTCTTTTTTCGTTGCTTGCCATGAACTTTCTTGTTCCCTTTCCCTTTACTTCTCCCTCTCCTGATGCCTCCACCTCCATCTGGATCTCCTCCTCGACTCTCTCTCTCTCTCTCTCTCTCTCTCATCTCCATGTTACCATATATACTCCTACCATGATCAATATATCAATATATTTGTGGTATCACTTCCTACTTCCTGGTAGTAACCATCACCAAGCTTCTCACTTTCTCCCTTCCATTGACTTTCCATTGCTCATTCTCATTTCAGGGAAACCCACGCTTTTTTGTTCATAGAATTTCTCTGTCTATTCTTCTTCTAATGCTGTCGACCTTAACTTGATTGATAAAAACTATTATCATAAAATGATAATCAGATAGAAAGCTGCATCATTTTGATACAATAATACACACAAAAATCACGTCCATGATGGATTCACAATAAATATATTTATTCTGAATCAGCTCATTTCGTTAGATCATTGTTTTTACAGTTGAGCTCCAATTTTCCCGTGTAATTTGAACAATCTTAATGAATTTACCATTGAATTGGCGACGTCACTTTGCTTAGAGAAACCTTTTTATTGCATTCATTTGCTCTTGTATCTTTGGACATTGAACCGAACTTGTTGAATTATTTCTCATCTTGATTCATTTCAAGTTCTGCAATGTAAATAGTAACTAAGATGCAGTCGCTTGATGCAACATCAAGTTGAATCAATAATCATTTGAGTTGAAAATTATGTCTTCCTTTTCTCATGAAAAAGGTTGACATTGTCCAATCATAATTCAACTTTGATCATGTTATTTGGGTAAAAGAAACTAGAAAAGTATTTGTTTTGTTGAATATTTCGCCCAAAATAATGAATACTTATTTTAGTGAAAATGAATGACCTAGAATTGGGAAAGTGAAGAGAGAGTAGCCTCATTATATCCTGCATCACCAGGAGAATGATGATTAAATGAAGAAAAGAGCAAGTTTCATTTTTCTCATTACCAACCAGCAAAATTAATGTTAACGCATTTGTACTGAAAGTTAATCTGATAAAATGTCGTTTTTCTCCTTCATCTTACTCTAACCACTTTATTTATATTATTATATTTATATTTAATTGAAATCAAAGAGTTTGTTTGAATTGAAATTAAGCGAAAACATGAAAGTAAAAAACTAAAAAAAAGCAACTCACATGATTACTGGTGAATACAGTTAACGGTCATTGAACTTTTACTTTATTTATATCATTCACTTTTTATACATTTTGTCAATCAACTAATTGCAGGTTGAAATTTTGAGTTATTTGGCAAATCACTTGCATTATGCTTGTGCTTTCACTGATTCACGTACAACATGATGATGAGGTTAAATCACCTTTTTTATTGTTGACTATTTGCAAATTATTCAAATTTTAATTCATGATAATCTGAAAGTAAAAAGTAAATGGTAAATTAAGCTGAGAAAAGTGTTTTCCTATTAAACAATCAAATCAAAATAATAAGGTTTGTTGAATTATTTACTAATTTTTTTTCGTCTTTTTCTTGTTCATGGCAACCCTTGACTGGTTCAATTGGATGGAACCTAATTGGTGACTGTTTCAATCATTTCATTGAACCATCAACAGTTATTAACACATAAATGGCATTCATTGTTAGTGTTAACTTTTTGCGCTTACCAAATTTTAAAAGAATCTAATTCAAATAATAATGGCTATTCGTCTACTGTCCTAAGTCATGGTCTCAATGGTAATGGTCATCATAATGGGAAACGTTATGATGACGATGATTTTGGAGACGATGAAGATGAAGATGATAGAATCTATGAAGAATCTGATGAAGAACTTCAAAGAGAAATGAGATTATCAATGCAAAAGTTGATCAACTGTTTAGGTAGGCATATTCAGACACCAATTGATGGGAAACTCGACTTTGAATGTTTATTAATTGTTTCATTTTTATTGAATTTTCTAGATAAAATTGTTCAACGAAGAACCAGACGAGAAGAAGACAATTTAACTTTGGACAGTTTGGAAAAAGAGTCTCGATTGCTGATAGAGTATTTGTGTAAAGTAAAGTTATATTTAAAGTCAATTAATTTAAAGATGGAGGAATACGTTTTATTGAAAGTCATCATCATGACCATGATGACAAGTGAGAAAAGACAGGAACTGTTATCTGAAAGAGAAGCTGCTGGTCTAGATATTATTGAGAGAATAAACTGTAAATATCTGAATGTCCTGAGTTGCTATTCATCGCCATCGAGATACAAGATGATCCTCAGATCAATTCATTTGATTGAAAAATGTGCAACCATTTTGTTGGATTCAAAGATGTTCTATGTTCCATTTTTACTGACCTCAAACATATGATCAGTAGTCATGAAAGATTCACAACTGAACACACCAAATTAGAATCTGTTCATCACCTGCTTTATTATTACCAAACAAAATTATCACAAAATTAAATTGATTGTTGGACAAGTTACAAGTTAAAGATTGTTGTTAATTATATAAATACCACCAGAAAGCATTAACATCATCAATTAGGATTATTTGAATTGTGACACAAAGTAAACTCATGCACATCTCTAATCACACAATTGACTTTATAAAAATAAATTTATAAATTGCCTCACTCTCATCATTATCCACATTAAACCATAATCATGATTATCATCATCATCATCATCATCATTTACTCAAAATCATTCACAGGCAACTCGTAATCACACATATAAATATATTGAAATAAAATGATATTTATATATATTATTGATTAACAGAGTTAATCAAACTTGGAAGAGATGAATTGACTCGATTGTTTTCTGTTCTCAAACTCATTTCTTTTATTTTTAGTCTGTTTTTGGTTTCCATCTCCATCTTCACCACAATTATCATCACTTACATCACAATTTTTTTGTCTTCAACAATTTTTTGTTCGCCATCACCAACATCATCATCTTCATCTTCATCATGATCATCATTCGATAAAGAAATTATTAAAGCCTTCTGGAGGTGGAAAAATTAAAGAATTAAAGTTAAAATTATACAGAATTTATGATGAAGTGATAATTAGGAGAGTGAGAGCAACAATCCATTTATTTCTGCTGTTTCTTGGAGAAAACTCTTGTTCTTTAATGGATTTCGTCTACAAAAATGAGAAATGAATTGTTAAAAGTTTCATATGATTGATTAACTAACTGTAAATGTTTATGTTTAAATGGCAAACAAATCAATCAGATTAAGATTATCCCGTCCCTTCTCTCGCTTCTAAAGACAAAAAACATTTCTCTTGTTATTATTACCAATCAATCCTTTCAATTTTTTTCATCTTCATTCATCCTTTTAATTTCATCTTTTCACTTTCATCTTCTTCACCTTTTTTGTGATTTTTATTAACTGATGATAATGAAACCATCAAAACCTTTTTCTCACTTTCCTTTCACTCTTTCTCTGTTATTACAACAATTGCCTAAGTAATTAAATTTGTAAAACATGAAAAATAACAAAAAATTGATGTCAAAAATTTATTTAAAATAGTCAACACATTTCGGAATATTTTTCAGTTTTAGTCAATATGAAATTCCATTTCAGTTGAAATGGCCGTAATAGTTCATAACATATTGAGAATCATAAGTTTACTTTAATGATTCAATTTATGCTGATTACAGCGATTATTTCAATGATCTCACAATTTTGGTGTCAAAAAGTTGAAAACTGGTAAACATGAACGGGATTAAAAAACATTTCACTGACAAACTCTGTTTAGTTATCGTATTCATGTTGACACATGATTACAATACAGAGACTATTGGCATTCTCATGAGGCTAAAAAAAGCCTGATAAGCAAAAGACAGACCATTTTAGTTGTTCAAACAACGAATGACTCGAAATCTTAAATGCAAGGCATTTCCTCTCCAATGTTTGCTATCACCAGATCAACAAAACAAACTGTTGATCACCTCAGGGACTTAATCCATTGGTGACTTTGTGACTGTTTCAACAAGTTGCTTGCTTTCCCTATCGCAATGGTTACTTATTTTAATCAATAACTGATAAGAATAGATGAAAATAAGATGAGAATGAGAACTTGAAAGAAGAAATAAATCACAAAGATGCTTTAAGATTGTGACAAGTACAGATGACTGAAGAGCCAAATGAGACGTAAGCATAAATCATCATTTGATACAAGTTTTCCTTCTACTTTTTAATTGATATCTTTAATATAAGATGTTAATCCAGCATTAGCCACGTATTTTCTTGTTACTTACGAGTTCAACTCAAGAGAAACACCAAAAATCTTAATTGGCCCCTTCATGATCTTCAAATGATAGACGAATCTTCAAAACAATGCGTTTTCTTCATTTCTTCAAAATCGTACAAAGACGGGTTTACGATATCTTATCAAGTAGAACCACACTTTTTTGTTTTTTAGCCTTTTTTGTTGTTCTTCCAACAACAATCATTATAATGTTTGAAAAGGTGAGATATTTTGATTTTACTTGAGATTATTGATTGATCTATTCAATTTACTAACTATACAAATGATCATGTAAAGATACTATGGATCTGGAATGGTCATCAATCTCTTGTTTTGTTTAGAAGTGATTTTGGTGGTTTAATGGTTGATAAATCTGGTTCAATGACAATTTGTGAAAACAAACCATCAATTGATGTGGTCTACACTTGGGTCAATGGATCAGAGGCAAAGTTTATCGAGAGATTGTTGAAAGTGAAACGTGATTATCTTGAAATTTACAGCAATCAGATAAATTGTTCCATTCCAATGGACTGCAATAGATCCAAAAGTAAATTCATATATTTTGACACATCTTTAGTTGCCATTGATAGTGCCATTGATATCAAAGGACTTGAAATGTTTGTCAATAAACAGTTTGAAATAGTCACAACAGAATCATCTCACAATTATCATTTAATGTATCTTAATTTTGGTAAGTAAACATTTAATTAGCCAACAACCATTCAGTTACATCATGTTTTGTCTTTTCAGATGAACGTAGAAACTTGGAAGACTATTTTAAATTACAAAGTGAACCAAATGCAATCAAACCAGTTTATGTTCGCCTTAGTTGTTCAAACTATAATTTGTCCCATGAAAAACCAAACCTGGCTGAAAGTTTCACTACAAAAAGCTTCATTTATTTGTCATCAACATTGAAATCATCTTCACCTTCAGAATTATCATCGATTTCATCAATATATCAATGGTTGCCGCCTAAGAAACAGTTGCTTAAACTTTTCAATGAGAAAGAGAGAAGTCAAATCAAAAGGATTGTATTTCATTCCTCGAGAAGAGCTGCTTTGATCATTTTGCAACAAACTAATTATCAAGACTTGTTGGTTGGTCGTCTCGTATCAATGGGCCAAAAGTACAACTTCAGTGTTGCGTCTGAGTTGAACCTTTACTTAGGTCAAGAAGACTTGTTTGAATGTTCAGATGATAAGATTTCTGAGTCAATAACAGTGAACAGATTTGCTGATAATGATGAATTGAAATACTCAATACGATCAATTGAAAAGTTTGCTCCGTGGATTCGCAATATTTACTTGGTTACTAATGGACAAATACCGAATTGGATTAATGCTGATCATCCTCAGCTGCGCCTGATATCCCATGAGGTATGAGCTCAACAATATGTTGAAAGAAAAGGTTATTTAATTGTTGCCTCACTGATCAACATTGTCAATAATCAACATGCCATTTGCCTTTCGCCTTTCTCAGGACATTTTCCCAAATAAAAATGATCTTCCAACTTTCAACTCAGCTGCCATTGAAGTCCATTTACACAGAATTCCAGGATTATCAGAAAAGTTCATTTATTTCAATGATGATATCATGTTGGGCAAACCAGTCTTTTTGGACGACTTTTACAGTCCAACAAGTGGATATAAGATTTATCTTGCTTGGCCTGTACCTAACTGTGAGTCTGGTTGTCCAACAAGTTGGTTAGCCGATGGTTTCTGTGATCAAGCTTGTAACTCTTCGATGTGCCTTTTTGATGGCGGAGATTGTCTCAACGTAACTTCGACTGATTCTCGACCTAATTTATCCCATTTAAGAGGAGAAAAGCCATCACTCGCTACTAAAAGATCTTTTACTGATCAATGCAGACCTTCGTGCGCTGACTTTTGGCTTGGCGATAAACAATGTGACAATGTGTGCAACAATATTGATTGTGCTTTTGATATGGGTGATTGTGGTCTAGAAGGTTATCAGTTCATTCCTGGAGAGACGTTTGTTAAAGATCAATTTGATTATCTTTACCCCTCACCATCTTCCTCAATTTATCTCAACATGACAAATCTCATGTCTACACCAAATTTTTTACTAACAAGAGCTTCTTATGAAAAAGACACCCAAATAAGATCTGTAACTCTCAACTTGAAGAATCAAATTTTGACTGTTCTTTTCAAATCTAATATCACTGAAGTAACAGTTACAATCAACTTCTCGTACAGATCAAGTGAAATCTCATCTGATATTCTTCTTCGATTGAATGTAACACCTGAATATGAAACTCAAAATTTAGGGAACCAGAATATTCCCTTTCATGAAATTGTGAGCAAACAGCCAATCTACCAACCAACAGTCAAACCCGATGATCTTGATACAAACACTATTGATTTCTCGAGTAATGTGACGATTCGAGCTGAGCCTCTCATTATTTTTGATCTTAAACCAACTGAATACAATTTAAGTTCAGCACAAATTTTGAAAATGATGGAAGAGGCTACAAGAAGATCTGCCAATTCATCTGAAAAGCTGAATGGCAATCTTGACATTGAGATATTGAAACTGATTTCAGATCTAGTTGAAGGCAAATATGAGGAAAGGCCAATAGGAAAGTTTCCTTGGGAAAATTTGAGAGACTTCGAAAAATTGGGCGAATTAATTGCTAATTATGAAAAATACTCAACATTGGGTTATGGGTTTAAATCAACTCAAAGACAATTATTAGACATATTTTCAGATTCAATCAAACACGTTAATTACCTTTACAATCAAGTATTTGGCATCAAAGCGAGAAGAATCATCGCTCATTCACCGATTTTACTGGAGAAAGAAATTATCGAAAGAATGTGGAATAGATTTCCAGAGCAACTTCAAGCAACATCATCACATAAACTTCGAAGCTCGAATGACATGCAATTTGCATTCTCTTATTTTAACTTCCTCATGAGTGAAACTTCACCAACAAATGAAAATGAAGTTATCCAAAGGTTCAACACGGATGATTCAAGGTGAGTGTTGCAAGAATACAGAATTCATTTTAACCTTATATTTATTTCAGAGGATTATCTGCAAATGAATTGAGATCACTTTTGGCTAATTTGGTTCAAACTCCGATATTGCAAGATGTATGGTCTAACTACAGCGTTTGTTGGGATGGATTGGATTTCAACGAATTGAAACAAGTAAGTTCACATTCATTGAACTTTCAATAAAACTCAGCTAATCACTTAAATGTAATAATATTTTGATTTTTTATTCAATTTATTCTAGTCTGGTGCTGAAATACCAATTGATCAATTACTGGCTTGTGATAGACTAGCAGAAAAGTTGAGAGAGAAATTTTCAGCGACCGAAAAAAATCGCTTCACATTAATGAGTGACGCAGATGTCGCTTTCACTATGATAAGACCTAACACTAAACAGTTGGTTAAGAAACTCGATCATCTACGAAGAGACCCAAAGAAATTTTTGTGTTTTAATGACGATCTACAGAGTTCTGAAACAAAAGAAGCACAAACTGCTCGATCAGAATTGCGAGATTATTATCAATATTTGGTTCCAAAGGCTTCATCTTATGAACTACCTCAAGGCCAGCTGAATCGGTTCAAGGATATTTCAGATTATCGCCGATGGAAGCAAAAAAGGATTTTAAATCACGACATGAATGAATCATCGACATGGTTTTACTTTCTCATCTATGGATCTATACTGTTTTGGTTAATTTACAAAGTTTTAACCAAGATATCCATTCACTCAACAAATTCGTACAAAATTTCCACACTAAAGATATAAAATGATTCGTTATGAAAATAAATTATTCTAAACATTATAAATTTTTAATTTAAGTTACGTAAACTTTTTCAATTTGAACTAATAAATAGACAATGCAAGAATGCAGAGCGAAATAAAATCATGAAAGCAAAGTTCTTTTACTTCTCGTGGTCTCTCTTGAAACGGTTGACATTTCTTTCTTAGCTGATGGGTCCTCAAGAAAAGATTTGGATATAGAAGAGATTCTAATGAAACCAGAATGAATAAGATTTGCTAAGGTATTTGATGACTCTTTGTTAGGTGACCATATGCACTTATTTATAGATGTAATAGGATAATCTGTTAAACGAGCTCGCTTCAAGTTTGAACCTTCTCGGAATTTCGAAACAATTGAAATTAAACGAGAATCCATCCGATTAACGGAGTAGTCATTGAATATAATCCCATACTGGGATATCATTTCTTCATAGCTACGAACTCTATTGACATTTTTATCAATAAGATAGCTGTTTGAGTTTTTGTTGATTTTGGCTGGGGCTTTGGCTTGTTTCTTGCCACCTTTGGTATTCAGTCCTGATACCTGAGCTTCTGTAGAATTTTCTGAGGAGATCTCATCTCTAATGGCACTTTCGTCGTTAAGTTTTTGAGAGACTCGCTGCTGGAGTTGACTTGTAAATATAGGCTGTTAACAATTTGTCATGATGAGAACACAACCATTATTGTCCAAAAATTTGTCCAGGTAGCAACATAGAGAAAAAGAAATAAAAATTAATAAAATGAAGACTTGACACAGGGGAGGCTTAATCGTAAACCAATTGATAGGGACGAAGGAAAAATTATGCGAAAGCGAAATTTCGAATTGCTGTGGAATGACATGAAAGTTTAATATTTATACTTACAAGAAGATCTGATAACTTTCGGCGAGTAGTTTTCTCATGCTTTGCGCGAAAATTATTTTGTAGAATTGAATTTCCAGAGTTGTCAGACACAAGTATAGAGTTAAAAAATAAGGATAGTGAGAGGGAATAAACGTTGGATGTCTCGAATGGTATAGTATACAGAGAACGATTCTCAATAGAAGAACGTTGCCCTTCTTCATAGATTTGTTTAAAAGTTACAACTGATTGGTTGCTCGATAAAAAAGCGTCGTCCAATGAAATAAAAAAACCTCCTAATAAATGAACTGAGGCAGTAAGACAATGAACTACTGATCGATGAAGCAGCAATAAAGGCATTAGACGCGCCTCACGCACATTCCAGAGTTTAATATTACGGTCCCAGCCTCCAGTTATAATAGATTTACTTCCAGGTAAAGGTAAGATTTGAATTGCACTGACCAAAGCTCCATGAGCGATCCAAGTTTTGATAGGTTTGATGACTAAAGAGTTGTTTTCATCGTCATTTCTAACTAAAATTGATGAAGTAGTAGACAAGTTAAAGTAATTAGCCATACCATCTCCATAGCCTACAGCTAGATAGTTCTGTTGATCACACCATGACCAAGATAAACATCGAGCAACAATATGGGCAGACGATGGTGGTTCTAAAACAGCAACAGGCTGCAAATGGAAAATAGGAGGCAGTTTGTTATGATTAGAAAAATGATGGTTATCTGTAAGACTAGTTATTAAATCCTCGGGGAATGGAATGGAGTAAATCCTGACGAATCCATCATCGAAAGCAGCAGCAACTAATGAGAGACGGCGTTTACGAGAACAGTAGGATGTACCACCTTTGGGAGCTTCAAGTGACCAAATCAAACCATGATCGTTAGCAAAACAGCAAACACATTCTAACATATTTGATGCGAATCTCCAAAGTTGAATTAAACCTTTCCGCATTCCATGAACATCACTTTTCTGAATAAAATTAGGTACTTCATAATCGTCGAAACCACGTCCATCACCAACACTAGCCACTACAAGATATTCCTCAGTCGAAGATGTTATATTATTGCTATTGATTCCATCATCAATATTGTCATAGTTCTCGAATGAACAATTTGCTTGGTTAATCTTAGGTTTTGGTAACCATTCCATAGCATAGCATTCAGACCCAATAAAACAAGTTAAAGTTTCACTCTCGGGGTTGACATGAGTTTTAAAAGCATCCAATTGTATCCAACTTTCATCATCAACTCCATCAATATTTTCATTGGTGGTCACTTTAAAATGAGCTGATTTCAGGTGACTTGGATAGTAGTCAGAACATAGTTTTGGATCGATTAAGTGGCAATGTCGATAATCTCTGAACCATTTATCATCCTGGAACGAAGGTTTGTTACAAAATTTCTCGAAAAACTCGGCAATTTCCTCTTCTAAAAGATGAAGTGGCTTGAAAACTTCAGGTTTATTCTTTTTGGGACCTTTAGTTTTAGCCATCAAAACATACACAAAATTAGGCTCACTCGTCAAAGAAATATACTGGGAAATAAAAATAAAACATGATTAACTAACATATTAATTTATGAAAGAAGATTAAAGAAAGACCAGGAAACATGGGTTTTAAAAACAAACCAAAAAATAAACAAGTAAACTGCTTAAATCAGCCCGCTCAAATCAGCTCGCTAGATGGAAGCATAATCATTTAATGGGGAACGATTGCTAATTAAATTTAAATTCAGATCAATTTTGATATTTGTTGGCATTCATTGTTGATGCAAATCAAAACCTTAATTCCTTTACCCAGTACTTGATTTCGTTCATCTTTCGGACAGATTGTTTATCAACAGAATGTTTCTTGTTGTACATTTGAGTCTAACTGTTTGAATTTGTATTTCACTAAATTGTAGAGCTCAGGAATATTATCAAACTCAAATAATTTTTTAATTTGTTAGAATTTAAAATTTTTAAATGACTTTCAAGACCAAATCGCGAAACAAAGGCATGAGACATTAACAAGAATAAAATGGAATGAGCTCAAATTTTGAATTCGACAATAACAAGATAATAGTCACTGAGCAATGAGCTCAGTGACTGAGAATCATTTTTGAACTTTACTTTATAAAGCTGTGATTTGTTGAATCCCTCGTCAAAAACAAAGTAAAATAAATTTTTAGATAATTTTAAAAGTTATTTCCTGTCGAATCTGTTTCCTGAAAAACATATTTTTTATAATATCCAATCGTAGCAAAAAAGGTCTTTAAAATTATAACGGAAATATATTTTGCCATAAAGTAATTGTTTTTAGATGCAATTTGTATTTTTGCTTTACTCGTGACAATTTAATCATTAAACATGAAGTATAAAAGTTTCATATTTGTTATTAACATGTTTGTATTTCAATTTATGATCAGCAACGGAGGTGAGTAATTTGTATTTGGAACAATCTTTTCATTGAATTATTGATTCACAGTTTAATTATATTCAGAATTAGATAAGTGCAATGGTGAACCATCTTGTGGCCAGTGTATACGATCAAGTACCGACTGTGGTTGGTGTAGTGCAGAAAATTATGACTCATTTCGTTGTGCTCTTATTGGCAACTTGAATAAATTAGGATGCAGAAATGAGTCGATAGAGTTTCCAAAAAATAAAATGGAAATCAAGCAGAACAGAGAATTGAGTTGGGCCAAAGCAGCTTCGATAAATGAAGCAGTTCAAATAAAACCACAGTTGATTAAATTGACATTGAGACCTAAAAAGTACGAAACCGTCAAAATGTTTTATCGACAGGCTGTTGATTATCCAGTCGATCTATATTACTTGATGGATGTATCAAAAACTATGTCAAAACACAAGCAAAAACTAGCAGAGTTGGGAAATGAACTTGCTAATCAAATGGGACTGATTACGAAAAACTTTAGACTTGGCTTTGGTTCGTTTATCGATAAAAACATTCAGCCTTTCACTGATACTAATCCACAAAAGTGAGTTGATTCAACAATTCATTTCAAATTAAAACAAACAAATTGTTTCTTTCTTATCAAGACTCAAAAAGCCATGTGATGAGTGTTCTAGTTCGTATGGTTTCAAGCACAGTATGTCTTTGGATACCAATGTAACAAAGTTTATAAAACTGGTTAAAGAAAGTCCAATTTCTGGTAACATTGATGCACCTGAAGGGACACTTGATGCGATTATGCAGGCAATTGTTTGTCGAGAAAGGATTGGTTGGAGGAAAGATGCGAGACATTTACTGATTGTCACAACCGATGCTGATTATCACTATGCTGGAGATGGAAGGGTAATTTTTTATTAAATATTTTCATTTACATAACAAATATTAATAATGAACTTCTAATGCAGCTTGCAGGATTGATAAAACCAAATGACGAGGAATGTCATCTTGATTCACAAAACTTTTACTCAGCTGGAAATGAGCAAGATTATCCTTCGATTAACCAAATCAATATGGTTTCTCAGGAAAATAATGTTCACATAATATTTTCAATCATAAGAGAAAAGATCGCTAAATATGGAAAGTTGGTAAAGAAGATAAAAAGCGCGAGTTTAGCTGAATTATCGAGTAACTCTGCGAATATTGTTGACATAATCAAAGGAGAATATCAAAAGCTCACATCGAATATTCAATTGGTCGATAATAGTTCAGATCACTTGAGATTGACTTATTACTCATCTTGTCTTAAAAAGGGAATCTCTGACGACAATTTAAACCTTGTTCAGCCACCAATATGCGAAGGACTGCAAGTTGATTCTCAGGTAATGTTCAAAGTGAAAATTGAATTGATTTCATGTCCAAACAGAGTATCTGAAAGGAAAGAAGTGATAAAAATAAATCCCATTGGATTGGAAGAAGGGCTGATTATTGAAGTTAACATGATATGTGAATGTGATTGTGAAAAGACAAAAGAAACAAAAAAACACATCAGCAAATGCAACAGCAAAGGAGATTACATTTGTGGTAAATGCAATTGTCATCAAGGAAGCTTTGGTTCAGACTGTGCGTGTGATGGTGATGATCGTAAATCTTTTGAGGAATGCTTTAAAGATACTAATGATACTGAACCTTGTTCTGGTAGAGGTGTGTGCAAATGTGGCGAGTGTAAATGCTATTCAGTAAAGGGTCATGCATATACTGGAAAGTATTGTCAATGTGATGACTTGGCCTGTGAATATGTCGATGGACAAATATGTGGAGGCATAACTAGAGGTGAGTGCAAGTGTGGTAAATGTGAATGTACTGATCGCTACACAGGATCTGTTTGTGAATGTCCAAAATCATCACAAAAATGCATCGATCCAGTAACCAAAACGATTTGCAATGGTCGAGGTACTTGCAATTGTGGTAAATGTGATTGTCAACAATCTTATTTTGGTTTGTATTGTGACGAATGTCCAACCTGTCTTGGTCAATGTCCATTATATCAAGATTTAATTAAACAACAAATAAATAATGGAACGCTTGAAATGACCAGTTCATTAACATTAACTTCTACCAACTACTCAATAATTTCAACATTGGTAAATGATTTAAAAGAAGATTCAAGGGACAAACGCTGCCAGTTTGTTGGCAAAGACGATGACTGCGCTTACATGTTCACTTATCGCTATGAAGATGAAACTTTGATAAAACCTTCATTAAAGAATAAAATAAGCGAAAATCAACGAGTAATAATGAAAGCTTTAAAAATCCGTAAATGTACCCAACCGATTGATTTGAAGGCTTATGCAGCTGAATATATTGGAACAATAGTTGTCATTGGATTAATTACTCTTTTAATTTGGAGAATCATTACATTTATGTTAGATAGACATGAATATCAAAAGTTTCTGAAAGCTTGCGCAAATATTGATTTTCCTGAGGTAAATTCATCTGTTACTTTACACTTTACATTTCTAATTTTAACATTTTAATCTTTTATTACAACAGAACCAAAATCCGCTTTTTAAACCATCCACATCAACGTTCAAAAATCCTGCTTATGATGAATCCACATGAAGGCCAAGACATGCTGACTGGATCTGCATCCATGACAAATCCATGCATTCGAAAAAGAGCGTTTGGAAATTCTAATAACTCGAATCCTTAATTTCGTTGCGGTTATAAAAATAGATTTGTCAAATATTTTTTAATATTAGTTTTTTTTGATATAAGTTGATTTGTCTCTCATTATAAATTATTTTCAGAGGTTTTGTTATCTTTATCGCTGTCCATAGAGCTGCCTTCTTTACAGCTACCATTGGTAGTATTGTTAATATTAGCATCACCATCTGTAAGTTTGTGAGATAGTTGATGCTTCAGCATCGATATGAGGGAGCAATAAATTCTATTACAAATGCCACAACTGAAAGTTCGTAAGTTATCTGATGTAATGTTCTCCTTGGTTTTAGTTGGATCGATCACAGATGATTCAATGGGAGTATTTGCTTCTGTTGATGATGTAGAAAGATTTTTCCCATTCATATGTACATTGGAACAATCGTTGTTCACCTCCTGGTTGATTGAACAATTTGAGGTAGATAAAATATTAACAACCCCACTCTGCTTGACAGAAGTTTCATTAGTGGAGGTTGATTTTTCAGAATTGTTAATTTCACACGCACCTTTACTTGTTTGATCACTATTATTGGCACTGGTACCGGCTACCGAAAGCTTCTCAGCGTCACCTTTACGCTTAACGGGACATTGATTAGCTGTATGACGACGAAAGTTTGCAAGATAGGTGAATCCTCGCTTACAATGAGGACAGAGATGAAATTGAGCAGGTGAACCTTTAAAGGCATATTGAGGGTAGTCTTGCTTAACTTTCCATAAATCTACTTTTTTACCATTTTTTTTGTCACTTGTTTTGACAGATGACTTTTGACGAGATAAATATCTACCAACTTGGTCAGATGCACTGCAAGATGAGGTATCAGAGGCAGGAGATTGTTCTTCATGCATATTGAGTGATGATGATTCATCGAATTGGACTTGATCTTTACTATTTTTTACATTGGATGATGACTGTTTTTCGTTGGCAGTGTTTACTTGTTGACTAACATTTCCTGAGCATCCAGCTTGAACATGTTTCCTAAAATTACCCATATATTTGAACAAACGAAGGCAATTTGGACAGCGGCGTTCACGACGAGATAATATCACACGATGCTTTATGGGTTCTTTAGGATGAGGGTTATGTAAAGTCGACGTAGATGAAGATGCTGGGCCATTTTCAGTAAATGATTGCTGTTTCCTTCGACGCCTTTTGATTATGATTTTACGTCTTCTACCGGATTTCAAAGCTCGACAAGTTTTCTCGGCATCAGAATTGTGGTTGGAAAGTATAGCATTAGATTCACTTTCTCCTAATCTATTGACTTGTGCTCGCCCTCTTTTCAATTTCAATCCAGCCTTGCCTCTTAATTTTATGACAATCTTCCGAGCAGTGACTCGAGTAGCAGACAATGCAGCATTTGGTTTCGTATTCGGTTCCCCTACATTCAAATCAACACCACCTTCGGGGTCTTCTTCCTTGTTTCTACCTGTTTTGAGTTGGCGACTTGCACGACGGGTTACAATTTTTGTAGGTACTTTTTGCTTTCTTTTAATCTCATTCTTTTGCGCTCCGATTCTATGTTTCAATTTACCGATTTGTTTATTCGACAAATTTTTTTCTGCACTCCTTGATGCAGAATCAGACGGATCATTCATTGTCTTTACTTCAGGATTATCAGTCTCTTCAGGAGGTAGACACGAGTTACGATGCTTCGCAAACGTTAAATGATGACTAAAAACAGCTGGACAGTTTAAGCAAAAATACCTGGCTCTTCGCCGGATTCTACGATTCAACATAGCAAATCTCCTTACAACTCTATGAACAGGTGTATAATTAACATTGCTAACGTCGGTGTCAGTCTTTGTACAGTCTTGATTAGGTGCTGGCTGAATAGCAGACTTTTCTTCGCTTTTTGTATCATCAATTGATGTGTCTCTATTTTTTAATTTTCTAGCAATCTTTCGCCTTTTAGTAGTATTTTCTGGCTCTTGAGGTTTTCTTTTGTTGGAAGATCGTGTGTTGTAGTTCAAGAACGACGGAGACGAAAAATTGTTATTCACAGTACGGGTAGAATTCCCTTTTCGAGCTGGCGATATTGGAGATATTGAAGTAGAAGACTGTGGGATCAACTTGGATGAGCCTAATGAAAGAGCTGAGGTAGAAAGAAATGAAGGCACGGCTTTAGAATTTGATGATGGCGATGATGATAGAGAAGATGAAATAGATGATGGAGATGATATGGATGTTGAAATTGACGAAGGTGAGGCCGATGAAACAGTAACAGAAAGCGCAGAAGATGAAAACGCTGGATTTGATTGCACGGGAAGGTTATAAATCTTGCTGTTCTTAGTTGGTGTAACTGCTGATGAAAATGGGGAAATCGTTGTTGATGAGCAATCTATAATGTGTTGATACAGTTCTGCAGCAGTAGTAAATTTGTTATGACATTTAGTACATCTAATACTGGGCTCAGATGATGAAGAGGCTATTTGAGGAACCTTGCAGCTTCTGAGCAACCCGGTCGGACTAAAGTGGTGCCACATCAGTAGGTTAGCTGGAATGCATTGATCCAACTGTACCTCAGTGAAACTACAGAAGACGTTAGGATGATTATTGATCTCGTGTTCATCAAAGTCCCTCAATGAAGTGAAATATTTTCCACAGGCATTACAAAGAAAAGCCTGAGATCCCGGTTTCATGTTTGGCCAAGTTGGTAATTTATCATTTTCAACAGCCATCGACATGTTATCAGGTGGAGTGATAGTTTTAGTTGAAGATGATAGATATTCCAGTTCATCCATCAGAAAATGGATCTTATCAAGCTCTTCGTCATCATTTAGTTGATAGTCAGGAGGAAAATTATAATCTTCCAGATTTAATTTGGGGACAATTGATTCAGCTGAAAATTTGACATCATTTACGTGATCACTGTTAGTACAACCGTTATCATTTTTATGAAAATTAGGTTTGCCATCGACATAGTACAACAGGTTTTCTGATATCTTTTCAGCCAAAGATCTGTAAAAACTGGAATCATCTCGGTACGATCCACCGTAATGTTTCATAGAGCACATAGCAGTACTTACCAAGGTGGCGAGGCTTGAATCGGCACTATTTGAAATTTTCAACTTGGTTATTTTATCTGATGTTGCAACAGGTATTGAACTCAGAATTCATGGGTTGATAGTTGATTAAACCCAAAATTATTATTGTAATAAATCGTAACAAATAAACAAGATGAATATTAATAAATCATAAACACATTTCCAACATGATTCGGTTAGCTTTTCCAGATCTATAATCCGTTTATGAGGAGATGAAGATATCTTTATCGCTTATTGAGTAGCTTATCACAGCAGCAAAAAAACAAAAAATTCGCTTAGTACCTCCTTGCAATAGTTAACCACCAATTTTAAACTGGCACTTTCCTAGAAACTTATTCACTTTTTACAGGACCATCGGTACTTGAAGTTTGGCGTGATTGAACCTCAGACCCTGAATTTCTCGGTAATTTTCCAAGGTTTCTGGGAAACGTATCGATAGTGAACTGATATTTGACTCACTACCGGAAAAAGATCTTCAACTCTGAGCAAGACAGTTCGGGTGACTACACCAACAGATGGCTGCACATAAAAAAGCGAAGAAATCTTCGGGAAAAAGAGGGAAGTTGACCAAAAAAGATTGACCTTGTTTAAATAGGAGAGTTTTTTCAACTCAATCTGGATACTGATAATGGTTTAAAGTACAAAATCCGGTTATTTTCTCAGAAAATCTTATCAAACTTTCCTTCTCTGTTTCCATTTGAAACTTCAGATATCATGTTAGAAATCGACTTAAAATAACACCAAACTAAAGCATTTAAATAAACGGTACATTAATTGATTAAGATCTTAGCAATAATGGTTTGTAAGTGGATTGGATCTTATTGCGGTTAATATTTCCATGCATCTACATGTAAATGGTTTCTTGTACGCAAGATTGCAGCAGCAAACTTCAAGAAAACTGTTGTTGCTCTGTATGTAATCCATACTAGGCTTGTTTTATCAATAAAATTGATAGTGACTCATTCTTAGTTCTTCGGGTTTACCTGATCGCCATTTTGTAATCAAGTAAGGATCATCTTTTAACACTTTAGGCCTTGCTGGCCAATTGTTATCAACTATGGGATTATCCATTCCGATTTCAGTGCTTTTATTTACATTTTTGGGCAATGGATTACCTGTGTTTGTTTCTGCCAAAGCTCCTCGTTTCGGAGGAGTCAAGGGCTGGAAAGAAATTCACGATAGAATTGAATACACTCCTACTTCTGGACAGAAAATTTTGTTCCCTGAAGCCGAACTTCAATTATGGAATGTACCATGTGATGTCCAAGATGTTTCTCTTCAACTTAGCTTATCTACTTCACACATAGGAAAAGGATGCGACCGAGATACATACTCTATAGAATCACAACGTAAACTTTGTGGTAAGCTTCCATCACTCATTTCTCATGCTTCGATATAATTTTCTGAAAATAATGACCTGAAATATCATTGATATATTCGCTATTTTATTTATTCAATTTATGTATGAAAGTGTTCTGATCCTGTTTTCTTTTCATGTATTCAATTCATCTCTTCCCCTTACTCTATCTATTTTCTTAATCCTCTTCTGACTCTTCTGTTTTCATTTCTTTTTGGCTTTTAATACCCTTTATCCTGTTTATCTATTATCTCTATCGACTTCTTCATAGCATTTCATGCTTGTTCAGCTTTTCCATATTCTTAATCGCCGTCTTCATTTGTCTTCAACAAATTTTCAGTTTAATCTAGCATTTAGTAATTATCACGATTATTATCATCATTATTTTCGCACATTTACCAATGATACTTTTCTCTTGATTTTTGTTTTTTAAGGAGCAAATGTTGCCAGTGTTGATCTATTACCTTCGCCAGGAATCGGTGCTGAATGGACACGATATTTGCCCACTGATGAAGGTCACGAAAGTGATAAAATCTTTGAATTTGATGGAGCATCAGTTGCTGCTATGATTCCAGAGACTGTTCTGGATCATAATCTCACCAACAAATTTTCAATTTCATTTTGGATGAAACATGAGCCCCCTGCTGATCACACCAACAAACACATCAAAGAGCACATTATATGTAATGCTGATGATCATAGTAAGTCAATCAGATATAATTTAGTCTAATGGCAAAGTGAGACTGGCTGAAAACAAAAAAAATCAGATTACGTTTTGTTTCAAGCACACTTATTGATACTAAATGAATAAAACTAAATGATGATACATTTATTCTGCATTTGGTGATCACATTATAATTGATGAAAAGCATTACTTTCTAGTTGAGAGAAAATTGATGTTTTCAGAGCCAATTTATTGCACCTCACAGACCTTATTTTAGATGTCTATTTTTATTTTTCTCGTAAAATCACAATATTTTATCTATTGGATTGTAACAATCATGTTGTCTTCGGCATTAATTTTATTTTGACATTTTATTTTTGCAGAGAAAAATCGTCATCACTATGCTCTCTTCGTCCGTAATTGTCGTCTCATTTTACTTCTTCGTCGAGAGTTCAATCAAGAGAAACGAACTATATTTCGGCCCGCAGAATGGCGTTGGAAACTCGCTGAAGTTTGTGACAACAAGTGGCATCATTATGCTATATCTGTCTCGTTCCCAGAGGTTTCTTTGTATCTCGACGGACAATTGTACAAAAACACTTCAACTAATCCAGAAATAGTCGATGATTGGCCATTGCACGCTATGAAAGGTGTAAACACCACACTTACTGTTGGTGCATGTTGGGAGGGAAAAGCTAACAAATTAAATTTTCACTTCCGAGGTTTTCTGGCTGGACTCAGTATTCTTCGTGGAGCAAATGAATCGCCTAATGTGTTGAACTGTCTTCATAGATGCAAAGAAGGCTTAGAGTTGCCTCCATCAGACTCTCTTGACTCAGGCACAAGTGTATCCATCAATACTCAAGGATCAGAAATACTAATAGAAGGAAAGGATGCAATTGATGTTGAAGATATGCTCTCTCAAGTTTCTTACATAAACACCCGAGAATACCCAACTCCTGGTCGTCGTAGTTTACGATTATCAACTTCAATAAGGTATGAATTGATTTATAATTTTATTAAATATTTATTTGCAAACTGAATGTTTTTATCCATATGAGTATCATGTAGGGGATTTCAGGTAAATTTTTGACGGGTTGATATATCATACTTATTACATGGTTTTGTTAAAATCCTATTGTTTTGATTGTAAAATTGTCAGCATCGGATGTTTTGGATGAAAAAGATTGTGCAACTAAATGTTTGGACATTATATTCCATTGATTGGAGCAATAAATTATTACCAACTTTCAGATTTGATTTGATTTAGAACCTCGCATTGGTCGATTTTCATTAATCATTATTTCTATTTTTTCTCTCCTCCAGATGTTCTAATGGTAAATCATTGAAGGTTCCCAGTGTAGACTCTTACATAATGGTGTTGCCACCAAAACAGCCACTTATAAGTCTAAATGGAACTCCTAATCTGGCTCGCGAATACGAAGCTTTTGTTCAAGGAATTGAACTTTTCTCAACAGTTTCCATTCTTATTAATCATGAAATCGAAGTTGAAGATGACGAAGATAATAATGTTAATCCTGATGACATTGGAGACTTATCTTCTGAAGATTCATCCAAACCAACCAAGGAAGTATCTAAACTTGCTAATGTACACAAGTTGGATACTTGTTCGATTCAAGTTTATCCACCTCTTAATCCAGATCATGAATATTTTCGACTCCCGAATAATTTCATGAATCATCTTGGAGTTAGATTCACAGAGTCAAAGGATGGAATTGTTATTAACGGTCAGTAATCCATTCTTAAGTGTTTAATTTACATAATGTAAATCGTTTCACTGCTTATATTACCAATCTATCTAAACTTTTCAAACTAATTTTGAATGACAGTTTTAGAAGTGAATAATGGCTAAAAATGGCTTCTAGTGAGACTGTCTCAGTGAAGAATTAGTGTTTTTATCGATCTCCTCGTGTCATTGACATTTTCTTAACGAAGAATTGTTAGTTTTTTGTGGTTAGTGATGGTCATTACTTTTATTAAACTGTAATTCACAGGTTCGTTTCAACCCTGCTAGAAGAATGTAATAAATTAGAATGCTATTTATATAAATAATTATGAAAAATAATAGTGAGGTAAAATGAGCTTTTTAATGAGCTTCCTGGTTACCTTTATAACAATCAATGAGAGTGAATGAACCAGACAGCTGAAAGGCAAGATGAATGGTTAATTATACGCTAATATGATTTCAATTTTATCGGGCATCTCTTATTGTGTACCGATCAAAGAATCTGCTAATGAACAAAAATTTTGATAAACTTGTATTAGTTTTCTTGTATGCATTTTGACTGCCTTTTTAGTGCTTAATATTACTTTTAGCCAATAGAATGCCAGGAAAGAATTTTTTTCTCATTCCACTTGTTCGAATGTAGATTAAGCTGTCACATGTAGCTGAATGCTCATTTCATTTTGAATATATCTTGACTATTGTCCATCATGGTGCATTAATTATCTATTTATTTTTTTAATTAAACTGTCTGTTGATACTTTGTCACTTTTCTGGACAAAAGAGATTTACTGAGATTAGAAATTGATTTAATCGGTTTATATGTGAATAAGCCAAAAGCATCATGTATATATTGAAACGTAGTTTCTTTTTGATTTTATTTAATCTTCCCTAGTTTTGAGTAGATTCACGTAACAGTATTTTGCGCAATTCTAAGCCATACTTGGAGATTGATTCATTTCAATTTTGACTAATTTATCACTCGATATCACCCAGAAATAAATTTTGTATTCTCATATCGATTCCTTTATGGCGAAGATGAATTTTCATTCATGATCAACGCATTTCAATTTGAATAGATTGGATTGAATCTTTAAGACCTTTATTTTGCATGTTTAGATGTTTTACCTCAAAAGTTGTGGCAAATATGAATGTAAGAAGATGAGATTATATCGTTGTTGCTATACATTTTTCATTTCGATTCATATCTTTTTAACTCATGATTAATTTGTTCGTTACTCCAATGGAAATGTTTTTTTCTGTTTTATACATTTTTGATTGCAATAAAATAAGCTTCATAAGCCTAGCCTTAAGGAAAAAGCATCATTCTGCATTTTAATTCTGAAACCAGTAAACAAAGAATTTACTTGTGTCTCCATGTTGATCTAATAATTATTTAGATTTCATTCTTATAGTCTTATTATAATTATTATTAACATTTCCGCCTAAACTATTTTAATACATATTTTCAACCTTTATCATTTTCTCCAGGTAATTATAATTATTTTGTTAATGTGATGTGCTTTCCAAGATTGTTCATTACATGTTGTTTATGCTTTTAACCTTCATTCTCTAAACTTGGTTATTGTTTCCCATTTAATTTGATTTAATTATTTTCCTCAAATACTGTTATGATAATTTTTTCTCATGGTAGCTCATATAAATTGATGATGAGTTGATTCTTAATTTCATAAATCGTCTCTGAAAAATTTGATATAACTTCCTCTTCCATCTACATTAATGAGAATCTGTATATTCAACAGAATGCAGATTGTTAAGGCTTCTGTTTTGTTATTAACTTTAAGGTCTTTCCTTTTTCAGAGCTATTTCCTTTAACCTGTAACAGACGATCGATCAAACTGTTTTCATATTATTAGCAATCCTTATACACTGTTATCATGATTTAATTGAATGGCAACGGATTTTCATCACAGATCTAGTTTCTTTTCTTACCTTGTTTTCTGTATCTAACCTTACATTTGTTTCTTTTTCTCTTCATCATCATCTTCTTCTTTGCCTTCTTCTGACTCTTTTGACTTTTGTAGTTGTAATCATCTGTATTTTGCATCTTAAAATGTTAATTCATTGAAGAAACGAGAGAGAAAAAGAAACTTGAATCGGCTTTTCAGCTGAACCATTGGTTCTGCATTGAATTGTGATTCCAGTCGGACGAATTGCATTCTCATTCTTTATTCATTTCTTCAGAACATTCATCCCTTTTTGATTATATTTGTATATTTTATTCATCTCATTTCCATATCCTTAAACTCGAGTCTTCTCCATAAATTGTTATCTTTAACAATATAACTCACTAATAATTGTCGGATGATCATTTGAAAGTCCTTTTCTTACCATGTTCGTTTCATTCTGTTTCACATATCTCAGCAAAAGAATCTGAAACCATCAGTTACATTGATAGATAAATGCAATTTCCAACACCAATTCAATCCATTGTATAATGCAATAGTAATGGTTTCATTTTTGCACAAGTAATCCAACAATCACAGCAACAAAAGCGACAACATGAACAACAATAACAATAACAGCAACAGCAACAACAACTGTAACTGTAACTGTAGTGATAGTAACAACATCATCTAAAGCAATGTTAGCAGCTCTCATCCAATAACACTGATATGTCATATTTGGAGTCAAAAATACACTTAACCTATTAATATAAAATTATTTCATTTTCATCACCTTTTTACCTTTTCCAATGTTCATTTTCCTCTCATTTTAAGTTGAATCAAAAGTGTGCAAAAATTTGACTCTATTATTTATATAATAATAACTTTGAAATTGGTTCATACTTGCTATTTGTCTTACCTTTATGCCTTTCCTTGTATTTTAATAGAATACATAAATTGTATAACATCTCAGGTTTTCATTGATTTTTGTTTGTCATGCGAATTAGTTATTTCATGTTTTCTGTTCTTGTAACTTTCATTTTTGGGTGTGATTAAAGTATAAAAAAGGTCCCTCCTCATAAGAAAAATACTATCCCAGATGGCACCTGAATTCATCTTTACCCTTTTATTGTTAAACATACAATTTTTTCCTCCCTTTTTTGGACAGCCTCAAATCAACTCATGAAACTTTTTATGCAAACTTGCAAAATTGATTGAATTGATACTTGCATCTCTCAAATGCTATGGATTCATTGAAAATGCACAAATCTATAACTCAAATTACGAATCTCCTAGCAACTACTTAATTTTCTAATGAACAAAATCTGCATTATTGCAATTCGTTTAAAAATGAGTTTTAAAAATTATAGCCAAAATCAGATGTTGTGCTCTAAGATAGCCTCAGAGGATAACATGGATAAATATCAAGTGAATTTGATTTGATATAAAAGATGGCATCCATTGTCTCACAGATTGAAACAGAATCATATTCATTTATTTCTGCTCGGTACTTTGACTGTCATTATAATTTAACTTTAATGTAAACTTTTTCCTCTTCTAACGAGTAAACAATTTTCCTCTCGATTGTCTTCATTATTTCAAACTTTTCTCTTCTCTTTTCTCTCCTTTGAACATGATTTCTGTTTATCTTCTTTTATATCTTTCATTGTTTGCTAGCTTATGTTGACATTTAAAGAAAGGAAAATGAGAGACTTGTTGACATGCTATTGTACGTAATCTTGTTTTCAGGACTAACTCTAGCATCACTTTAGTTTTATATATTCACAAATAATCATACACTCCCATTACCATTAAAATCAGTAGCAGCATCCTCCTCTTACATATATTTTTTACCATTTTTCATCGTGTCTTCAAGTACATCCCATTGAGCTAGATAATAATAAACAATATGACTGCTAGCTTTTAATAATCATGGCATTAAATTGAAACATAAAACAAAAGTAACAAAAATAGCTAACATGTCACAGAAAAAGTAATTTACTTAGCAGAATCAAGTGAAATAGCCACGAGACTTTGTCTCTTCATGCATTTGCCAATTGAATACAGCATTGGAAACAACATGTTTTAATCAATCAGGATTTATTTCACCACTTGAATGGTGTAAAAGATGGCACAGCACACTTTTCACGACTATTTTGTTCTGACTTTCATGAAGAAATCAAGTCGAAGCACGTTTGTCTTGCTTCTTGAATCTTTGATGATCATGAAAGTGTTCAACTAATTCTTGTCTTTTTTTGGATGACTTCATCTCTCAATCAATTCTTGCAATTTTAGAACCAGAGGCATTTTTTGAAAAATGGGAACAAGAAACAAAGAATAAATAGTGAAAAGAAAAATGATGATACTGACCTATTCATTTCTATTTCAACTCAAATCGACAAATCTTTCTTTTCATATTAAACTTATTTACTCGTTAGATCTAACCTAGAAACTAGAAAACGACATCGATTTCTCCACCCAAAACCTGAGTCATCTTTGTCCACTGACCATTGTGGTCATCTATTCTCTCATTTTTCTACTTCCTTTTTATTTTCTTTTTCTGCTTCGTCTCTCTCTTGTTCGAATTGTTCACGCAAACCAAGATTCAAGATAACCTTTCTTTTAAAGAAACGAGAAAAGCCTTCATCTTGCTCTTTTACCTTTTCTCTTATTCATTATCCGAAGATGATGAACCTACAAATTTTCTGAACTCCACTGAGACCAAATGCCTGATGCACTAATTAGATATCATTGGCTCAAATAACTTATAGTTTAATGACTTGGATAAGCCAAAGTGGAATGATAAGGAATAGAATTATCAAAGTTAATTGAGAGTATAGCCGTTTAAAGCAATGCTCCTGAAAGGTTACTTCACTATTAAACATTCCCTTCAGAGTGTAAACTGTTACATTTGAATGGATTAAAGGTGTCAATTTTATCTCAATCATTCACTCGCCTTCTTTCACTCATTGAAATATTTCCACTCGAAACAATAGTCTATTGCTTATTGCTTTATTCAACATCCATTGTGACTTGGATTTTTGTTCAATTTTTATGGACGCATGTCCATTATAACTCAGGCCAATTATTATGCAAACACTTGCAATCTTATAAATTATTATTGCAATCATTAATCATCTTAATTGCTGTTAATCTTAGTTTTGATTTCATGTTTGCATCTAAAGTCAAAGTTTATTTTCTCCTTTTCCCAATGCTGATTAATCGATACATTGTTGTAAATGTTATTGATCAGACATAAGGATAGTGATTCAATTAATTGAGTTGAATGATAAACTAATGATGTTGATGTCAAATAACGAGGATAATTCAATCTTTTGTCTAATCCTTTGTTGTTTGTCCTTCCTTTGTTTTAAAAAAAAAGTTTGACTCGTCAAATATCAAGATTAAATTGAACTGAATCAAAATTGATTATTTTGCTTGTAGGAACACTGAGCGTAAACCCACTCAGCTGAAGAGACTGGAGAGTCTCCATCGAGTCAATGTAGATCAATGTTTAAATCGAGTTATAGCGGAAACTTGTCAGTTAATTATCAATGTTTCTATGGTTTCCTATGACATTTAAAGGATGATCAGGATTAAAATTTTGTAATCACTTTGTGAAGAGTTATCAACAATCTAAATCTATAAACCTTGGAATTTAGTGATTATCTTCTTATCAAGTAGATTGAGAGAAATAAATACACTTTTCCTGTAATCATTAAAGAAAAGGCTTTACTTTGAGTCATCAGCTGGTTGATTTACTCAAGCTCAATATCTTGCTCTGAACATAATTCAATTTTTTAATGTTACAGTTTCTCTCTTCAACTTGAATCGTTTTTTTCAGTTAAATCGATTAATTTCTCAGCTCATTGATTTGATAAATTCTTGTATTTTGAATTGATATTTCGTTTATATTAGATTGGCCAAACATTGTCAAGCTGTGAAAATTGGTTTATTGATATTCTGAGGTGACTAATTGAATGCTGAATAAAAAATAAATGATCTTTCATCTTTTCGAAAAACAACTTTCTTTTTTCATTTTACTCATTCAGCCTAATAAACAATAAGTTGAATTTTATTGAAAATCTCTTTTCAACTGATGAAATTCTTATATTTTTATTCTTTTTCAGACAACTTTTTCATCTTTTATATTTGATAAATTCTCTCTTCGTGTTCTTCTATTAACCTCTGAATTACTTTTAGATATTTTCTATTGTTAGTGATTTTTAGTTGGTCATGCTCTAGAATTGCTTTCATGACTAGAGTTGTTGCTGGATGTCATTATTATATACTTCTAATGAAGATAATTCATGAAAGATTTTCGTAATACTGTTACATGAAATGGCCAATTAGTTTGAGATTCTCTCTTTTCTGTATAATTTCTTATCCATCCTAATAAATCATAGGGTTTAAGCTTCAAATTGATTGAAATCAATAGTTATTAAAGCAAATTTCCTTCACCAACATCAAGTCAAATGATTCCTTTTTCTAATTCTCATTTTGCAATTTATTAATAATTTGATTTATACGTATTTCTAATCAACAGGAGCCGACACTGTTCATAATTATCAAACCATACTTCGAGAGATCGTTTACTTCAACCATAAACCAGCCTACTATTTGAATAGAGCCTTCAAACTGACTTGTTCAGAGTTAAATGGCCGTTTCATTTCAAACGACTACTTTCAAACATTAACTGTAATCCATCCTAAAGTTGATCCTTCAAACTTGACTGGATCCACAAGTCAAGGCTTTAAATCTGAAGCAAGTTCTGACGTTGTAAGTGGTTTAAATAACAATGACGGATCTTCGAGGCACAATGAGGCTGATAACAAGATGAACATGATGGTTAATGATGGCCATGGACGTGAAGATCGACCAGGCATTGTGGCAGCTCATGCTCAAGTTCATCAGCAACAAGTTGAACTAAAGGATTCCAAGTTGAAATCAAATGGATTCCGGGATTCACTTGAATCTAGTGAAATCTTTGCAAGAACCACTGCAAGTGAGTAAACTCATTTTGCTTTTGTAAACGTTTGTTATAACTTATTGTTGTCCCTTTATCGTTTAAACTTTGCCACTATTATAGTGAAATCTCGATTGTCACCCATCGTTGTAGGTCATGCAGTAACTGTTATTATCGTGGTATGTGTTGGTTTCTTAGTCTTCATGATTGTTCTTGGAGTTATTCGGATAAGAGCTGCACATTCTAGGCCTAGTGAAACGAGAGATGAAGAACAAGAAATGGCCTGGGATGATACATCACTTACCATAACTGTAAACCCTTTAGATGTAAGTTTTAGTCTGTGAACTTTATCGATTTTGATTTGGTTAAATGTATCTAACAATTACAATTCTTTAACTTTTTTCTAGCAAATTGAACAAGAACAGGGAAGTTTACCAATCCAAGAGGACGATGATGATTCTGACAGTTCAGATGATGGCAGTAGCTATCGGGACGATGGTGAAAGTTCAGAGGATGAAGTAGAAAAAACTAAAACTCGCCGAGAATTGGAATGGGATGATTCAACCTTAACTTTTTAGATCTCACTTAATGGAAATTTAATTTAAAATTTATTTCATTTCCGTTTCATCTGCTAAATTGACTTGACTCAATCAACATGACAACTTGTTGATATTACTTAAGGTGTTTCCCATCAGGCCAAATATTGAGATTAAAATTGAGATATCGATAAATTATGGCGTATTCTGACGTCAAAGTAAATTAATTTTTCAAACGAGCTAATAATCTAATTGACATAACCTTTAGAGCGCGATCATTCTTAGCTAAAACTTTCATAACATGAGCCTAAATGTTGTTTTTTTGATTCTTTAATTTGAGTTGTGAATCTCAATCATTTTTTAATCGAGATGAATTTAATGGGAAACACCTTAACGAGTCTGATTTAATTTAGCTTGTATAAAGTCAACTTAATTACCACTACCACTACCACTTCCACCTTCATCAATCATAACACTGACGCAAACTAAAAATATTATCATTATCGAAGCAGTGATGACCAAGCATCTACTTATAAATACAGCTTTAAAAATTTAGATTGGGTTGACAACATTATCTTTGATGGACAAACCGATACTTTATTGTCAGATTGATCAATAAAACTGAAATTTTACTATTCAACTAAATCATTTGATCTCACAATCAGCTTCTGTTTGTTCATTTCTGATATTGTTATCGACCCAAAACTTAATTTACAAAAACTGTTTTTTATACAACTAAACGATTGATAACTAATGGTTATAAGCACTGGATAACCAACATATCAGCACTTAACAGCACTGTTTTAAAGGAGCAGTTAAATCTCAAGTTATTGATCATAACATATTAAGATGTTAGAAAAGATGAACTAGTTGAAGCTAATATTATAAGAATTTTTTTGTTTGTCAATACCTACGTTTGATAGCCAAACTTCAGACCAAAAATGATTATCTAAATTGTTATTATTTTGGACTTTTTTATTTAATTCGTGTAAAAAGCTGAATAATGGTTAGTCAATGATATGTGACTTGCGTATCATCTGAAATCGTCTTTAAACTGATAATTATTCACTTTAATATAATATTGAAAAATGGAAATCCTCTAGAATTATTCCTACTCTTGACTTCTCCTAGACTTACTCTTGAACCCCATAAACTGTAAACCCCTATTCAATACCAGATTGTTTAACATTGAACATTCCACGAAACGAAAATCAAACGTACCTTTTTTTCTTAGGTAATCGCTCTTAAAATCTATGGACTCAAAAAATGCTTAAATTAACCCGAATCTTACCTCTTTCGCTTAATTGTCTTCATTCTTCATTGCGCGAAAACTATTAACATAAACATTATTTGCTTTCAAAATACTTGTATATTGATAATAAATATTGATAATAAAATTAGATGTTAATTGGTGTAAATTGAAACCAAAGTACTTTTTACAAGCCATCCAAACAATACATGATGTATCGAAGAAATCAAATCAATTTAAAAGATGGCGTAACCTCAAAATATTGAAAGAGTGTGATTTAGTCTGAGTTAGTCTGAAATTTACTCTTTGGTCATTCTTTGCAGATACATGTAAATATATTTATTTTTTGTCATGTTTCCATTGTTTTACATTTTTTTTGATGAACATTCAGCTATTAGTTTGTTATGCTCTTAATTAGACTCTAACAAATGTAAGTCTTAGAGGTAAATAGATAGTATCTATTAGATATGGATTGACTCCAAGATCCGATCCTATTTTGGTCATGTTTTGAAAACATTGTTTTCATCTTGTTTTTCATTTTTTGGTTATTTATTAATATAAAATAGATATTTGCTAATTTAGAAATGGCACAATCAAGATTACAAAAATTTGCCAGCATTTTCAATCGGTAAGTTTGATTTAAAATATTATCTGAATCTCTACTTAATGTATTCTTTATTTCTGATTGCTCCAACTATTAGTGTTGAAGGTTTCCTGCGATCTGGAGGAATCAAACCTGATGATAAACCCATCTGGTTCGATGTTTATAAACGATTTCCCCCAGTTGTTGAACCTATTTACTTAAGGCCTTTACCTGATATTAATGTCAAACCTATTTTTTATCATGAAGATAAAATAAGAGCGTAAGTTTTTCTTCTGTTTACAATTTATAGCAGTTTGATAGAGTAAAGTTCAGTCCTGAATGTGACTCATTAGCTAGTAGATTCAATTTTCGATTCCTACTCAACACTCATGTATTCTAACCTTTCTCGATTTCTCAGTGAATTTTATAGAGTATTTGGATCACCTGGTGTTATCGATTTAATGGACTCTTCAAATCCAACAATTTGCGACCTATTCATAGAAAAATATGTCGAAATAGCGAAATCAAGTCAAATGGATATTGATGATGTTACTCTTTTTAACTTAGCCGCAAATAGATTAAGGGAGTCTGGTATCAAATTAAGAAAGTATGAAGGATCAAACAATATTGATTTGCCCGATGTCAATATTGATAAACCAGCAATGAAATCACACAACCCAAAACAAAATATAGATATAGCAAGTTTAATGGATAATGAATAAAATGTAATCGATATTAAATTATGAGTTTGTGCTTGTAAAATGAAATAGATTTCGAAAATATGTACAAAAAAATATTTGATTCTAAATTTGTTCTAAAAAGGAATCATCGCTGTCGATTCGATATAATACATTTTTACGAGCTCTCTTGGATTTAGGTTCAACAGGAACATCACTTTGCTCTTCGTCATCTTCAGTACTCGAACCAGAACTCAAGACAATATCTTCATCATCTTCAGTGAGAGAATCATCTGAGCCCCAAGATTTACGCTTTTTAGGCTTTGACTTTTGCTTGGGTTGAGTTGTTTTGGTTACGAGATTTTTCTTAGCAGCAACTTCTTTAGTTTTCGTAATAGGTTTTTCAATTTCAGTGCTATTGCTATCTGCGTCAGCCTTGTCATCTTTGGTCACTTTACCAATCGGTTTAAAATTCAGAGTAGTCTGTTTGAGATTTTCATTGGATGATTTACCTTTTGCTTTATTGGTCTTAGGTTCTTTAACTTTAGTTGCCACAGACTTTGTTTTACCGTCCTTCTTTCTATCCAATCTGGCAAGTAAAGGTACATCCTCGTCTTCCTCTGCATCATCGCTCAATATTGGGATATCATCGAGAATCTCAGTAGCATCAGGATCGCTTTCGATTTCCTTTGAGGATTTTTTAGCACGTCTCTTGCAATCAGCAGTTTGTTTAGCGTATAGAGCAGGATCGATTTCAGGTTCAATTCGTCTTCCAAATTCAGAGGGTTTAGTATCAGCATCGGACTTTTTAGTGCTTTTGCCTCGAATCTTTCCTCCATCTCCACCTTTTGGTTTGATAGCCTTAGCAGCTGCCTCGTCTTGTTCTTTTTCAACATTAGTCAGTTCTTCTATGAAATCATCAAGATCTCGTAGCCACATTTCTTGGACAGTAGTTTTTTTCAGTTCATTGAGCTCTGATTTTTTAGCATCACGAGTTTTCAGAAGATTATCAGCTTTTTCTTTCAACATAGATCGCATAGCCATATCAAGCAGGTAATCATAATCTGGACCGGTAAGATTGCCATCTTGCTGTCCAGATTCCACTGATTTTTCGTTATCTTCATCTACAGGCTGTTCTGGAGAATCAAACTGGTTCTTCTTTTGCCAGGCTTTCACAGGATCTGAATCATAGCCCTTTTTAATCAATGTCTCGATCATGGCTTTAACTCCAACACCTTCCATTTTAATCTGACCTGAATTCTTTTCTACAATGAAACGAGCTTGATTTTCCAACTTCAAAGCTTCTGCTTCAAGCATTCCTTCAAGATAAGCCTTTCGCTTATTGTAGTGCACGAGACGCATATCATAAAATTCCAACAAAATTTCTTCAGGAGTCTCATAACGTTTAATGCAACCATTGTGATCAAACAAAACCATTGAGGTAGTGGTGAATGTAGTCTGGAGTTTGAAAAATTTGTGGATACCTTGCTGCTCTGCTTTTCTAAGGTTCTCAGGTGATATGGATACTACGAAACGAACAGTTGTATCTGTATGATACTCTTTGTAATCATTGATAATTTGTTGTTGCTTGTCATTACCATGAAGGAATGGGTCGAGAACATTTTCTTTATAAGCCTGAACCCAGACTCGAACCGGAAGTTCAGTAATTTCAATCTTGCCTTCATCAAGAATAGCGACTTCACCAAAACTGATATAACGTTGAGCGTCGATTTTCTCAATCAAACCTCGGAATCCTTTGAACCAGGGTTTCATCGGAACAATTTCTTCTCCTTTAATCAATCTCTTCAAGTTTGCAACAACATCTCTTGGATTATAATTGGGAATCTTAGTGCTCCATCCGGTTCCAATTCCGTCAGCTCCATTTACCAACACCATTGGGAGTATAGGGACATAATATTCTGGTTCAACTCGTTGATTATCATCGTATAGATAATGGAGTAAAGGTTCATCTAACTTGGAAAATATTTTTCTAGCAAGTGGACTCAATTTGGTGAAAATATAGCGAGCACTGGCAGCATCTTTACCACCCTGCAATCTAGTCCCGAATTGACCAAGTGGAAGCAATAGATTTATGTTGTTGCTGCCAACAAAATCTTGAGCCAAACTGACAATTGTAGACATCAAAGACACTTCACCGTGATGGTATGCTGATTCCGAACCAACGGTACCTGCTAACTGAGCTACTTTAGTTTCATTCTTCAAATTTCGCTTGAAACATGTAAACAAAACTTTTCTTTGGCCAGGTTTGAATCCATCCATTACTGATGGAATCGATCGTTCGTTATCAAGATTACTGAAAAGAACTAATTCTTTGTTGACAAAATCTTTGTATGAAACAACTTTTGTGTCTTTTTGGTATAAATAAATTTCTCCTAATCCATCTTCACGTCTTTGTTTTCTTTCTTCCATGGCTTTAGTCAACCATTCTTTTCTTTGATCGACCATTTTCTTACTGAAAGCAAGAATGACAGACTGATCATCTTCAGGACCTCCATACTTGAATCGAATCCTGTGACGTGCAAGATCTGTAAAGTACTCTTTTGCTTCGTTAGAGGTACTTGTACCCAAACCTTTGTAGTATTTTATCTTCCAATTTTTATGATCAGGAGTTTCAGCTTTCCATTCTTCAAATTCTGGTAAAGAATAAAATGAGATGACTTTGTTTCCTTTGGTAGCTTTACAAATTGGAGTAATGAATTCTTCCAAGAAAGGAAGCTTCAGAAGATTTGGCCAATTATGATGAATGAAATTGATGAGAAGACCTTTAATGTGGGAACCATCATGATCTTGATCGGTCATAATCATAATTTTTCCATATCGAAGAGATTTCAGATCTTCTTCTCGCTCATATTTTTTACGATAATCCAATCCAACGATTTTGATTAGGTTCTGGATTTCTTCATTCTTCATGATTTGTGGAACAGCGGCTTCTCTAACGTTCAACAATTTACCTCGCAACGGAAATACACCATATTTATCTCTTCCGATGACACCAAGACCGGCAACAACTAATGATTTAGCTGAGTCTCCTTCTGTCAAAATCAGTGTACACTCGATTGATCGAGCTCCTCCAGCAAGATTAGCATCTTCCAATTTAGGAACGTGAACTCTACTATGCTTCGATTTGACTCCTTGCTTGTTGAGTTGTTCTTGAGCTTTAAACTTAACCCATTGCAAAATATTTTCAACGATACCGATTTTTAAAACAGTGGTGAAAAACTTATCAGATGGGTTACACTTAGATCCAAAATTTTTAGTCTGTAATGTCATGTTTTCTTTAGTTTGGGAGTCAAAAGTCGGATTTTCAATCAAACAATTTATGAACACCCAAAGTTGATGTTTCAGTTGATGTGGCTTAACCTGGACGCCTCCTTTGTTTTTCTTTTTGATTACCTCGGTCAATTTGGTAAGAATTAGTTCGCTGACATGTTCCACATGACGACCACCTTTAGTAGTTGCAATACTATTTACAAAGCTAACTTGTTGAAATCCTTTATCACTGGATGCCACAGCAATTTGCCATCTATCGCTTACATCTTCATATGCACATTGAAGAGGTCCACCTTGATCATCAACTTTACCCTTAAGATATTGGTTAACATAGTCTTTGAAGTTCTTGATTGGTAGTTCTTCGCCATTAAGAACTACTTTTACACCTTTAGTAGAGCCAGCAATATCAAAAGCACGACGCTTGAAAAGTGCCACAATATCCGCATCTAACGACTGCATTTTAAATTTTGATAGATCAGGGTAGAAAGTTACAGATGTAAAGTCAGACTTAGCCGCTTTTCCAATTTTAGCTTCTTGTGCTTTGGACATGTTATCAGTCCATGTTTGTTCAAAAGAGCTGTCATAGGCTTTAGAAGATGTTTTTACGATGAACTTTTTGGAAAATACATTACATAACTTTGCTCCATAACCATTACGACCTCCTGTAACTTTTTTTTCATCATCATTGAAATTTGATGAAGTTAAAAGGTGGCCGAAAATCAAGGACGGAACATACATATTTTCCGCCTTGTGATACACAACCGGTATACCTGCACCATTGTTCCAAATTCTGATCATATTGTCTTCAGGAACAATATCGATTTTGATCAAGTTCATTGATTTATCCCGTTGTTTGTTATCGGCAGCATTAACTAAAATTTCGTCAAAAATTTTGTAAAGACCAGGGACATATGTAATGTCTTTAAGAACCATTTCACTTTTTTCATCGTTGTAAACCCACATTTGTTGAGTAACAGGCTCTACAGAACCGATGTAAGTATCTGGTCGGAGCAAAATATGCTCCAATTGTGATTTCTTTTGGTAAATCCGCTCAACACTTAGTCTTTTATTTGTAGTTGTAGATTTTGAACTGAGTGGAGGTCTATCCCCCGAAGATAGCACTGGTGATTCAAATTCCATGTCGAATTAAAAACAATTAAAAATGTGTAAAAACTAGTACAATTGATTGAAAAACTTGTAAAGAACTAGATGTTTAAGAACCGGGAAGAACGAATAAACTATTTTGACAGTTTATCAACTTGAATTTGAATAAAGTAACGTCTAAAATAAACGTTTCTGATTGGCTGACAGTAATCTTGATTCAAGCGCCATCTATGAATACAATAAAAAACTCGTAACCTGAAGGCTCATTAGGGGATTCAAAAAGTATGAAACAGTTACATTTGAGTTAATACTGTTTCTCCCAAAATATTTTTGTTCACGCATTAAAACTCATAAAATAAGCATATTGATTGTCTTATTTTATCTCTTCCAACTCTTCCCTACCCGGTCATGCCTTTAACAATTCATTTTAATTCAATATTCACTACATCTGATAAAATAAAAGCAAAGTTGGGCTAAGCTGTTGAGCCTCAAATAAGAGAGCATCAAAATGTGAATAAAACTCTTCGCTAGACGAGGATCCGGCAGTTACATTCATCTGCCTTGCACATATTGCAATGCTAAACGGTTCAGACTGCCGTTTTTATTGGGACACAGTGGAGGGAATCACAAATACGGAGGAGGGTTACATTAAATTAAACTTACAAAATAACTAAAAATAGAAGAAACTTGCAAGATATTGATTTGAAAAAAGAAAAGTTGTAGCGTGATTTGTTGAGTAGATTGCCTATTATCGTTTTGTTGATTCCAGATTGTTGTCTCTGTTTGAAAGTTGAAAATGAAGTTAGTTAATGTAATCTATTATCACTGCAAAAGGTCTTCACGTTCATAAATATTGAATGGTACTTACCTTGACTGTTTTAATATTGTTTTTTGTAATACAGTCAAGTAAACTTTCCAATATCATGCAAAACTCAAGTTAAATCCCTGCCTCTTCTGTCATTGACGCGATTGGTCATTGCCATAGAAAGGGTTGTGTAACATCAAGTGTCAAGTTATCAATAAACAAATTGGTCAAAACATTAAATTAACCAGTTCGCAATGTTTGGTAATTTGCATGTCACCGGTTTATTCATGTATTTATATCCTCAATTGCCTTATAAAAGATTCCTATTGACATCATAACTACATCATGATCCTGACAACAAACGTGTCATCATAAAATCATCATTACATGTGTTTACCTTTCAGTGAAACATTTTCATTCTCATAATTTTGACAGTCTTTTGCATCGCCACTACAACGATTCCTCTGTCAAAGTTTACCTTTAATTATATCGGAGCTGTTTAATCGTTTACTTGAAGAAAGAAGAGTCAATCAAATTAATTGATGAAAACTCAACCTTGATAAATAGGGTTGATTGGTTTCAATGAACAGACTATATCCGGCATCACATGAGTTTGGGAAAACCTCTCAAGGAAAAGAGTTAATTTTTTAAAATGTGACTGACATGTTACTAAATGTGATGATTCGTTGGAAACGAAACAGAAGAAGAAGAGAACAGAAAACATAAGTCACAATTGTATAAGAATTTTGTTGAACCTGGAATTGATGAGGACCACTGAAAATAACGTGACTTTTGATCTGCATTCTTTGGTTGATCGGTTTAACCAAAAAATGAAAATAAAAGGAAAACAAAAGGTAAAAAAGAAAGGAAAGAAAGAGTTGATCATATGAGATGATTATATTGGAAAGGTGAAGAGATTATGTTGACAATAATGTTGATTATGACGACAATCCTGATAATGTCTATCAGATTGATGAGTAAAAAAGCAAAAAATACCAACAATGTTAACAAAATGATAATGTAAAATGGTTAAATAACAATCGATGGAAGCGTCATCTATTAATGTTTGATTGGTCATCCCCCTTCATTACCAGTTCATCGTCACTAGTTCATCATCAATGCAAGTTTAGTTAAAGTGAACCGGATTCACTGACACTGGAACACCATAAACTGTATCCATTTTGTTTCTCATTTTTCCACTCTTCTCCTGCTTCTTCTCCTGCTTCTTCTTCTTCATCATCATCGTCTTCCCTCTTAATCTTTCGGTGAATTTATTGTTATCAATATTGTCTTATTTGATTATACTGTTTAACTTTCTCTATTCATCATCATTATGGATCATCTTGTCATTAGCTCAACTCATTTCATGTGATCATTTTATTCACTGGTTAATTATTCATCTTGAAAATTATCCTCTTGATTATTACAGTTTGATTTGCAATGTCATCCTGATCTGTGTTTAGTTGAATGGAATCACACAATTTCTCATGTTCTCCTTTTTTTTCTTTACTTCATGTGCTGCCATTTTTACACGCTTCTGTTATTAACATCTCTCTCTTTCTCCCTCCTTTTCTCCTCACTCAATCTTCTCCCTTCTCCTCTCCCTCTCTCCTAGTTTTTCCAATGATCGTTAAAGGTCATTTGATTTATTGATTGTTCAATTTTTTTAATAACCAGTGTTTGAGTGGTGAAGAAACAAATAAAGTTGCTGAAGGAAAAACAATAAGAGAATATTTTCAACTTTTCTTTCATTTCTTCATGTAAAATTACATTTTTCCCTATTACCTTGAATGATTGTCTGCAATAGTCAAAAGGCTTACATATTCAACAGTTGACTTTCAATTTTGTTGTATCATTTGAATGTTATCTTCTGTCATCTACCTGGTGCCATTCAGTTTTACGTCATTTACCAGTGCCAGTTACTTGGATTTAAAGTTGAGACAGTTCAAAATTAGGATCAAGATCATTTCAATGATACTTTGGTTAAACTTATATTGACGATTAAAGAAGAACCAAGACAAACTTTGGATTAAGAGGGAAATGAAACAAGCTTGTTTTACTGTGATAAAAGTTACGATTTTTACAAATTGAAAAAAATTATTGTGCTAATGCATTATGGATGATGGCCTCAATTGTATTGATGTTAAATCAATGAGCTCAACAACGACTTTATTCTTATCATCATCTTCATCCTCATCATTGTCATCATCCTCATCTCCACCACTTACACCAGATTCAGCTACGAAACTATCACGAGTGAAGGGAAAGAAATCAAAATGGACTTGTAGCAAAGTAAGTATCAATGTGTTATTAAACCGATTCCTAACCTAAACAATATTATGATTGATCCTAATTGTTTGCAGGTTAGAGATAGAGAGACAATTAAAGAACAAGATTTAAAGAAATGTTAAGAACTTGGAGAGGAAAAGACAAAACTGGCGACAGTAATGAGAAAATATGAGTGGGAGAAGAAGAATGAGTGAAAATTGACAAATAAAAATAAGTGCATGAAGAATAACGAAAGTGGTGTTGAACGTGAATTATAAGACAAGAAGAAAGTAAGAGAAAAAGAAGAGGAAAAAAGAGAAGCCAAGAATGAAAAGTAAGAGGAGGCTAACAAAGAATCAAGTGCATGGTTATGAAGAGCATGATTGAAATTGGTGGAGAGAGAAAGAGAGGGAAGAATACACTGAATGAGATGATGATGATCAAGTGAGTCAATGATTCAGGGGAATGTTCAGTGTGTGAGAGAAGAGAGGCGAAATTGAAGAAAGAGGAGAAGAGAAGGAAGAAAGAGTGAGTGAGAATAAAGAAAGTGAATCAAGATGAAAGGAGAAAGAAAAGTTAAAGAGAGTGAGAAGAAGAAGGTAAAATCGATAATAAATTGTTAGTAGCGCCTGCACGGTTAGAGAAGGAATAAAGTTAATGTCAATCTTCGAATAAACGTTTTTCTCTCAACTTGACATGATTCTCTCTTTTTCATCCAATTTCAATGGTTTTCATTCAGATAAAATGTCAACTTTAACAACAAAACTTTTGCACCTTTCATCGACACCTTCATTTACCTCTAATTTACATTACCACAAAACTAAACTATTGTCAACTTTACATCTTTATTTCCTCACATTCCATCATCACAACCATCATTATCTTAATGAAATCATTTTGCTAACATTTTGTTTTCCTTTCCTTTTAAACAGAATCTTCCCTGTAAAACTGTCAAACTGGAAACTCGTAAAGTTACTTCACTCGTTGATCGAATCGATTATTGTTCAGAAAGATTTTCTCAACCCTGCGTTCGTTCATCATCTTTACCACAACCTCAACAACCACCACCAACATCATCATCAACATCATCATTATCTATTTCATCGTGGCACACAATGACTAGTCATTCACCATTGGGACATTCAAAACAATCAAATCAACAAATTTCGAGTCAATCACAAGCAAAACAACAAACTCATCGTCAATATCAACGTTCATATAGTGAGGACCTAAAATCATCCCGAATTTTGGAAACTGGTGAAACAACTTGTTGTCCTACGGATGCACCAACCATTGCACAAGCATTATGGCGTCCTTTATGGCCTCCTGGCTGGCGTCCAAGAGGTTCACTATCATCATCATCAAATAAGTGCAACACCAACACAAACTCCTCTACAAACAGCAACAGTAACAGTTCTAGTAACTCTAATAACAATAATTACAACAAACGTACCACTAGTATTTTTAGCAATAATAATAAAAGTGATTATCACAATATTACCAGCAACACGGGTAATACACTGAAAAACATCTTTAAGCGTCCACTCATTGTTATGAGTGAACACCGAGAAGATCATCGTTCCGGATCTTCTGGTGTTTCAGTGGCTGATGTTTCTAAATCAGGAACCAGTAATGAGGAGGAGATAAGCAGGCAAAGGACAAGTACAGACAGTGGTATAATAAGTGGTAAAGGAGGAGGTGGAGCAACCAAGGAAGGCATTAATCGTTCATTAAGCAGTGTAAATGAAAATTGTTGTGTCAGTGTAAATACTGCTTCCAATTTATCATGTGTTAGTGAATCTTGCTTCAATTGTACTCAACAATCAAAGTCATCAAAGCAACAACAAACATCTTCTCAAACATCCTCACCATCAACAACATCGACAACTGCTCCTAATAATCGTCTCATCACCTTATCATCGGGTCGTCTCAGATTGGGACCAACTTCAAATGATGTTACATCTTCAGTGGAAGAGTACGAATCAATGGAAGCCTGGTTAGATGAACATCCTAAATTTTTGTGTGATTATGTTATTCGGAAAGCACCTCGATCAACTATAGATGCTTGGATTCTTGCACATTCAATTCCCCACTCAGGATCTTCATGCGGAACTGCAACAAATTCATCTGCCTCTGCACCAGCTTCCGGTGCGGCAACGCCGGTTCGTAAGATATCGGCTCATGAATTTGAGAAAGGTTCACTGTTTCTTCCGCCAATGGTTTCGACCACTGAAGAAGGTATACCAACATTTCTTCAACCACCAACTCGAGATGATTATCATCCATCATCTCATTATTCACCCCATTCACCTCACCAACAACAATCCTTTTTAAATTCAAACCTATCAACTTCGGATTATAGTTACCTCAGTTCGAGTTCATTAGGACCATCTTTAACTTTACGTCAACCACTTACATCACTGTCTTCACCAACATCCTCATCCATCTCATCGTCTTCAGTCTGTGCAGCAACCGCTGAAACAGCAGCTTTATTACAGGCAACTTCATCAACTGCAGCAACTCCTCTCACTTCATCCTCATCACCATTAACTGATATCTCATTTCCATCATCAAGTGTTCAACGAACACGCTCCCAGTTTGATGGTCTCGATGAGAAGCAATTAATTTTTGAACTGGTCAAAGACATTTGCAATGATCTTGATGTTGTCAGTTTAAATCTCAAGATACTTAAGAATGTTTCCCTCCTGACCAATGCTGATCGTTGTTCCCTTTTTCTGGTCAAAGGTGAACCCGGTGATCCAAATAGACATTTTGTTCCCACCTTGTTTGATGTTTCATCTAAACAACCTTCGACCTCATCAACTGCAACCACAACTGATACCACAATTAAACTGGAATCAATCAAAGTTCCCTGGGGCCAAGGAATTGTTGGTTATGTTGCTGAATCAGGTGAATCTGTGATTATTGATGATTGCTACAAAGATTCACGTTTTTCTGATTTAGTTGACCAAATGACTGGTTTCAAAACTCGAAATATGCTTTGTTCACCCATTTTTGATAATTTTGGTCAAGTGATGGGAGTTGCCCAGGTCATCAATAAATTACCCAGAAATCGATTGTCCATTCCATCAAATTCATTTTCAACTCATACCATTAACAACAATAATCAAATTTCTAGTTATCACAATAATAGCAATAACGTCAATACAAATAATTTTGTCAGCAATGATCATAACATAAATAATAATAATAATAATGTGTCAACAGTCAGCTTTACTTTGGATGACCAACGTATATTTAACCAGTATTTACAGTTTTGTGGCATTGGATTAAGAAATGCTCAACTCTTTGAAAGATCTCAACTGGAAAACAAGCGTAATCAAGTTTTACTTGATTTAGCTAGAATGGTTTTCGAGGAACAGTCAACAATCGAGCAAATTGTTTATCGTATAATTGTTCATCTTCAATCGTTATTGGGTTGTGAACGATGTCAAGTCCTTTTAGTCTCTGAATCGGATAGTCAAGATTTATTTAATGATCAAACTGATAATGGTGACATTGAAATTAGTCCAATTTGGAGCCAATATGAATGTGATCAACATGAATCAAGAGATGGACCAGTAATAGGTGATTCAAATAGTCGAACATTTTCTCGAGTTTTTGACCTTTCAATGGATGATTTGAAAGAAAGTGAATCTAGTAATGTTAGCAACATTGAAGGACCAGACAGCAATAATAACAAAGCAAATGAAGGAAAAGAGGTTGATCCAGTTTCAACTACAGCCAACAGTCATTCATCAAATTTTGCAGCTCAACCTTTTGAAAACAGATTCCCAATAAACATTGGAATTACTGGTTATGTTGCTGCAACCGGTGAAACTTTGAACATTCCCAATGCCTATCAAGATGCACGATTTGATACATCCGTTGATGCCTTTGATCCTCGAGGATTTGTTCATAAAAGCATACTTTGTATGCCCATTAGAAACGCTAATCGACGGATTATCGGCGTTTCTCAACTCGTTAACAAACTAAATGGTCAACCATTTAATAAAAACGATGAAAACCTTTTCGAGGTAGGTTTACTTATTTGATTCATAATCTATCATCATCTTTACAGTTTACTCTTTAACTTTTATTTACTTTTCAAAAGCAATGGAAGAAAATAGAAGAATAATGCAGAGAGAAACATGTTCAACTTGAACTTTATTTCGTTTACCAATTTTGGCTCAAACTTGATATTTTAATACACACAGCATCATCATCATCTGATCCAACGTGATCTGTTTCGAGTTTTCCTTTCCTTTAGTTTATCTCATTTTTCATCTTGCTTCATCTTCTACCTTTCTTCCATCCATTCATATCTTTACAACTTTATCCTCTTCTAACATTTCTGCTTCTTCATGCACTCTTTGCATGGGTTAACTGCCAACAAGTTTCATCAATAAAAGTCTGATCGATTACATGTTGAATGTACAAATGAATTTAAGTCAAGATAAAAGGGTTAAACATTGACAATGAGGAACAGAAGCTTTTACCATTGTTACAAATTCATTATTATTCACTAGATTTGCCTTTATTTTCTCCATTATTTATTTTCTCCTCTTCACTTCTTTTCCTTCCCTTTTACCTTTCATCAGTATTCACATTATTTCTTACAAAATAATTTACTAAATATATCTTTACTCTGTTATACTATCAAATCGTTTTATATCTACAAATTATCTGCTTACCTGATCTAGTTGTTAATCTTTACGTTGATTCTGTTGATTGTTTGTGCTTCTAATGAGACTAATTTGTTTACCCATTCAATAACCTTTATACCTCAGCTTCTTGCTTTTTACAAATCTTATTCACTTTTCATTTGGCTCTTACTTTTTGCTTCATCATTAGCACCATAATTTTCACCTAATTTGTACTTCTTTTATCCTTCACTTCATTTTCATTGCAACCTTCATTTTCTCACCTTTTTCACCTTTCCTTTCATCATTACCCAATTATCCACTTCCAATGCTTTCTTTTCAGGAAAGCATCTGAATACTGAATCACAATGATTCAGGTTAAAAAATAATTGCTAGCAATAATAGAAAACAAAAAATATTTAATAACAATACAACTAAATGCTAATCCTTAGGCAATAATCAGATACTTTGGGTACTTTAACTCTTCATCAACCTCAGCTTTTGATTTGTTGAACCAATTTTCCTCTCATCATTAAAATTGTTAGGATTTTGATGATAATTATTCAATATTAACCTAAAAAATCGCCCAATATTTGTATTGATTTACAACAGTGAATTTAACTTGAACAATTACTTATTTTAATCAAAATGATTGCCTACTTAATGTTAATTAATGATCATAAGTTTGGTTCACTTTTATTGTTAATCTTCAAACTCTCAAGTTCAAGTCAAGTTAATATTATTTTCGGATATTGAACTTGATTTTTTGCTCAATATTTCTCATTAAATTTAATAACAATCAATAGTTTCTACGAATTATTACATTAAATGGGTCATTGGATATTATTAAAGAGTCTAATTACACAATAAGGATGACTTGATTGAAGTTGTAAAAGTTTGCCAACCTTTCATTTAAACTTTTTCAAATCACTTTCGCTTCTTAATTGGTGAAACTGAAAGACATTGAAAAATCTTCTATGGAATCTTATTCTTTCCTTAGCACAAACCCTTTTCAAGAACGTAGGCTACTTATAATAAGTGTTTCACTGGATTTGGTCAACTTGTACCGAAGACCATTTATGAATTTATTCCATCGAATGCACTTTCATCCTAAAGATCAAAGCATCAAACATTATATCTCTCAAGTTTCATTCTTTGTTCATAAACATTTTGTTGCAGCTTGCATTCATGCTTCATGTAAATGTTTCTTTAAACAGAGCATAAAAAGTCATTTCCAGTAGCTTCGACTATTCATTTAGAAACAATCAACCTTGAACTATTCATTGCCCGCACTTGTATTTGAAATTTTTTTAATCTCATGATATGAATATTCTGCTGGATGAAAAATAAAAGCTTAGACAGAAACTAAATGATAGAAGCCAAGCTTTTGTTTATGCTTCAATTTACTCTTTTATTAGGATTCTAATCATAATCTTGATGCTGATCAACAACAACAATAATTAACAAAATCATAATTCAATATGAGTCTAACATTGAAAGTCCAAGGCTATAAGGTAGTATTACAATCAAAATATATTGTATCATGTTACCTGAAAGATGGAAAGATTTTCACTCATTTATTATTTTCACTTTCTTTGCACCCAATGATAATATTTATTAACCTTAAATAGGATTTGAGTGTAAATCGAGCAAATAATGCAACAAATAGATTTAATTACTCAAGCAACAAAACAGTAAATTGCAATATTATCTGAGCTAAGTCAGTAAATCTCTTCATCATTATTGCCATGATTACTTTACAGTTTCAATTAGATGGTGTTTATTATCAATTTTTTGTTCAAATTTCAAAAAGCTTATCACTTGAAAAACATAATAATGAAAGTGGAGTTTCATTAATTTCACTATTTTTCATTTTTCACCAATAACAACATGATTGTTTGGTGTTATCTTAAGTTTATTAACTTCAGCTGATTCAAGTAAATTCTGGATTACAAGTGCTTAATTTTACTCTCTATCTTATAAACGGTTTAATCAATCAACTCGTTTAATTAATATTTTGCTTTCCTTGTTGATCTCACATTAGAATTGTTGATCAAACTGCAAATCTTTTCATTCTTTAACTTTCCTTGATTTACTGGTCAATTTAGATTACTTTGACTATCAATCTTGAGAGACTGAAATTTTGCAATTCAGAAGTTATGGGTTTGTGCATCATTAAATGTTCTTCATCTTTTCGTCTCAAATTCATAAACTTAACCTTTTCTCTCAAAACAAATCAATTTTACCATTTTTACAAGTCTTACTATTTCTAGCATTCACTTTGCTCTCATTTAATATTGTATTGAACAAGAAGTGGTTAATAATCTGAATAGTTTTATGAAAAGATGAATAAAACATTGAATCAAATGAAGTGAATATGATAAAGTTATGACTAAATGATAAATATAGCTATTGAGTTCGTATTAATGTACCAGAACATGTAATCATAATTATAATTTATGTCTTTATCATTATTTTGCTAGAGAAAAAAGTCAAAGAAAAAGGAAATTCAGCTTACTTGAAATTTGATATTCTTGTGATCAGAAAAACATTAAAATGGAAAAGGAAAATATGAATTTCATGAATGTACACCAAAAACTCGATGGATAATCTGTTGTCGTTTTTCTTTATGTTGACCTTCTCATTTTGTTGAAACTTTCTCTCTTGCAGAAAATCATTTATCCTTTTCGACTAGCTTCTCATGGTTCGTCTTTTTTTATTGTAGCCTGGACAATGTCCAGTTATAAATGTTTTCTCATCTTGTTGCATAGCAATACTCGCTTCTTTGATTTCCTCATGTTTATCTTTGTTTTCTTTCGTTTTTTCTTTCATCTCTTCGAGTGAAACTTTGAATTTATTTCCTCCACTTAACCATTCATCATTGTTCAGCTGAATGAAGCATAAAACTTTCTCTGAATTGTTATTTCCTTTTTTCCTTTTCTCTTTTCTTCATATTTCAAAAGCATCAAATTCAAGTAAAATTGATGTGTTATGAGCTATTGTGTTTCTCAATGAAAACCAGCATGAAGTCTCTTCTTTTTTGAATCAAAACTCAAAACTCAAGATATTAATGAAATCAGTTTCACGCTTGAATTTGAAAAGTGTCAAAACTACTGTCATGAGTATGAAAATTTACTTCGAACAAACTAATCAAACTTGCGATTCATCAATCTGATAATCCCATGAAAAATTATATTCAAAGCTTGAAACGGCTCCAAATTTGTTGAATTACTTCTTGGGCTTTATTTCAGTTTTTTTTTCATCATTTTAAAGACTAATTGATCAATGGTAATTTTGTATGATTCTGCATCAATATTCAAAGTGTCAAAATCCTTTTCCTCATCCGATTAACAATTTGATGTGTTGTTGGAGTTTTAAACTTGATGAATCCTGAATGATCGCTCTTTCTTTTACTCACTTGCTTTGCTTTCATTAGCATTAATCCAGTGGTAGCAACGTCATCATCAATCATTTATAGCCATTATGCACATGAATCTCATCTACTCATATGAATAGTGGATGGTGGTGGATTGTAAATGACAGAATTCACCAAAATTTTTCTTCCAACAGAATTCAATGCATATTTGGTTATCCATGAAATTAATTTTGTGTATTATGCTGGTCATTAATTAAAATTTGCATCTCAATTGATCTTTTATTTTAAAAATAAGGTCAAAAGTAGAATGAAATGTTTATTAGAAGCAAATCAACTTTGATTATCAAGTTGACAAGTATTCTCAGATTTTCTGAAAGCATTTTTTGGTGCTTTGTACGTTTCACATTATAACATTATTATACTTTATAGTAGTTTTAAACGAGACGAACGAGATTGATGCCTTTAATGATAAGAGTTTTTAACCTTGATATCACATCAACAATAAAGCTTGTGGGTGTATAATTTTGTGGTATGAAAGTGTCGTACAAACTCAGACCTGTCTAACACCAAGTCTCACAAGGAAACCTTGAATCATCAAGTCAGGAAAAGGATACCGACCAGTAGAACAGGATAAACAACCTAGCGCGGAATTTTTTGTTGTGAACATGATGGATGTAAAATTTTATATTGAATTCATTACTCTAATTCAATTTTCCAACTAATCTTGCAGTTTCGAGATAAATGAGAAAAACATTTAAAAAGCATGAAGACGCGTATACCAATTTAATCCGTCGAAGTATTAATATTAATACATTAGTAAGATCAAAATAAATGACTTGATTAGATTTTTCATCTTGAATTTGATCTTTAATATACTTTTTTTCGAGGGATTCGTTACTGTAATTGGTATGCGCGTTCCCATGCTTTTTAAACATGTTTATATTTATCGCGAAAACGCAATAATATAATAAATCGAAAAATGAATAAGAGTAATGAGTTCAATTTAACATTTTACGTC